TTAAACAATGCTGTAAGGATCTTGTGTAGGGTCCCCAGTAGTTTGCTTCAGAAATAAATGGCTTGTTAATGAGGTCTGCCTGGAATGTTTGCAGCTGGTATGGTCATTCTGCTAGAATGGGTGCTGTGTCTGAATGTCTAGATTGGTGTCTGTCCAGGTCAGAGTTTTCCTCTAGCTGAGGTCTATTCTCAGCCATTCAAGGTATCTAGATATCGGCAGGGGAAAACCTTTGATATCTCCATCTCTTCTCAACATCACTTGCTTGTGCAAGGTACAGATTTCCTCTTCACAAGTACAGCCTACTACAGTTCAATTTGAAGTACCTAATCAGAGATTCTCTTTTATCATTTCTCCATCTACTTATATAGTCCAACACAGAGTTTTACATCTCATTTCGACCCATCTCTCTCTAAGATAGTATTTGTTTTTATTTATTTTTTAAAATTTAATTTTACTTTTATTTGTATTTGTTTTAATTAAAAAGTTAATACTTGTTCATTTTTATGAAATTGGAAAATAAAAATTAACAATCACAATGAATAATCACTGCTAATATATTTACTTTGTTTAAAAAAAAAGTGAGTAGAAACATAACCATGCACACACACCCTCCCAAGACATATACACTGTATATATAATAGCCAAAATGTATTGAGCAAATATGAGCTAGAGTCTCTGGTAAGTTTGTTTGTTTGTTTGTTTGTTTGTTTGAGAGAGAGCGAGTTTGAGCAGGGGGGATATACAGTCTTCCCACTTAGCAAGGAGTCCCAAATGGTGCTTGATCCCAGGACACTGGGATCATGACCTGAGCCCAAGGCCGACTCTTAACTGACTGAGTCACCCAAGTGCCCCTCTGTTAAGCATTTAATATGCATTTGATCTTCACAATAATCACGTGAAGTCATGTGCAGAGAATGATTTTTATTTTTGTCTGAATGTATCCATCTTCTCCACCCTCCATCAACCACCTCATGATTTCACCTTGGATCTGAAGTCCTGCTGGAGCAGACAATCTAGGGACTTCCTCTGTTTCTGGCAAAGGATTCGACATTTATCCTATGACAGACCAGTCAGATGGTCTCACTGGAACTTGAATCTTGATTAGAATGACATAGAAAAACTAAGTCTAACAAATGTTAGCAAACATTTGATCATATTCATCTAGGTGGTGTTCTCTTCAAAAGACTTCCATAGATCCATAGATCAGATCCTAGATCTGATGAGCAGCTCTCCGACCTGCTCTTGGCCATGCTGAGTTCTTTAGATATTCCTCTGTATCTATAAGATTTCTCATATTCTTGCAACAACATAGTTCTTTATAAAGTTACCTAGGTTTTATTTCTCCCACTTACCACCAGAAAATCCATAACTAATATAGAAATACATAGAATCAACAAGTCTTACTCTTTTGCAGAGACTGAGACTTACTGAAATGAAGTGACTTGCTGAAGATCACCCACCCATGCAATAAGAAATTATATTAGTTCTCCGTAACACTAAAGTGTGTGCTTAATTTTAACCAACTCTCTTTTCAATCTCCTTCTGTATAGATACACAGATGTGTGTGTGTGTATTCTTATATTCTTCCACATTAAGATCTGGCCATACTCAAAATTTTAATCATTTTCAGCCTGTAGGGTTTTTTTTTTTTTGTCTGATAATAAAACCATCAAAGAGCAATTTTAAATTAACAAAAAGTACAAAGAAGGTAAGACATACCCATTATTTCAATACCTAGATATCATCAAAATTACTGTTAATGGGGCACCTGGGTGGCTCAGTGGTTGAGCGGCTGCCTTAGGCTCAGGTCATGATCCCGGAGTCCTGGGATTGAGTCCCACATTAGGCTCTCCAGAGGGAGCCTGCTCCTCCCTCTACCTGTGTCTCTGCCTTTCTTTCTGTGTCTCCAATAAATAAATAAATAAATAAATAAATAAATAAATAAATAAAATATTTTTTAAGATTTACTATTAATACTTCAGTTTATTTTGTTTAGTCTCTCTTCTCTTCCTCTCTTCCTCAGTGTGTATATATACACTCACATGCATTCACAAATAGGGATCCATACATAAATTTACATGTATAGTATATATATAACAGAGAGAGCCATACTGTATATACAGATTTGCATCATCTATTTTCTTTTAATATTATTCTTTAAGCCTTTTCCTGAGCAATTAAACCTCTTTCAAAATATTTTAATAGCTATAATATATATCATTGTATGGATATACCATAATGTATCTAATCACTCTTCTTTCAGACATTTAATGGCTGTTTCTTTTTTTACTTTGATAACTAGTACTGCAATCAACAATTTTTTTGGCATCTGATTATTTTCTTAGAATAGATTCTGGAAGTGAAACTATTGATTTAAAGGCTTTGAGCATTTTAAAGATTCTTGATATATATTGTCAAAAATTTTCGGAAAGATTATTTCAACTTACAACACCACAAGCAGTGTTTAAAAATAAGCTTTATTCAGTGCTCCAAATATAGATGCCAACTTTTAGAAATGAATGTCAACAGTTGGAAAATAAAAGACTATATTGTATTAGGCATTTTTAAAATATATATATTTCTGATTAAAAAGGATACAAACTAATTGCAGGTTGAAAAATATAGATTACATAAAATAATCCCTTCACCCATAGATAAACATGAGTTTGATGAATATTCCTTTTTTTTGTCTTCTTACTGTGCACATATTAAATAAATTAATATTTATAATGTTGAGATCATATGGCTTTTACTTTTATATCTGAATTTTTAATTTAATGAAATTTTAATATAATTTAATTTAGTATCATGAAGAATTTATATTAAATATTCTCCAAAGCATTTTTTTATTAGTTGCCAAATATTTTATCTTATAAATTGGCTATAATGTAGTTAACATTTTTTGCTTATTGTAATGTGTATTGATCATTATATACAGGATTGCAATACATAACATTGTTTCTAACCTCTGGCTACATTTCTCATTATTTCAGGAGAATTCATGACCAGAAGTGGAATTATAGAATCATGGGTTTAAATAGTATGGATATTTTAAAGTTTCTTGATACATATAGATAGAAAATCAGAAAAATTATTCTAAAATGTTTCATTCAGCTTTGTATGAAAGTGCACTTCACTCTTCTCAATATTATTTTTTGTTGTTTTCTTCGATGATTCATGTTTTGCATTTTTCTGTTTCATATTTGCTTGAATTATTTGTTTTTGCTTCTTTGAATTCATCAATCATGTCCTTCAAATATTTTTCCATTAGACCTAGTGTCATGAAGACTGAGCATCCATCCCCTAGAATCTGTTCTCTGCTTTTAAAGAGCTCAGAAGGATAACTCAGTTGCCCCTCAGTTACTCTTCTTAAATATTCCTAGTAATTCAATCACTTGTGACTCTTAGTGATAAGCATATGATCATAGTAACTCATATTTACAAAGGAGTATTCAGTACATTCAACTCTTCCACATCCATCATCAGTTTTGTCCCTGTGAGGGAGAACGGGCAGGTTGGTGTCATTAGCATCACGGTAGAAATGGGGACGTTGGGATTACACAGGAGAAAGCCGTCAATAGCCAATGGGGAGTCAAGTCAAGACTCAGACCAGGTCTTCCATTCCTAGATCTTTTCCTTTTCCTTAAGTCACTTTACTGATGTTGCTAGTGTCCAGAAATAGAAAATGACTCCACATAGGGTAAGAAAGTTCTGGAATAATCTTAAGAGACTTGATAGCAAATGCAAGGACTATAAATTTAGAATGAGACTGATTTACATTTGAGGGCTTTTAATTGCAGTCATCCATCAGTTTTAAACTTTCAATGTCTAAATATAAAGACGTGGCAATATAAATGAGCCAGCTGCACTTTTACACAGCACATGAACTGATGAGTTTATGAATGAGTGAAGTGATGGAAATCAACAGCGCGAATAAGAATATCCCAACCCATTTCAACAGCCTAAGCCATACATCAGTACCTTGGAGAGCTTCCAACTTAAGCCATACCCTCCCTCACATTCCTGTCTCAGAAAAGACAGGTTTGCAACCGCCAAAGGAAAATCGGGAAGCATTTTATTTACACTCTTATCTTCCATGATTCTTGAAAACTAAAAGATGATTTCATTTTCCATTTTCCTACCTGGAAAAAAAAAAAAAAGGTCTTCCCTTTTGCCCTATTTAAAATAAAATTGCCCGTGGCTTGTGATCTTGTGACAGCTTATTTAATTTAAGCAGCTCCACGGTATTCCCCCCCCCCCTTAAAGAGCAAACACATTTCTTTGCCACGTCTGCAAATTAAAATGTTCTTCGCCGGTGAGCTCCCAGGAGGAAACCAGCTATCCACTCCCTATCCCGAGTGGTGTTTATTCTGGGGGTACGAGCTATTCCCGAAGGCAGGAGGGCATCAGCGTGTGGGCGTCCACAGGTAGGAGCTGCCCCACGGCGAGAAAGGAGGCGGGAGGAGGCCGGCGCCAGCTGCCCCGCGGCCTCCTCTGCGCCTGGGGCTGCGCGAGCTGCAGCCGCTCCAGCGCCCCGCCGCGCACGCGCGCTGCCGGCCCCCGGCCCCACCGCACCTGCCAGGTCACAAACCCCTCCCCACCCTCCCGCGCTCCCTCCCGGAGGCTGTCTTGTCTCCCGCTGATTGGTCGGAGCCCGGAGGCTGCGTCCAATCACAACCCCTCCTGCGCAACCTATCCCCGCTCTTCCCGCCCCCTCCCCCCGCACGCCCCTCTCGGGCACCTACTTTCTTTGTGACTGGCGCGCGCTCCGGTCACTCAGCGCGGCGGGGAGAGGTGCGCGGGAGCGGGCAGGAGGCGGGGCCGGGGGCGGGGCCGGGGCGGGGCCGGGGGCGGGGCCGGGGCCGGAGGGGGCGGGGCCCAGGTGCGGAGCCGCGCGGGGGCGCCTGGCCGGGGAGGGGGCCCTCCGCGGGGCGGGGCGGGGCGGGGACCGGGGCGGGGCGGGGACCGGGGCGGCGGCGAGGAGGGGGTTACGCCGGCGACGTCGGCAGCGCGAGGCTTCGCGCGTGAGCCGCGCGGGCGCTGGGCCTGGCTCCCGAGCTTTCCCGGCCGGCGGCGGGCAGGTGGTCGACGCCGGCTCCCGGAGGAGCGCGGGGCGGAGGGAGCTGTCGGTGTCAGCGGCGTGGTCGACGGCGGCCCCGGCCATGGACGAGACGCAGCCGCTTCCGCAGACCGAGCTGCCGCTGTGCGACAGCCTCATCATCTGGGTGAGTACGAGGGGGCGAAGGGCGCCGAGCGGCCGAGGCCAGCTGCCCCGGGTCGCGGGGGGCCCGCAGGTGAGCCTGAGGAGTCGGCCGGGCCACCTGCGCCGCACACTGGGCGCGTTGCCCTTCGCGGCTGCTGTCGCCCTTGACCGCGAGAGTGCCACCTGCGGGGCGCGAGGCAGGTGTGTGTGTGTCTGGAGACGTGGGAGGCGGAAAGGGAGCTCTGCAGGTACAGGGGTGGAGGAGGCTTGTCTCTCCCCGCGGATCCTGCTTCTGACAGCTGTGCCTGAGCCAGGTGTCCATCCCCTTTTGGCTGCCCTATTTTCTCCCTCTGGACCACCGACTCTCTCGCCTTCTGTCTGCTGATCAGCCTTCCCGATGGATCTTTGTGCCCCTGGGGAGCGAAGCCTCCCTCCCACCGCCCCCCCCCACTCCCCACCCCCCACCCCCCGCCGCTGAAACTCCCCTCCCAGCCAAACCACTTTGCTCTGCTTGGACACAGGTGGCCAAGAGGTGGTTTTGATGCCTGGATCGTGAGAGCTCCTCCAGGATCCCAGGACATTCGATTTTGTAGAAGTCATTTAGAAGGGTTATTTCTACATAGTTCCTGTTTGGAGAAAAATAAATGTTGGGGGTAGGGGCTCGTATTACCTTTTTTTTTTTTTTTGCTGGCCCCCATTTCCTCCTTCCGGTGGACAGCATTCTCTGTAAAGAAAAAGACTTGGCATTTTCATTTGCACTTTGTGCGTGCTTAGTATTTTTTTTTCCCCCTAAAGTAGGCTCCATGCTCCTTGAATTCAGGAGCCTGGGGTGAAGACCCTGAGGCTTAACCTACTCAGGCACCCAGACGCCCCTGTACGTGTTTAATATTCTAATTAATTTGTGTTAGGTGGACGAGTAGAATCTGTCCCCAGTATTCCTATCAGTAAAATGATATCTCACCTTTTGGAGGTGCTCAGCCATCAGAGTGCTGGCATTCAGGTGTGGTTTCTAACCTATATTTGGTAAGGTTGTTGCTTGATGGTCTGTCCACAAGGTGCTGTTGATGGTGCCCATCCCCAAACTAGTTGTTTGGTGTGTGTAGAGGAGTGTGTGCATAATGGAATGTATACAGACTGGATCAGGAGGCGGTAATTAGTCGATGAGATTCTGTAGCAGTCTCCTAATCGGGGTAATGCAAAAGAATGGGAGAAATCAGAGCAGGTTTCTGGCCACGTATGAAGTCTGTTGGAAATAACCATGATTTAAAGCAGCTTTTACAGTGTAGAGGTAAATAGCTTTTGTTATAAGCATAATGCAAGTATGTAGGGTTTCTGAGTTAAAAGCAATTAGCTAACTATTCATCTGTATGTTCATTCAAAATAAGTATTAGGGTTTAGATGCTATATCCTAAGACTGTCATGAAATAAGGTAGCATTGTTTTTAATGAGGTGTTTTGTTTAATTAAATGACTAATTAAAGAGTGTATCCTAATCTGTAACTTTATTGCTTCAAACAACTGACTTAAGTAGTAAACTTAGTCTTTATGATGTCATTGACTTATATGAGGTGGAGGAAGAGGTTAGGATTTTTCTTGAATTGTATTGCAGTATTTTAAAATATTATGTGACTATATTCATTCTTTGAACCAGTAATCATTGAGTTCCTACTTTGTTCAAGGCACTGAGGAAGACAGATAATGAGAATAATCAAAGAACTTTCCATTTTTTGCTGGGGAGCTAGGCAGAGCTGTGCATTTTCACAATGAGAGGCAAAATTCCTTAAAAACTGCAAAAATGGTACAAATGACAACAGTGTAATAGGTTATTTGCTTTCTCGAGTTCTAAGGCTGTTGAAACACTGTGGAGAAAGTGGAGTTATTGTGCAGATTATTGCCTTTTGGATGCTACTACAGCCAAATCTATCTGTTCCCATAACAATGCCTAGCTGCATAAAGACTAGCAACAACCACCCAGTTCCCCTCATGTTTTTTTGCAAAGTTTTATCGGTACCCTCTTTGAGCCCCCAATTTTTCTCCCCTCGGGAAAATGACCTCGTCCTTATCTCTGACTCCAGCTCTAGATCCCATCCCTTCTACCTCTTCTAAAACTTTGCTCTATCATTTATCTTCTTTCTGTATTTACTACTTCTTCCTCTCCTTTGGCTCCTTCCTCTCGACATGTAGACTTACTCAAATCTTCTTTCTCTTAAAAGAAGGAACAAAGAGCCACCACTCCCTATTAAAATGACACTGTATTTCCCTTCCCTATGCAGTTGAATTGAGTTTTTAAGTACTCAGCTTTTATACTTCTTGAACTTTCATTCACTCCTCAACCCAATGCACTTGAGTTTCTTTTCTTTAAGGCCTTCATCTATTAGATTTGGCAAACTATTATATATAATGCTTATCTTACTTGTGAAATGATCTTATCTTACCTTTGTGAAATGATCTTCTGCCTTAGTTTCTTGGGTACCTGTCTGTTGGCTTCTCTTTACCTCTCCAGATGATTCCCAGGGAACTGTGGTATCTTATTTTGCCTTTGCCAGCCACTGCCTTATTGATGTCACTTCACTTCCAACATGTTATCCCAAACTCTCCTCATGCCACACTCCCCATGCCCGCCATGCTGCACTGACTTTTTCTTTCTTGAGGAAGTTAAGCTGTTTTTAATATACCAGGTCTTCTTAACTTTTCTTTCCTCTATCTAGAATATTCTCTTCCTGGTTCTTTTGGTGGCTAGCTTCTTCCTACCATTCATTTCTTGGATCTCTTGTCATCTTTCTGAATCAGTAACAGTGAATGGCCATCTTGTGCCCCACTCCTATATCCCTTTATAACTGGTTACCCACTTTCTATGTGCCTATAACATTTAACACTGTCTGAAGTCCTCGTATTTGCTCCTTGGGGTCAGAACCCTTGTATGACTGGTTTTCTGCTCTGTCCCCAGAAGCAAGAACTGGCCAGGATCTCTAATACAACATTGAATTAAAGTCATGATAGTCTATATCCTTGTCTTGGTCCTGACCTTAGAGACCAGCATTTCACCATTAAGTAGATTCTTGTAGATACCTGAAGTGAACTTCTAACTGTATTATAGAGGATTGGATTTCAGCAAGTAGAAATCAGGGGAAATGAATATTCTAAACACAGGGAAGAACCCCTGGCAGTAATGTAAATGGTCTCCTTTGGCAGTAGATCCAAAAGAAATAGTAGAAGCCACATCCTTGTCATGATATTTCTTGTCTTGTCTCTTAATGGGTTCCCTACCATGCTGAGTAACTTTACATGTTGAGGAGAAGTAGTAGGAGATATAAGATTAAAAAGTTATGATGGGGGGAATGCCTGGGTGGTTGAGCCTCTGTCTTCGGCTCAGGGCAGGATCCCCAGTGGGGGGATTGAATTCTGCATCTGTCTTCCTGCAGGGAGCCTGCTTCTCCCTCTGCGTATGTCTCTCTGCCTTTTTCTCTATGTCTCTCATGAATAAATAAATAAAATATTTTTTAAAAAGTTGTGATGGGATTAAATCATGGAGGTGAGAAGACAGTTGTAGTAAACTGTGTTCTTTTAGCACTAGATGCTGTTCTAGGACAGTAAAACCTACATTAACAGAATTTGAGAAGTCATAAAGAAAAGTTGGTTAGTAAAGAGATGCCTCTTCTGGCAGTTATTAAGAAGTTATATTTTATAATTTGGAACTCATCTTAAAATAATTAGTTCTTAGAAACATTATACCACTACTTAACAAAAAACTCAGGGCTGAAGGATAAATTTGGGCATCATTTACAAGGTAGAGGAAGTATATGAGTTTTAAGTATATTCGTATGAAGATAAACTTAATTCTGCCTCTAAGCTCTGTGACATTTGGAAATTTAAAATTTTGGGACTTTAATTTCACCAATAAAATTAGAGTTGAACCATATTTGTTTTAATGGCTTTCTTAGTTCTTGTATTGTTGACTTTGACAGGCAGGTGGAGGAAAAACTCATGCCAAATATATGTCCAAATTCACAAATACTAAAGGCTGAATCATTTTTATGAAAACAATAATCTTCTTTCTGAAATGAGCATTTAGAGGAGGAGAATATGAGAATAGAGCTGACCCAAAGTTGAGTTTTCATTGGCTGTCAGTTGTGAAAATCCTTTTTTCCCCTTGATTTTGGGAAGACATTTACAATGAAGCAATTCAGGAACAACATTTCCACATTTCTAATTTTTTTTTAATTTAAAGATAAAAAGAAACTAAGATGGTTATTTGCCAGAACACTGAGGTTACTGATGGAAGCCCTGTCTGTTCCTTTTAGGCCACTTACTAAAAAGTCTTTTGCTTCTTCACCTCTACGTAGAGTGTGAAAGAAGGCATTTTCCTTCAGCTGTCTGTTTTGGCCTCACTACCCATACTGAGTTTTTAAATTTATTCACTCTACTTGGTTATAAAGCCTTTCAGTTTGGCCAAATGAACTTACATTTATGTTTGTCACTAATTTATTTTGCCACTAGTTTAAGAACTTACAAGAGATGCTCCAGTTTCCATGTCTGTAGGAAGGGAAAATTGTTTTAATCTGGACATGATTAGCAACAAGGCAACTATTTAGTATATGTATAACTTTTACATATTTCTTTACTGTTTTGCTTAATAGTCTATGCTTCTTAAATCATCCTTTTTAGGTAACTAATCATATCCATTTTGTAAAAAGTTAATCATGTAAAGTATGAGTAGGAAGAGTTGAAAAATGGAAGCCACAGTTTACCTAAAAGTAAGTGATTGTCTTCTTTTTAAAGATGCCCTAAACCCTGGGGTTTTTCTTTAATGTACATCCACTTAATTGCAAAATCCGGGGATCCCTGGGTGGCTCAGCAGTTTAGTGCCTGCCTTCGGCCCAGGGTGTGATCCTGGAGTCCTGGGATGGAGTCCCACGTTGGTCTTTCTGCATGGAGCCTACTTCTCCATCTGCCTGTGTCTCTGCTTCTCTCTGTATAGATCTCTCATGAATATATAAATAAAATCTTTTTTTAAAAAAATTGCAAAATCCTTGTTATTTTATATTTTAAATTCCATAAATTCATTCTGTCCTCTTAGTTAGCATTACCTTAATTTCAGCCATCCATTTTATCAACAAGATCATTGCAGGAGCCTTCTCCTTTAGGAGCCTTCTCTCTTCCTTTTTCTGTGTCACTATTGCTGCTATTCAGAAAATGCTAAAGTTGTCACTCCCTTACTACTCTAAAGTGATTCATTATTACCCAGAGCAATGGTTCTAAAAATTTGATGTGTATAAGAGTCACTTAGGGATTTTCTGATTGAATATGTCTAGAGATTCTGATACGTACAGTTCTTAGACCCCAAACATTGAGAAACTCTGAATCATAGTTCATTGCTAATAGCTATTGAGCTTGTACCATGTGCCAGGTACTGATCTAAATTTGCTGTGTTTGCTAATTACATAATTCTCAAAACCAACTTGTGTGGTAGAAAGTATTCTACTGTTTCTTATTATAAGGGTGATACCATCAAGGGTAAGTCCAGGCTTCTTATCATGGCCCTCCAGAGTCTTGACCCATGTTTATTTTCTTAGTCCCTTAGTTGTCACCCCTTCTCTTTCCTCTCTACACTGGAAATCTAGTAATACTGAGCTGTATGTGGCCCCAGAATACCATTTCTTTTCATATATTTGTGCTCTTGTAATGTTCCTTTTTCCTGAAGCTTCCTTGTCTTGGACCTTTCTTTACTTAAGACATTCCGTTTGGCAATCATCCCTAAGGAGTCTTTCCTAAATACAAGCCCTAATTAAATTAGTTAACTTCCATCTATTTCAGAACAATTTGTGTGTATTGTAGTCATGAGACTGGGAATGGCATTATCTAGAAATAATTTATATCTTTTTCTGCTCTCCTTAACTCTTTTTTTTTTTAAAGATTTTATTTTTTCATGAGAGACACAGAAAGAGAGGCAGAGACATAGGCAGAGGAAGAAGCAGGCTCCCTACAAGGAGCCTGATGCAGGACTCGACCCAGGACCCCAGGATCATGACCTCAGCCAAAGGCACATGCTCAACCACTGAGCCACCCAGGCATCTCTCCTCTTCTTAACTCTTGATTGAAACTGCTTGAAGGTAGAAAACTGGTGGTTTTCCTTTGTAACCCCATTATATACTACAGTGCCCCCACATAGAGTAGGAGCTTGGTAAAGTATCTTTGTATGTGTACTTTGAAAGTAACTGTGTCTAGATTTATTTGTGTCATCCTTCCATGTTGTATTAGGATAACGGAGATAGATTTGCAGAATCTCAAAATAAGCAATCACTAAAGGTGAATCATGGGGAGAGATTTTTATCAGATTAAAATAGGTGGTAAACTAAGGAATTATATATAATTCAGTAGTAAAGGGGATGAATATGTTTAGGCAAAGGGAATCATAGTGTATTTAATTTGAAATGATTATGGGTTGAGATTAGATGTCTAGGAAGTATATAAACCATTGTAGCTCTGTTACAATTCGCTTTTCAAAAATTCTTCTGTCTTGTATTACTTTATTAGAGAAAGATGCCACAGTTCCACTTCTCTTTTTAAAAAATGTATGTATGTATGTATGTATGTATGTATGTATGTATGTATGTATTTGAGGGGGGAGAGGCAGAAGGAGAGGTAGAGAGAGTCTTAAGGTGATGCTGTGCTGAGTGTGGAGCCTGATGTGGCCTGTGCCACCCAGACCACCCCCCACTCTCTCTCTCTTTTTTTTTAAGAATTTATTTATTCATGACATACACACATACACAGAGAGAGAGAGAGAGAGAGAGAGAGAGTACCAGGCTCCATGCAGGGACCCCGACATGGGACTCAATCCCTGGTCTCCAGGACCATACCCTAGGCTGAAGGTGGTGCTAAACTGCTGAGCCACTGGGCTGCCCACACTTCTCTTTTTGATGTTTATGTGAATGTTTAAAAGTAGAGATTTGAAAAGAGTAATATCTAAAGCCAAACTAGATGTAGTGGGTGGGCCCTGGACCTTTCATGCCCTGAGACTAATTGTTGAATGACAGGCTAAGGCTCTGCTTATTTCAGAGCCCACTGGTAATTTAAGTAGTTTTAGACTTGACATTTCTAGCCTTTGTTGTCCTATCACATGATGTGAGTGAAGTTTTAATTTGAAATAATAGGTTTTCCTAAAGCTCTTTCTGATGTTATTCTCCTAAAAATGAACACAATGCTTTCCATGAGGGTTTCAGAAATTCTAAAGTACTTCATACATTACATCAAGGTATTTCACTGTCTTAGGTACAATTTTTCGTGATTTTAAGAATTGTTAAGTGTTTGCTTTTATAAAAATATTACATAGCCATAGAAACTTATTAATATAGTTTCATTTGTTTGGCACAGTCTGAATTTAAACAAAACAGGACAATTTTTAGTTATTTTTCTCTGTAGTGTTCATATATATATATATATGTATGTTTGGGGGGGAGGGTGGTAACACTACCCTGTAAGTATACAGAGGCAGTAAAGTCATTTGTTCTATGTCATTTTAGCTGCAGACATTCAATACAGCTGCACCCTGTCAAGATGTCAAACAGCTGACTAATGGAGTTGCCATGGCACAAGTTCTTCATCAAATGTAAGTAGTGGTCCAGACTGTTTTTGAAAGAATTATAAACCCAATACCAAGGAAGAAAGCTTAGAGTCATTCTAAAAGTCACTGAAATTGTATCCTATGAAGTCCTGCCAGCCATATGGTACTAAGGCATTATTGCATCTGGAGAATTAAAACTTTTACTACCTGATTATTCCTTGCTTGTTCATAGAGATACATGTTAATTAAATGAGCAAACAAGTTTCTTACTATTTAAGAGATTTTAATTTTAAACTTGTTCTGGTCACATTCACAAGTTAAAATAACTTGAAAAGAAACAGCTTTGAAATGAAGGGTATATTGTTTATAATTTTTTTTCAGTTATATTACTGCCACTGGAAGGTATCAATAATCTTATAATAATAAGATTATTATTTTAGAGATAACTGAAATATAAATACTGTTTTTGGAAAAAAATACTAAATTTTAAAATCTATATTTGAATTGGAAGTGTGACTTCTATAACTCCACCAATAATAAAATGAAGTATGCATGAAATTTGAAGTCACAAATATTGGGAAATCTTAACTAATAATTCTATTTGGGGTAGGCCCATATTATATAGTATCAAAAGCGCTTAAGTCCATTATTTCCTAATTTTTGCCAAACATTGTGCAAGGATTATGATTATAACATCTGCAATATGAGGGGGATCCCTGGGTGGCTCAGTGGTTTAGCGCCTGCCTTCGGCGCAGGGTGTGATCCTGGAGTCCCGGAATCAAGTCCCACATCGGGCTCCCTGCATGGAGCCTGCTTCTCCCTCTGCCTATGTCTCTCTCTCTCTCTCTCTCTCTCTCTCTGTGTCTCTCATGAATAAATAAATAAAATCTTAAAAAAAAAATAACATCTGCAATATGAGCTCTATCCTTAGTAGGAACAAATGGAGCCAATTTATTGATAGTCACATTGATCTTGCTTACGTTTATGATAATATATCTTCGATGAAGCCAGAATCCTATCTCTGCCACTTGTGTTACAGCCAGAGATTATTGATTTAATTGTTGCCATTATTTTGTCAAGGTTTGTTGTGATTGGCATTGAAAACCCTGTAGAGGTTTCTGTAGATAGGTTTGCACCCTCACACAAACAACTTAAAAGTGTCAAAATTCTAGTTACTTGGAATCTTCAACATGATCTAATTTGAATAGACAGGTTTTATGGTTAACTCAAGATGAACACATTAAGAGACAAACGTAGTCATTCTAAAATATGCCTTCCTCCTCTGTTTCCTTAAAAAGGGATCTTAAACATTTCGTTTTTTTATACTCTGATTAGTTTCAAAGTGATTTCATTGGTCAGATCCAAGCACTCTGGATATTGATTTGGGAAAATCCTCATTGTTTTTTGTCATTAGAATGTACACCTTGTCTTTTCTTATTGCATTATGTTGTGGGTATTAGTATAGATGCAGCTACGTTGTGGTTAGTATGGATTGTAAGGCTGGTGTGCATTTATTGACTTCAACGGTGCCATCCAAAGCTCTTATTTTTATGTGTCGTAGTGGCCCTGGTACCTTTTATACTATAACACAATGGAAGAGACTTGTTTTTACCATGATGTGATACAATGACTCTTTAACTCCCTATACTTTAGCACTGTACCTAATATTTAGAGTAGGGTCAGTTCAAATTCAGTTAAACTCGGGGATCCCTGGGTGGCTCAGTGGTTTAGCGCTTGCCTTCTGCCCAGGGTGTGATCCTGGAGACTCAGGATCGAGTCCCATATCGGGTTCCCCGCATGGAGCCTGCTTCTCCCTCTGCCTGTGTCTCTGCCTCTCTCTTTGTGTCTGTCATGAATAAATAAATAAAATCTTAAAAAAAAAACATTCAGTTAAACTCTACAGTTTGTTAGAAGCTATTAGAAGACAATAAGAGACAAAAAAAGAAAACAAAAAAGAAAACAAAATCAGAGAGTTAGAGGAACAGCAGTGACAGCGAAATCCAAAAGATTACAGAAAATGAGTTGGTGTAAAGTCAAATAATGAGTTATTAGCAAAGCCAGGATTTGCATAGCTTTGGCCTGACTCTGACACCAGTGCTTGCAGTCAGCTGTAATCATTGAAATCTAGTATCTTGAACTTCTGATAGATTTTTTTTTACTTTGGGGTTTTAATACATAAAAGTCCAGATGCACATGCCCAAAGAACAGCTCACAATCTGATGTTTTAAGTAAGTAGACCTTTTGAGTATTCAAGAAGAGTGTCAGGACGTCTGTTGAACCAAAACAACTATGCCATATATAGTAACCTGTAGGTGTTAATTACTGCATGTATTTAGTTGGTAAGACTATCGAAGACAAACACCATGGGTAGAGTTAAAAAATAATTTTATACTGATTCTCTCTTACCTTTTTAGAAAACAGTTGGACCATATTTTGCTTCCTCAGTCTTGAGTCTTCTTATTCGGTGTCCCTTGAGATTCACTCAAGTTCTGGGAAATAGGAGAAAAGGAACTAATTGTTAGGGCCAAAAGTCTAGTTAAGACATGTAGATGTGGCAATGAAAAAAAATTAAAAGAAGAATATGTCCAGAGAGTTTTGAGGTTGGATATCAAGTTTGATTGTGGGAAAGACTGACTGTCATTACAATTGTTTAAGAAGGATGAACTGTTTATAAGAAAGAAGAAGTTAGAAAGTATTTCTCAGGGTATTATAGACTGAATGTTTGTATCCATTCTAAATATATATGTTGAAGCCCTAACCCCAGTGTAGCTATTTTGGAGCTTCTGAGAAGTAATTAAAGTTAAATAAGTTCATAAGACTGGGGCCCTGATCTGATAGGCTTATAAAAGAACATACATCAGAGAGCTCACTCACTTGGTACTCTTGAGAGTACCAAGAATCATGTGAGCACACAGTGAGATGGCAGCTACCTATAAGCCTAGGGAAGAGATCTAAGAGTTAAACTTACCTTGCCAGCATCTTGAGTTTGAACTTCCAGAACTGTGGGAAATATCTGCTGTTGAAGCCACCCAGTTTGTGATGTTTTGTTTTAGAAATTTGAGCAGACTAAGACACAGGAGTAGTTGACTGCAGTTGACTTGGAGTAGAAAGACAAAGAGGCACACAAGATAAAGGGACAAAAGCTAGAAGAGGTTATATTGAGATCCATCTTCTAATCATGTTATGATTATAGAATCATATGTCTCTTCACATACGATTCTTTAGGGTCAGTTAGTAGACTGGTTTAGTATTCAGGGTTCTCCAGAGAAAGAGAATCAATAAGACATAAATATATACAATAGGATGTGTATATATACACACATACACAGAGGAGAGAGCAATTTGTTTTTAGGAATTGGCTCACATGATTGTGGAGGCTGGCAAGTCCAAAAGTCACAGGTCAGGCCTGCAGGTCAGAGATTCAGAGAAAAGTTGATGCTGTAGCTAGAGTCCACAGACCATCTATTGGCAGAATTCACTCTTTCTTGAGGGAGGCTATTCTTTTTCTTCAGGGCTTCAACGGATTGGATGAGGCCCACCCACATTATGGAGGGTAATGTGTTTTACTTAAAAGTCTACTGATTTAAGTGTTAATCTTTTTTTTTTTTTAAAAAGATTTTATTTATTCATGAGAGACACACACACACACAGAGAGAGAGAGAGAGAGAGAGAGAGAGGCAGAGACAGAGACACAGGATCACACCCCAGGCAAAGGTGGCACTAAACCACTGAGCCACCGGGGCTGCCCTTAATGTTAATCTTATCTAAAAAATATTCTCATAGCCACATCCAAGCATGCTTAAGCAAAAAAATGGGTTACTTCACCTAGCCAAGTTGATACATAAAATTAACCATCACAACTGGCTCACCTATTTTACTTAATCTGATGTCAAAAGAAAATGAATTTGTTTTGATGACAGTTTTGGTTCATTACTAAATAGATCAAACTTTTAAAGTAAATATTTGGTTATAAATACACCATTTATGCATTTGTAGCCAAATTATGTTGGTAATTGTAGCCTTAGCATCTGGGGAGAGTTGAATATAATCAATATTAATTTCCTTAAAAGAAAATGGCTACAGATTCCACATAGATGAATTAGATGGCAAAGTAATTTGTGGTTACCCCAGTAGGAAGTGGTATCTTCTGTACTAGAGCATCTAAGGCAGAATGATTTCTGAAAAACTAAGCACCCTGTTTTAGTTTCAGCTTTATATTTTTAAATTCAGGCATTGGAAATGAATCCCTTTAATTTCTTCCCTCACTTTTGTTGGCTTATTTGTGAAGTACAAAATTTAGATGAGACTTGATGACCTCTGCTCGTACTATTATTCTGTTATTTTGCAGTGTTTGTGGAGTTAATATAGTTAATATAATTAATATAGTTAATATAATTAATATAGTTAATATAATTACTCTTATAGCTCCTCAGTTACCCTTACATTTCATACATTCTCCTTTGAGTATAGTTTTGTGCTTTTTTTCTTTCCTGCTTTAATAGCTATTTCCCTGAGAGTCATGGTAGTAAATTATTCATCTTTATATTAATCTTGCTCAATTCCTTACTCAAAGCAAGCATCCAAATATTTGTTTAGAATATATAGGATCTAGGGATGCCTGGGTGGCTCAGCCATTGAGTGTCTGCCTTTGGCTCAAGGCATGATCCCAGGGTCCTGGGATCGAGTCCCACGTCGAGCTCCCTGCATGGAGCCTCCTTCTCCTTCTGCCTGTGTCTGTGCTTCTCTCTCTCTGTCTGTGTCTTTCATGAATAAATAAATAAAATCATTAAAAATATATACATAGGATCTATTAACACAGTTCACTATAGCCAAATGTTATTCTTTAAAACTTTACTAAATACTTAAAAAAATCGATGTAGCAATTCTTTGTCTTGCCTTTCCATATTAATATGACTTGACTATATAAGCTTAAAATGAAATTTGTCCTTGTAGACATCTCTTTACACTCATTCTACTCAATTACAATCAAGTCGATTTATTTTGGACTTTGCCGTGTACTAAGGTCACTTTGGGCAAATCTCTTATCTTCTCTCATCCTCAGTTCCCTGAAGAGTAAGATTGAGTATAATCATAATCAATCCTTTGCCAATTACTATGATAATGAAATATTGCACTGTGGGAAAACCATCAAGCACAGTGCTTAATACAGAGTAGACACATTAGAATGTTAGTTTTCTTCTTTTTTTTTCTTTTGTCCCCCTCTTTAGAATTGGGACTTTTACATCTTCTTGCTACCAGAGTGTCTAGTATGAGATATTTAGTAAATGTTTATTAAATTAAGTAATTTATAATGAGAAATTACAAAAGAAATTCTTAGGAATCACTAAAAATTCAGTGAGTTCGTTTAAATAATATTTACTTGTATTAAAGCTTTCAGATATAAAATAACCTAGTGATTTAATTTGGTACTTTCTATGTAACAGAAACGTTTTAATGTTTTGCATTTGTTTTTTTGTTTCAGTGATGTAGCTTGGTTCAATGAATCTTGGTTAAGCCGAATTAAAGAGGATATTGGTGACAACTGGAGAATAAAGGTATACAGAGCAAGTAGTAGAAGCACTTAATCCAAACAGTGATTTTAAAATTAATACTAAGATCAATTAAATCTTTCTTTAAAAATTTATTTTAAAATGCATTTTCTTTTGCACAATTTGAGTTTTGACACATCTGTGTTCTTCTGCAACTACCATTGTACTTAGATGTGGAACATTTCCATAATCCAAAACATGCACTTATGCCTCTTCCCAGTTAATCCTCACACTTGGCCCTGTGGATCTGCTTTCTGTTACTACAGATTTCTAGAGTCCATGTAAATGGAATTAGACATTGTATATTCTTTGTGTTTAGCATTTTTCACTCACTATGATGTTTTTAAGAATCATCCATGTTGCCTATATTAGGATTTCTTTCTGAATAGTATTTCATTACATTTATACAGTACAATTTGCTTACCCACTCATCTATTGATGGATAGTAGAATTGTTTCTGTGTTTACCTGCTTTGGGTACAATTACAATGACATATATCTAATTTTTCTTGGGTAAATTCCTGAATATGATTGTATCCCATTGTCTAGGTGTATATTTAACCTTATAAGAAACTACCAGACTGATTTTTTACTTCTTCTTAAGTCAGTTTTGTTGTGTCTTGTAGGGCATTTGTGTGTTTCATTTAGGTTGTCCACAATTTGTTGGCATACAGTCATTTTTGACTGTTATGTTGCTACTAATATGCTGATGGTTGTGATCTTTAGTGATGTGTCCTCTTTCTTTACTGATGATGGTAATTTATGTCTTTTGCCTTTTTTTTCCTTGATAAGTTTGGCTTGACATTTTAAAATTTATTAATTTCTTTTTAAGAACTAGCTTTTGTTTTTTATTTTATAGATGTCCTCTCTGTATTATTTCCTTTTCTCTACTTACATATTCTCTTCTTTTTTCTTGTGTCTTAAGGTGGGAAATTATAAGTTTTGGCCTTTTATTTTCCTAATATGAAACATTGCCTTACACATCCCACACTGTTTGACAAATTGTGTTCCTGTTTTCATTCAGTTCAAAATATTCATTAATTTCAAATGTGGTTTCTTTTGATCCATGGGTAGATTAGAAGTAGGTATTTTAAATTATAAATATTTGAGGATTTTCAGATACCTTTCTTGTTTTTATTGATATCTAATTTAATTCCATTTTTGCTTGAGAACATACTCTGTATGGAGAAATTCTTTTATATTTATTGAGACTTATTTTATGATCTAACATATGGTCTGTCTTGGTGAATGTTCCATGTGTACTTGAAAACGTATTCTGCATTTGGATTATGTCAAATGTACTGATAGTACTATTGCATCTTTTGTATCTTTATTGATTTTCTGTTTGAGTATTCTATCAGTTATGGATGAGGAGTCTTTATATCTCTAACAATGATTATGGATTTGTTGATTTCTCCTTTCTGTTAACTTTTAAATCATATAATTTGAATCCCTATTGTTTATATACACTAATTTTTAAATGTCTTCTTGATGAATGAATCTATTTATCATTATGAAAGGCCTTTTGTTATCCCTGGCAATCCTTCTTCTGAAGTCTAATTTGTCTGATATTAATGTAACCACTCCAGTTTTATGATTGTTTTTTTGTTTTGGTATATCTTTTTAAAAATTCCTTTAATCTATCTTTATATTAGGTCTTTCATGTAGACACCTAACAGTTGAGTCTTCCTTTTTTTTTATCTAGAGACTATCTTTTTATTTTGTTCTTTAAGAAAAAAGAAGAAAATCTTCCATTTCTGTCCTTATATTCCTGTTGTCATTTAAATCCTTGAACATTTTGAAGTTAGCAGTTTTAACATTATATTGTCTTCTAATTCTTTCATCTCATTTCTTGGCCCATTTCTATTGACTGAGTTTTCTCCTTATTATCATCTGCATTTTCCTGCTTCTGCACATAAATAGTAGTTTTTTATTGGATGTTGGATAGTATGAATTTCATTGTTGAGTACTGGCCTTTTTCTTTCCCTTTAAAGAGTGTTGAACTTTGTTCTCGGAGGCAGTTAAGATACTTGTGAATTGGTTTGATCCTTCCAAAGTTTTGGGTGTTAGGATACAGATGTAGAATTATCTTTCCTCTAGGGCTAGAATAGACCCACTACTTTTTAGGGTCTTTAGTTAGTGCTTGTCAGTGCAGCAGAGTCTCTTCATTCTGGCTCATGGGAATTTCAAAATTTCTGGCCCCGTGTAACCTTGGGAATTGTTCATCTTAAAGTTCCTTGGATTGTTTTTTTCCTTGGAAATTATTCTTGACTGGGAAAAAAATGGAAAAAAAAGTGAAATTATTTTTGTTTAATCTCAATGAGCTTCACCCATTCATGTGCCAAATAATATGCAGCTAAAAGTGACAAACCACTGTGCAAATTTCTGGAGCATTTTCTCTCCATAGTGCTCACCTCTTTTCATTTGTCTGCCCTGCAAATTCTAACTACCATGACCTTCCTGAACTTCTGATGTCCATCTCCTCAACTCAGTGAGAACATCAGGCTTTGTTCAGTTTCTACCACACTATATACCATGGAATGAAAATTGCCTCCAGAGAGAAATCTTAAAGTCAGGCTCATCATTTTTGTCTTCCTTCTCTCAGAAATTAGAGTTCCATACTGTCCAGCATCTAAGGCTTGGAAAAGTTGTTCTTGCATTTTGTCCCGCTGTCCGTTGTTTGTGGCAAGAGAATAAGTAGAAGCCCTGTTACTTGTGATTGGAGATGGGCACGCACATAGCTAAATCTTTAAAGTTGGTACTTCTTTTCATTTTAAATAGAACCATCCTGGTTAGCCCGCAGAAGCATTTAGACACTTTTAATCAGATTCTGATTAAAGCTTTCATGTTTAAACAATATCATATACTTGTATTTATAAAACTCTAATATATGTTTTTTGTTGTCATTGTTATGAAACCAGTTTGTGTTGTCTTTCACCTTAGCATAAATTTTTTCATTAGTAACATGAAATAATTTATTGAATTCTTATTCTTTTTTCCCCATTAGGCTAGTAATTTAAAGAAGGTACTTCAAGGAATTATGAGTTATTACAATGAGGTATGAAAAACATATGACTTTGTTTAAATACAAAATGCTATGTGATTATTACATTGACATCAGAAAATAACCTGGATTTTTGTTTATACATCTTACTAGAATGTAATTCATAATTGGAATATATTGTTTTTTGGCATTTTCAGAACATGCTAATTTTGTGAACATGAACAGGCTTAAACTTAATATATTGATTTGTAAAATAATGTTGCTTCTATATTGATACTCTTGAAACATGTTATTTTCTCCAAGAGAATTACTGTCATCTCTCTATATGATTTGATTTTATACAATGCTATAGACTATAATTAAATTGAAGTATTTCCTGTGTCAAGCTTTATTTTGACATTTCTTCTCAATGCAAACAGCCTCAGAAGTATGCATGCTGTGAAATTATGCTTTTGTGCAAGTAAATTGGGAAAAATGCAAAATGAAAGTAGTTTTAAAATCAGTTTAGATAGTATACTATTCAAGTAGGTTTTTTCTTAGTACCATAGCAAGTTCTCTAGTAGGATTATTTGTTGCAAGAAAGCTTTTTGGTTATATTTGAAAATTTTTAGTGTGGTCTTGCCATTGAAAGATTTGGTTTCTATTTTTTAAAGTTGTCACATATTTATACTTCTGGTTGTTATCCAAATAATTTTAAGACTGAAATTTTTCAACCTATTAATGCCTCAAACTATTTTGGAGTTTTTTTTTAATGCTGAAGACTTAATGAGCTGAAAAAAAAAAAAAGATAAGCCCCAAAAGATTAATCCATTAAATTTGTTACATTTCCTGTTCATTTGTAAGTATGATGGTTTATATTGTGGTTTTCTACCAATCAGTCATGCATCAAAATTTTATGCATATCCTTCAGCTTAACATAAATCTGTTTATTTTTGGAAAGGCATAAGTTTTGCCATAATAGATACATCTAAAGGTTTCTTAATCCCTCTGACAGTGGGATTAAAGGGTATTTGATGTAAAACCATTTTAGTTGTTAGTTGGTTAGTCAAAATTTTGGGATGCTGCTTGAGCTTTACTAACTGGTTTTAGTCAACAGTTATGGATTTATATCAATTTGTTAATTTACCCAAGTCATTTCAAGATCCTGTTTATAATTTCCTTGTCATAATTAAATGTAATAAATTTTTTGTAGCCTACATAAAAGAGTGATCTAATTTATTGTCTCAATTCTGCAGTTTTTGGGGCAACAAATTTCTGAAGAACTTATCCCTGATTTAAACCAAATAACTGAGAGTTCAGATTCTGTGGAGCTTGGGAGGTTGCTCCAGCTTATTTTAGGTTGTGCAGTCAATTGTGAAAAGAAGCAAGGTAAGTGAATTTCAGTCAATTCAAAGTCAATTTGGGGATATTTACTCTCTAAAAACACCTACATTGTATAGAAAATACCATTAAAAATTTACTATTATGTCTTGGCACAAAGCACCTGGAAAGGTAACCCAGGAGACCTTAAGTCTAATCCAGTTCTGCCATTAAAAAGCTACAAATCTTAACCAGCCTATTTGTACCTGGATTTGTACCTATTTAATTTAGCACCTGTACAGTGGCTAAATTTTTCAACCTATTAATGCCTCAAACTATTTTGGAGCTTTTTTTAATGCCAAGAAAACTTTTAATGAGCTAAAAAAAAAAAAAAAAAAGATAAGGCCAGGAAAGATTAATCCATTAGATTTGTTAGATTTCCTGTTCATTTGTACAGTGGCTAAATTAAATGTATTTTAGTTTAATTAACTTCCTGTATTCAGTGCTTAGACTTAGTGGAAATTCAGTAAAAATTGTACCTGATTTATTTTGTTTCACGTGTAAGATGCACACTTAGGTTGATTTAGGTTTTTATAAATAAATATGCAGATATTAAATTATAATCCAAGCTTCTTCAGATAATATTCTCCTCTTTTTAGAAGAATGACTGTCTAGTGTATCCTCCAGTTAAGCAGTCTGGAATTGGTATTTTAGAGTGATATATACAAACACAGTGATCCTTATCCTAATGAGTACAGAAAGACCATTTTTGTTTGCATGTAGTGACTAAAATGATGAACTGAACAGACCAAGACTTACTTCCCTCAGGGCCTGCATCAGTCTGGGTGGTGAGATTTCTAGTGCTGATGTTTTTTGTATGATTTGTCCAAACTTACCGTACATCACCTTTATAAGAATATGTTGGGTGCTTAAGTTTGTACAATACTTTAAGCCAGGACCTTAGAAGACAAATTCAGTATTATCTAAATAATGAAGTAAGAATATGAGACAGGTTAAATTCAGTAAGAAAAAATTAAGGAAGAAGAAAAATAAAATATATGAAATTAATTGTTTATTAATAAAAAAGAAAAAGGATTGGGTATCAGAAAACTTTGGTATTAGTCTGTCTTTATCATCAATTAGCTATATTTTTCCACGGCAAGTGAGTGTTTCTCCGTAGGTTTTTATTTTTCATTTAGAGATAATGTCAAAGATCTATATATTGGTATTTTTCACAAAATTTGCTCATGGAAAACTTCCATACATGTTTAATTACAAATTGATAATTAGCAATTAATGTATAAATCTAGAAATTTTCTGTTATTCTTATTTTTTATTTGATTAATAAAACTTTTCTATTATTGTTTCTTTTTATTTGACTAATACTTTATTTCAATTATTGGTTGTTTATAATATCTTTTTGCTTAATTTTAGCACATTTGGCAGGGTTTTTTTTTTAAGTATAATTGACATTCAATTTTATATTAGTTTCAGGTATAAAACATATTGATTTGATGATTCTATAAATTATTCAGTGCTCACCAAGATAGGTGTAGTCCCCATCTATCACCATACAATGTCATTGCAATATTATTTACTATATTTCCTATGCTCTACTTTTCATCACTATGACTTTATAACTGGGAGTTTGTACCTCTTAATCCCTTTTATCTGTTTAACCCATCCTTCCACTCACCCCTTCTCTGATGACCACCAGCTTGTTCTCTATATTTAAGAGTCTGTTTTGTTCTGTTCTGTTTTGTTTTGTTTTAGATTTCACATGTAAGTGAAATCATATTATATTTGTCTTTATCTGATTTACCTCACTTGTCATTATACCTTTTAGGTCCATCCATGTTATTGAAAATGGCAGATCTCATTCTTTTTTATGGCTAAGTAATATTCCATCATATGTTTACATACATGTAATATTTCTATGGTGTGTATATATACATACAGGTATATATTCCATTGTATGTATGTGTGTATGCACATATATATGTATATATACATTTGTATGCACTACATCTTCATCTGTTGACAGACATTTGGGTTGCTTTCATATTTTGGCTATTTATACAATAAACACAGGAGTGCATATATCTTTTTAAATTAGTGTTTTGGTTTTCTTTGGGTAAATACTCAGAGGTAGAATTACTGGATTATATGGTATTTCTCTATCTGTGTTTTTTAGGAACCTCCTTCCATATTATCTACTACAGTGGCTGCACCAATTTATATCCCAATCAACAGCACACGAGTGTTCCTTTTTCTCCATATCCTCGCCAACACTTGTTGTTTCTTGTGTTTTTTATTTTAGCCATTCTTACTGGTGTGAGGTGATACCTCTTGTGGTTTCGATTTATATTTCCATGGTGATTAGTGATGTTGATAATCTTTTCATGTATCTGATGGCCATTTTTATTTATTCTCTGGAAAAATGTCTAGGGCCTCTGCTAATTCTTTAATGAGATTTTTTTGTGTTTTTGGTGTTGAGTTATAGAAGTTCTTTATATATTTTGTATATTAACCCTTTATTGGATATATCACTTGCAAATATCTTCTCCTGTTAGTAAGTTCCTTTTTGTTTTGTTGATGGTTTCCTTTGCTATTTTTGTATTGTCTCTGTAGTTTATTTTGTCTTATGTTTCCCTTGCTGAAGAGACATATCCATAAATATGTTGCTAAGGCCGATGTCCAAGAGATTACTGCCTCTGGTTTTTGTTAGTTGTGGTTTTAGGTCTCACCTTTAGGTCTTCAATCCGTTTTGAGTTTATTTTTGTGTAATGTGTAAGGGAGGGGTCCAGCTTCATTGTTTTGCCTGTAGCTATCCAGTTTTCCCAGCATTATTTATTGAAGAGACTGTCTTTGCTCCATTGTATATTCTTGTCTCCTTTGTCATAGATTAATTTGACCATATAAGTGAGGGTTTATTCTAGGCTTTGTATCCTGTGGCATTGATCTATGTGTCTGTTGTTAAGCCAGTACCAGACTATTCTGATTACTAGATCTTTGTAGTACTATCTTGAAATCTGGGATTCTGATACCTCCAGCCTTGTTCTTTCTCGAGATTGCTTTGGATACTCAAGGTTTGTTGTGGTTCTATAGAGTTTTAGGATAACTTGTTCTACTTCTGTGAAAAATGCTGTTAGTATTTTGATAGGGATTGCAGTGAATCTGTAGATGACTTTGGATATTATGGGCATTTTAACAGTATTCTTTCAGTCTGTGAGCCTGGTATATCTATTTGTGTCATCTTCAGTTTCTTTCATCAATTTCTTAAAGATTTCAGAGTATAAGTCTTTCACTTCCTTGGTTAAATTTATTCCTAGATATTTTATTTTGGTGCCATTTTAATAGGATTGTTTTCTTAGTATCTGTTTCTGCTACTTCATTATTGGTAGATAGAGACCAACTGATTTCTGTATATTAATTTTATATCCTGCAACTTTACTGAATTCACATATTCTAATAGTTTTTTGGTATAGTTGTTTTCTATATAAAGTAGTATGTCATCTGCAAATAGTAACAGTTTAACTTCTTCCTTACGACTTTGGGTGCCTTTTATTTACTTCTTCCTTACGACTTTGGGTGCCTTTTATTTCCTTTCTTGTCTGCTTGTTACAGTGAGGACTTCCAGTACTATGTCAAATAAAAGTTGTGAGGATGGAAATCCTTATCTTGATATTGATCTTGAGGAAAAGCCTTCAGTTTTATACCATTAAGTATTATGTAACTTGCGGAATTTTTAGATATGTCCTATATTATGTTGAAATATGTTCCCCCTAACTTACTTTGTTAAGGGTTTTTAACCATGAATGAATATTGTACTTTGTCAAATGCTTTTCTGCATCTATTGAGATGATCACATGGTTTTTATTCTTATATATCACATTGATTGATTTGTGAATATTGAACCACCTTTGCATCCTTGGAATTAATCTCACTTGATCATGGTGAATGATCCTTTTAATGTGTTATTGAATGCAGTTTGGTAATATTTTGTTGAAGATTTTTGAATCTGGGATAATCAGAGATATTGATTCTTAATTTTCTTTTTTTGTAGTGTCTCTATCTGGTTTTTTTTTTTTTTTTTTTTTTTTTAATTTATTTATTTATGATAGTCAGAGAGAGAGAGAGAGAGAGAGGCAGAGACATAGGCAGAGGGAGAAGCAGGCTCCATGCACTGGGAGCCCGATATGGGATTCGATCCCGGGTCTCCAGGATCGCGCCCTGAGCCAAAGGCAGGCGCCAAACCGCTGCGCCACCCAGGGATCCCTCTCTATCTGGTTTTGATATCAAGGTTATGCTGGCCTCATAGAATGAATTTGGAAGTTTCCTTCTTCTATTTTTTGGAACAGTTTGATAAGAATAGGCATTAACTATTCTCTAAATGTTTGGTAGAATTTACCTGTGAATCCAGCTGTTCCTGGATATTTGTTTATTGGGGGTTATTTTTTATTACTGATTCAATTTCATTACTTGTAATAGGTCTGCTTAAATTTTCTTTTTTTTATAATTTTTTTTTAATTTTTATTTATTATTATTTATGATAGTCACAGAGAGAGAGAGAGAGAGGCAGAGACATAGGCAGAGGGAGAAGCAGGCTCCATGCACCGGGAGCCCGACGTGGGACTCGATCCCGGGTCTCCAGGATCGCGCCCTGGGCCAAAGGCAGGCGCCAAACCGCTGCGCCACCCAGGAATCCCAAATTTTCTATTTCTTCCTGATTCCATTTTGGAAAATTATATGTTCCCAGGAATTTATCCATTTCTTGTAGATTGTCCAATTTGTTGGCATATAATTTTTCAAAATAGTCTCCTGCAATTCTTTGTATTTTTGTGATGTCAGTTACTATTTCTCCTCCTTTATTTCTGATTTTGAATTGCCTCTGTTTTTTCTTTTCTTTTCTTTTTTCTGAAACTGGTTAAAGGTTTATCAATTTTATCTTTTTAAATAATCAGCTCTTGGTTTCATTGATCTTTTCTATGGTTTTTTAGTTTCATTTATTTTCACTTGAATCTTTATTATTTCTGTTCTTCCACTAACTTTGGCCTTTGTTTGTTCTTACTTTCCTAAAACTCCTTTTGAGATTTTTCTGGTTTCTTGAGGATAGGCTTGGTTCAATATAAACTTCCCTCTTAGAACTGCCTTGGCTGCATCCCAGAGGTTTTGGACTGTTGTGTTTTCATTTCCATTTGTCTTCATGTATTTTTTTATTTCCTCTGATTTCTTTGTTAACCTGTTGGTTGTTTAGTTGCATGTTGTTTAGCCTACTTATATGTCTGTTCTTTTCCAGTTCTTTTTTTGTATTTGATTTCTAGTTTCATACTGTCTTAGTTGGAAAAGATGCTTGATATGACTTCCATTTTCTTAAATTTATTGAGGCTTGTTTTGTGGCCTAACATGATCTATCCTATAGAATGTTCCATGGGCACTTGAAAAGATTGTGTATTCTGCTGTTTTGAATGGTATGTTCTGTATATACCTGTTAGGTTCATCTGATTGAATGTATCATTCGAAGCCACTATTTCCTTGTAGATTTTCTGTCTCAATGTTCTACCCAATGATGTAAATTTTTTGTCTTCTGCTATTACTGTCAATTCCTCCCTTTATGACTCTTATTTTCTTTATGTATTTAGGTAGCTCCTGTGTTGAGTACAGAGATATTGACAGTTGTTACATCCTTTTGTTGGAGTGACCTCTTTAATATTATGTGGTACCCTTCTCTGTCTCTTGCCACAGTCTTTGTTTTAAAGTCTATTTTCTCTGATAGAAGTATTGCTATCCTGGCTTTTTTTTCCTTCTTCTATTTTCATGTAGTATTTTTTTTTCTATCCCTTTACTTTCAGTCTCTTTGTGTCTGTAGGTTTGAAGTGAGTTTCTTGTAGGTTCATACAGGTGTAGCATATAGATTGGTCTTGTTATTTTTATCCATTACATCATCGTAGGTCTTCTGATTGGAGTATCTGGTCCATTTATATTTAAAGTAATTATTGATAAGTAATATACTTATTGTCATTTTATTGTTTTCTGGTTGTGTTTGTAGTTCTGTTCCTTTTTTCTTCTCTTGCTCTCTTCCCTTGTGGTTTGATGCTTTTCCATAGGATTATGGTTGGATTCTTTCTTCTTTATTTTTTTTTTGTATATCTGGTATAGGTTTTTGATTTTTGGTTGCCATTGAGTTGATCTATAACATTCTGCATAGGAATTTATATTAATTTGATGGTTGCTTAAGTTCTGAGAGCACTAAATTTAGACTCCCTTCTCCACGTTTTATGTATATGATGTCATATTTTACATCTTTTTGTTTTTTTGTATCCTTTGATTAATTTTTGTACATATAAATGATTTTACTACTTTTGTGTTTTAACTTCCATAATAGCTTTATAAGTGATTAATCTACTGCCCTTATGTTTGCTTTTATCTGTGAAATTTTTTCCCTTCATAACTTTACTTCTGGTTATGTCCTTTTGTTTCCCACTTAAAGAATTCCCTTTAGCATTTCTTGTAAGGTTAGTTTAATGATAATGAACTCGCTTAACTTTTGTTTGGGAAACTGTTTATCTCTCTTTCAATTCTCAGTGATAACCTTGTTGGGTAGAGTATTCTTAGTTCTTTCCTTTTGGCACTTTGAATATATCATGCCACTCTCTTCTAACCTACAAAATTTCTGCTAAAAAATCAGCTGATAGCCTTGTGGAGTTGCCCTTTTATATAATGTTTTTATTTTTTATTTTATTTTTATTTTTTGCTGCTTTTAAAATTCTCTATCATTATGCTTTTTTGGGGAGAAGAGGCAGTACATTCTTCTTTCTTTCTTTCTTTCTTTCTTTCTTTCTTCTTTCTTTCTTTTTTTTTTATTAGTTTAGAGGTAGAATTTAGTGATTCATCAGTTGCATATAACACCCAGTGCTCATTACATGAAGTGCTCTCCTTAATGCCTCCCCTGCTCCCAGCAACCCTCACATCTTCCCTCCTCCATGTTTGTCAATTTTAATCATCTTTTTTCAAAGAACCAACTTTTGGCTTTGACTCTATTTGTACTATTTAGTATCTATTCTTTTTATCTCATTTCATCTATTTTCTTGTGAATTAATCAGTTCTTCCTATTATAAATTATAATTAGATATTTTAAGCTGTAATTTCTCCCTAAGTTGATTTTATTTCCTTCCATGAACTTTAACATTATTTTCATGATTTAATTCCAAGCATTATTTAGCAATTTTGTCCTCAGAATTTTAAAAGGAAATTCAGTTTCCACATACTTAAATAAAACTAGTAAATATAAAATAGTTTCATTGTCACTATTAAAAACATCAGTGTTTCTTAATTGGATTTCTTTTTTTTTTTTTTTTTGGATTTCTTCTTGGAGGTATGTGGGCAATTTTTAGAAGTGAGCAATTAGAGAAAATCTTGCAGTAAATTAATTAAAACTTAAAAACAAAACACATACAAAATATAAAACAGTTTACACATCTTTATACTTTGTAATGAGAGTTGATTCCAGAATGATTCCAAGGTATTGCAGTAACCTCAGTCTTGAAAGAATGAACTTCTTTGGTTAAATAAGTATTCTGTTTATCTTGATGGAAGAAAAGATAATTTTTTGAAGGCTTTAGCAGTCTTAAAACATTCCATTATCCAGAAAATCAGGTTAAAGTAAAACATTGCATTGCTTGTACATTCTCTACTTAATTCTTCTGCTGGGCAGCCTGGGTGGCTCAGCGGTTTAGCACCGCCTTCAGCCCAGGGCGTGATCCTGGAGACCCAGGATCAAATCCCACATTGGGCTCCTTGCGTGGAGCCTGCTTCTCCCTCTGCCTGTGTCTCTGCTTCTCTCTTTCCCTGTGTCTCTCATGAATAAATAAATGGAATCTTTAAAAAAAAAAAATTCTTCTGCTTTCCCACCCACTTTAGTGGTCAGTTGCATACCAGAATCTATCAGAATCTTTGTCCAGTCTTGGCTTTATGAATAAAAGAAAGATTGAGAGAACTTTCAGAAGTTTTCCAGAAGAATCATTAAAACAAAGTATTTGAAAATAATGTGATGGTTTTTTTTTTTTTTTGAAATTTAGAAATTTTTGGAAATTGTTTTAGCTGAAGAACATATAGTTGAGGTGGATTATGCAAATATATGGAACACTTTTTCTTATGGTTCCTCATTTCTTATTGGGACAGAATCAACTTACTGCCTCTGTGTTTGTGGTAAGGCATAAATATCTCCTTGAGATGAGATGTGATGAATGTTGAGTGTGTGTTTACAGGAAGCTATATAAGTCCCTTCTTTAAAAGCCCTCCTGAGGGAACCCTAGGTGGCGCAGGGGTTTGGCGCCTGCCTTTGGCCCAGGGCGCGATCCTGGAGACCCGGGATCGAGTCCCACATCGGGCTCCCGGTGCATGGAGCCTGCTTCTCCCTCTGCCTATGTCTCTGCCTCTCTCTCTCTCTCTGTGTGACTATCATAAATAAATAAAAATTAAAAAAAAATTCTAAAAAAAAGCCCTCCTGAAATGAGCTAAGTAGGTGATAAAATGTGACTTTTTAGGCTGGAGATTTTAGGAATTCATTTAATATATATGGATTCATCCTAGAATACTGAATATTTAACAACAGGGAAGAAATTGTCATAATTGTTTTAAGATTATAATTTCTTCTTTCTCTTCTAAGAAAATTAGAGGTTTTCTTCTTTAGAAAAAATAAAACATTTAAAATTATGAATATTTCAATTCTGCTTATCTAATATTAGTAGACATATCTTATGAAAAAATACTTACATAAAGAAGTATGTATGGTAAATGAACTTTTGTGCTGTTAATTGAATGGCTAAGGTACCATGGGTAAAGAGTAGATTTTTATCAGATCTTTTTTTTTTTTTTAAACACAGAACATATTCAAAATATAATGACACTAGAAGAATCTGTTCAACATGTGGTTATGACTGCTATTCAAGAGGTAAGTTTTTTTCATATATATATATATATATATATGAATATATATTTGTACGAACAGAAATCTGCTTGCTCTTTGCAGCAGATTGACTTATCTTAAGCTAGTGTATCTTTCCTTCTTTTCTTTCCCCAAAATATCTTAAAAAGACTTCAAATCCTAATTTTAGTACTTCTATATTTTAAAAGATAAATTAATATTGTCAGGATCCCTTAAATAGCTTCACCTAAGCAGGATAAACCACCTCTGACCAAATAAGAATTTTTATCTTTTTTTTTCTACCAATTAGGACAGTCTGTCTTGAAATTTTAAAGCATGTATGTAAATATATCTTATATTCATTTTCAGAATGTTAGTACTGTAAGCAAATATGGTGATAAGTTTGGGAGCCAGGTAGGCTGGGTTCAAGCCAGTCTAGTTGTGTAAATTCAACCAGAAGGATTCAGAATTCATGTGGTACACGTTGATTCTTAACATCAGACTTAAAGGCTAAGGTATGTGGAATGCAGAGGAGACCTGAGGGTAGGTAGAGTAGGGGATTAGTGAGGGCAAATTTAGTTTGGCAGGAGCATGATGTGGAGGGAGACCTTTCACAGGAAGTTAGCACTTTGTGTGCTCTAAGTTTGCATTGCTGGCTTGAATTTAGAGCCTCACAATACATAAATCTGCCTTTCAGATGCAAAAAAGTTATTTTTATAAGGATCCTTTCTTTCATGTAATTGTAACTCCTCCTTTTAAAATAACTTCTCAAATTAGGCTTTTGCCATATCACACATTTAAAGGTTGTATTTTAAGAGTGTTAATTTATTTTATGGAAGAATCTTTAATATTATTTATTATTTTGTTACCAGTTTTATATAGTAGTTCATCTTTTAGAATTTGGATTGTGAATTTTCAGCATACAAGTATTTTAAATATATCTTCAAGTCCACTTTGCTTCTGGTATCCTCACAGATCTAATGGTTAAACATTGTGTTATTTAGCTTAAGCCTCTAGTAAAGTTTTTATTTGAATAATATTCTAAGGATCATCAAAGTATGGCAAAGGAAAACTGAATATCAAGCATTTTACTGTCCTTTCAAGTAAACTTGTTTTTTACTTTGTAGCATCTCTTTATTGTACTTAACTTTACTTTTTTAATTTCTTAGTTGATGAGTAAAGAAATATTGAACTCTCCTACAAATGATACTGTTGGAGAATTAGAACAACAGGTGAGTATATCAGTATGTGGGGAAAATGTTGAAAACATTCATACAGTTCCTTGGCTAATTATAATTAGTATCATAAAGCTTACATAGGGGAACATATACAAGAATATTTTTCTCCATAAAATTTAGGTCGTGTATTCTGTAACATTTCAATTAAGTATTGTCATGCATTCCCTCATGAATGCAAATACTGTCAGTCTCCAGAATTTTTTATGCTCATGTTCAAAGAGTTGAGTGACATTGAACTTTCCTTCTGAAACTTATAATACATATGTGACTCATTCTAATGGTAGACAATATACAAATTCTGCTAATACCTAATTTATCTAATAAGATAATATAATTTTTGTCATGTTGAAGAAACAGCTCCAAGACCCTGTGCTCAAGACTCCTTTCCCTGGTTCTATTACATGACTATTTCACAGGGGGGAAAAGGAACTCTCCTCTGACATATAATCTGAACTAGATTCTAGGGGAAAGGGTATAGGGAGAGCCAAATGCATCTAGTACTTTTTCTGTTATATTTTTGAACATCTGTTTTTCATGAGTGTCACCAGTCATCTCATGAAATATTTCAAATTAAAACTTTTTTTCTATGAAATTTTATTTGAATTTAAACATACTATGTTTTTTTCTAAATTTTTTGAAATGAAGTTGAACAACATCCTCTAATACTCTGTTGTTTAAATATTTCATAAGGAAAGCTGTATCAAAGGGGAGGTTAGCACTCCCTTTGACAAAGATGGAGGAGGCCCTTGGGCCTGACAACACACAATACAGTTAAGAGGCATTGCCACCTACTTCATGGCATCTAACCATTGTGTTGTTGTTGTTGAATCATTATATTGTGTGTGTGTGTGTGTGTGTGTGTATATAAAACTGTTACTGATAGTTCAATTTTTAGAAAATGCAAATTGAATAAAAAAATTTTCATAAAGATTTACATAAAACTTTATTTCTGTGGGACTTTAGCCTTAAACATTAGACTGTGAATATTACTCACAGAAAAATAACAAATTGAGACATTTTTTAACAGATACATTTTTTAAAGTTTTCATTTAAATTCCAGTTAACATAATGTGTAATATTACCTTCAGGCCTACAATATGGTAATTCAACACTTCCATACATCACCTGGTGTTCATCACGACAAGTGTACACCTTAGTCCCCATCACCTATTTAACCCATCTTCCCACCTGTTTCCCTTCTGGTAACCATCAATTTTTTCTCCATGGTTAACCTATAAAATCCAACACCCAAAAAACAAATAATTCAATTTAAAAAATGGGCAAAAGACATGAATAGACATTTTTCAAAAGAAGACATGCAGATGGCCAACAGACACATGAGAAAATGTTCAACATCACTGATCATCAGGGAAATGGAAATCAAAACTACAATGAAAGCCTTTTTTACTGCTATATCCATGCAGTTGAGCACTTTTAGAGAAAAGTACAGCCATTCATTTGAATTGGCGTCATTATAAATACATGATTTCCATCCACAGTTAGGCCCTTCATCATTGTTCTGTACTAATCAACACCTTCTCCCATTACCCAAATGACAACTGTCTCACACAGCTATCCATTTGCATAAAGCCACTACCTTAAAATCTTCCCCCTCACTCTGAGTAGTCAGTCATTGTCTACTATGTGCCAGAGACACTGTGCTAAGTGCATCTCCTATCATATAATTTGCATGGTAACCCTAGAAAGTTTCAAATGAAGACCCAAAGAGAGTAAACTTATTAATAAATTTTAATAGCTATTTTTAAAAAAGATTTTATTTAATTTTTTGAGAGAGGGAACAAGTGAGAGAGCGAACATGAGTAGGGGTGGATGGGGAGATGGAGAGGCAGAGGGAGAAGCAGACTCCCTGCAGAGCAGGGAACCTGATACCAGCTCCATCCTGGAACTCCAGGATCATGACCTGAGCCAATGGCAGATGCTTAACTGACTGAGCCTCTCAGGCACCCTGACCATTTTTAATATCAGTGTATGTATATATATATACACACACATATATATATTTATATGTATGTACGTACATATATTTTTCAATTTGTGTCAAAACACACCTTACTAAGAATCAGGACATCTTGTGTTTCAGCTTAAAAGGGCCTTGGAAGAACTTCAAGAAGCACTAGCAGAAAAAGAAGAACTGAGGCAAAGATGCCAAGAACTGGATATGCAGGTGGGAAAAGAAATCAATCTGAGAAAAATTTAGTCTTGAAGTTTAGAAAGGTTTTATTGTAAATAATTCATAGGCAAAGTGTTTTAGAGGTTGGGTTTCATTTCTTAGAAGGCAAATTTAAAGTATTTGTTATAGGCTTGAATATTCAAGCATGAATTTCATAGTTATTTTTCTCTTGGAATTGAAAATTGCTAACACCTACTTCTTTGAGAAAATCCTTTTGATTGTAGAATTTCAAGTATTTAGATGAGCCCTTAGTTTCTTTTGTAAAAAGAAGAAACTAAAATAGCTACTGCATAGAGTGTGGATATTTAAGTGAGGTCATTTATGGAAGTATTTAGAAGTGATCGACCTGCCCCACTCTTCATAAATGAGAATACCAAGTTTGTTTTGCTAACATGTACATGTATCTGAACACATGTATATATATAATTCTTGAGTTCATATGCATTTACACATTAGCAAAATAAAGTTGGTATGAGAGACAATAGTTAATGGTTAGTGGGGTAGATTTTAAATCTGCCTAACCATATTCAGAACCTAGCCATGTTATTGGTTGTGTCCTCTCAGGCAAATTATTTAAATTCTTTATAGTTCAATTTTCTCTTTTGTTCTAGAAATGATGTGATAATAGTATGTATCTCCCAGAGTGATTATAAGGATTAAATGAGTTGATATACATTAAGCACTTAGAGCAGAACCCATCACACACAACCTTACCCCATCCTTCCTTGACAATTCACAAGGCTGAAGAGAGAAAACAGTCCCAACCATGACTTAGAAGGGAAGATGTACTAGGTCTTGCTACAGTGGAGAGGGTGTCCCAAAAAGTCTTCAACTACACTGGAAAATATAGGGTATCTTGACTGCTGATGAAGCATGAATTAGATGAAAAGAATGAAAGCATGACAAATGTGCAAACATTGCAGATTAAAGAGCATGCTCAAAGACTTGAGCTAAGCTTAGAAAATAACCTTTGCTTCATGTTGTATAACAATTTCATAAGTAAAATAGACTAGGTGGTAGGGCAATAAAATGAGGTTTAAAAGGAAATTGTAGCTATATAGAAACAAATCCATGAATAATACTTAACAGCAGGCTTTATCCTAGGTAAGCTACTGAACTTCAAGAATAAAGGAAAAACAAGTACTAGTCATTCAGGTAGAAAAGGCAAATCACCCACAAAGACAAAATCAGGTTCCCCTACAACTTGAATGCCAGAATATGGAAGAGAGGTTTCTGCAGAGTACCTAGGCAGGGAAGCAGCCTTATACCCAAACAAAGCGCTCAGATGCAGACCTCATGAGCCATTCTTTTTTTTTTTTTTTTTTTTTTTTTTAAGATTTTTATTTGTTTATTCGTGAGAGATACAGAGAGAGGAAGAGACATAGGCAGAGGGAGAAGCAGGCTCCCTGCAAGGAGCCTGTTGTGAGACTCCATCCTGGGACCGTGGGATCACGTCCTGAGCCAAAGGCAGGTGCTTAACCACTGAGCTACCCAGGCACCCCTCATGAGCCATTCTTAAAGAAACTATGTGTTGACACAGTTCAGCTAGCAAACATGTTTTAATCAAAGAATGCAAAAGTGGGAATTTTGTGGTGAAAGATCTGGTGAAGCTTGAATCCTTTCAAATACAGAACTGTGTTGGTTCTGTGCACATTATGGTTATAAACATTGGGACAAGCAAAATTCTGATCCAGGAAATCAGAAGGCAGGTCCAATAATGTGTACTTGAGAAAAAGAAAGAAAAATCTCCACATGATACTTTGATGTGAAGTTTTAGAAACTCTGATGTAGTCTTCTAGTTCTGTTCCAGTCAGGATTATTATGGGGCCTTCGGGCAAGTTCTGAAGTGTTTGCCAGTGTTTTTTATTTTTTAATTCTGCTTTTCCCAGCCATTATTCATTACACCTGGCAGCAGTAGGCAGCAATCCTTCACTTACTGCAGTAGCAGTGGCCAGTCTTGCTTATGGTATGTTAGAGAAAACATACTCCTGCCCACCATTGTACAAGATAAGTGTATATCTGAAACAGTGATTTTCAAACTCTAATGAGATAAAGGGGACTCCAGCTATAGAATTTCATGTTTCATTTTTTTTAATATGCAAATGATATACAAGTGTTAAGTTAAATCTGGTGATGTGAGAAAATGAGCCTTTTTTTTAGCTTTTTGAATTTTTCTATCTCTTAAATAACTCAGAGAAACAGAAACAGAGACAGAGAGACAGCAACAGAGGAGAGAGAAACAAAGAAATAGAGAACAAACCAGAGAGAGATAAATGCAGGTACATTATGATGCCTAGAACCACTCCTGGACATTCTAAGGCCTGGATAGGAGGGTGTGGTACAAGGAATTTGCATGTTTATTACCCCCTCCTTCAGTCTATGATTAAAGGTGGCTCTGAGGCCACACTGTAAAACATGGATAGGAACCAGGTTGGTTACACACTTGGGTGTTGAAAATTAAATTTGCCCTTGCTCCTCTACCCTCTTTGGAGGGTTCCTGTCCAGTTTTGGAAGACTGAGGGTATTGTTTCTCTTCCGTTGATCTTTTTGTGAGAGCCTCTCCCCTTCAGCCAAGATGAGATATTCTCTCCTTTGTGTCCCACCCCCACCTTATGGTATGCTTCCATGAAAGCACCTTGAATGTTTTCTGTTGTGTAATTATTTACATTTCTACCCCAAGGATACCGAGGGTTCAAACTCTCATTCTTTTTGTGTATCTCAATAATTTAGGATTGTTCATAACAGATATTAGTCACTAAACTGCTTGCATGGCAAGGATGGATGCATGCATTATATTTAGGAAAAGAAACTTCTTTCTCCTGTAGTCAGTCTGGGGACAGTTCTCAGCCTTTGTGTTGCTCATTTGAGGGACAGTGTTTGTAACCTTTAATTTCCTATTACTAGCTCACTGTGTCAGTATAGTTTCATTCACATAATTGGGTTGAATTAATTACAATCATTGAAAAAATTAATCTCTCAAACCTATGTAGTAATATGCTGAAAGTCATGAGAGGCCGAAGATTCGGGTTTTTCCAAATGAATCCTAATAAAAATTGGTCTTATATAAGGTTACAGCCTAGCTGTAAATTTTTAAACATATTTTTAAATGGAAAAGAAAAAGAATTGAGGGAGCAAATTATATTTGTTGCATAAATATGTAAATAAAATAATGTGTTAGGCACTGGTATTGATGTGCTTCTAAAATTACATGTTTTTATCAATTTTAAAATGTAAACGGGGTGCCTGGGTGTCTAAGTCAGTTAAGCGTGTGCCCGCAGCTCAGGTTATGATCCCAGGACCCTGGGACTGATCCCCACATCAGGCTCCCTGCTCAGTTGGAAGCCTGCATATCCCTCTCCCTCTGCTGTTCCCCCTGCTTGTGCTCTCTGGCATGCTCACGCTCTCTCTCTCTCTCTGTCAAATAAATAAATAAAATCTTTAAAAATATATATAAGCAAACAGCCTCAGTGTGCAAATGGATTCAGTTCAACTTTTTGTTACCGATTCATTAGCAAAATAATGGGCTTGTGCCTGAAGGCATATATGTAACTGATAATTTTCTGCTATGAGCCTAAAATAACTTTGTGCATATGTGTGTGTGTATTTTAGCTTACTAGGTAACAGCATCCTGATAGTAAATTTATAACTAAAAGGGGAACAAATTAATTTTTTGCAGTTTATTGATACATCAAATTTTAGAAACATTTTCTTCCCCAAACTAGGGCAAGCATAACATTTTGAAGATACTTAAATGTATTACTCTGTTTTCTCTATATTAATCAAATTATTTTGATTTCTTTTCTTTGACTTAAACAGCCTAGACCCAAAATTTCAGATTTGGAAGGATCCATAGGAATTATCTAGTCTGATTAACCAAGCTAATTTAATGGCTTAGTCACAATTATAGTGTGACCTCGGGACTTTTTTGCTATTGATACTTACATTTGTATATTTGTTTTTTAGGTGACTGCACTTCAAGATGAAAAGAATTCATTAGTTTCTGAGAATGAGATGATGAACGAAAAACTTGACCAGTTGGATGGATCTTTTGATGATCCAAATACAATGGTTGCAAAAAAGTATTTTCATGCGCAGTTACAACTAGAACAATTACAGGAAGAAAACTTCAGGTAGCATTTTTAATAAAAATCATTCCGTAGAATTCTGTTTAAGAGCTAGAAAATCCTTTCAACAACTAATTATTAAGCATTTTATCACATGTTGTAGCATCTTAGAGCTTTATAGCATGCTTAGGATACTGATTAAGCTCTGAAGATACCCAAATGGTATAAGTGGTTCTTGCCTCTACAGAGCTTAAAATCTAGCTAGGCAAGTGGGATATGTATATAAAAAAACAACAACAATGACAACAACAAAAAACAGTTTAAAATAACTTATGATAAGGGCCAAATGCGGGCAATGGGCAAGTCCTCTGGGAGTTTAAAGGAGTGATCACTGAGGCCCGGGGAGAGTGGAGCATTTCTTATGTACGAGAGGGAACCTGATAATAAGTGGAAAAAATGGACATGCTTAAGCATCTTAAGCATCTTAAGGTGCTTTCCACTTTAACTTTTATATTTCTTCTTAAAAAAAAAGGTGTTGTACATCTTACCTCTAATAAACATTGTCTCTTGTGTGCTTGCTGCTGAGCCTGGAACCATAAGGCACTCTAATTGTACTATATGTATTTTTTGTTCCTTTTTTTTTGTTATCAAATTTAAATGCAAAAAAACAGTTGCAACAATAGTGCAAATAATTCCTTTATACCTTTTACTCAGATTCCACAATTGTTTTGCAGTTTTTACCATTCACTTTAGTATACATATTCTTACGGATTCACATTTTTTTTTCTGAACCACTTGAAAGTAAGTTGGAGTCTTGTACCATTATCCCTACATACTTTGGCATGTATTTTCCTTAAAAAACCTACTGTCTTATAAACCACAGTATAGTGATTAAAATTCAGGGGTTTGTCATTGGTACAATATTGTTATCTAATCCACAGATCATATTCCATTAGTTGTCTCATTGTCCCTTATGGCTATTTTTTTCCTGATTCAGAATCCAATCCAGGATCATGCATTGCAGTTAGTAATGGATTCTTACTCAATTTTCTTTAAATCCATAGCTGCTATCATTTATTTAAAGGTGAAATTATCCCAGATTCGGCCACTGGGAAGCCTTTCAGCTGCCTCTGGTGTCCTTTCAATGTGTTGCTATCCTTCGAGCTCTTTCTTACTTTCTGGAACAACAAAATACTCATCTTGTCCTTTCCTGACTCTGCAGCAGCCATTTTTCCAAGGATCCCTCATTCCTTATATTTGACAATATTGTTTAGAAACAAAGATCTTGTGCTCCAGATGAGTTTTTCTGTCTTTGCTTCTGGACACCTTTGGTGTTGGAAATATACTTGCACATGGTCACACTTGCTGTGTTCACACACTTGTATATAAACATGTCTGCATTGGTTTTTATTCTCTCACTATAAGTTCAAATTGACATCTTTCATTTTAGTCCTCTGTGTTTTCAGGGTTCATTCTGATCTCCATTTCCACATTTTAAACTCTTTCTCCAATAATGAGAAACCTGTCTCCCATTTTCCTCTGTATATTTACTCATATACTCTGTCCCAAAACACACAAGGTAATTTAAGAATTGCTAACCTTACCTTTGTAATAAAGCAAACTATTAATAAGATTTCAGTATGTTTACAGTTCTTTTACAAGGTAATATTTACATATTGTAAGATGAATAAATAGTACAATTCGACATGTTTTAACATGCATACATTTGTGTAATTTCACACTTTAATCAATTACTGTTCATCTCAATCACTGAAGAAAGTTCCTTTATCTTTCTTCCCATTCAGTCCCTACCTCTCAGAGGCTAATTACTCTTCTGATTATTTTTCACTATACATGAATTTTCTCTGATTTAGAGTGTCATATAAATTGAATCATACAGTATAAACTCCTTGGTGACTGGCTTCCTTTGTTCAGCATGCTTGTGAGATTAATCTATGTTTTGAATGTATCTATGATTCATTATCTTTTATGACTGAGTAGTATTCAAATATTTGCAGTTATTCCACATTATAGCACACTTTTATTCATCAATTTTCCTTTAGATGATGGGCATTTGGGTTTCCATATTTTGGTTAATATGAGTAAAACGAGTCTGAATGTTGTAATATAAGACTTTTTGTTGATATATTTTTTTCTTATTTCTCATTGGTAAATATGTAGAGTGGTATTGCTGAGTTACGCAATAGCTCTGTGTTTAATCATAAAAGACACTGCCAAGTCATTTTCCAAAGTAGTCATAACATTTTATACTCCCATGAGCAGAGTTTGCTGCTCGTTGCTCTTGCCTGAGTAGCATAATTTGTTCTTATCCATCTTTTTAACTTTAAATATTTCAGGAAAAGTTTAGTAGCATCTCATTACTTAAATGGCATTTTCCTGATAACCAGTAATGTGATAAGCTCCTTTCCATGTGCTTGGTGCAATATATCTTACTTCATGAATTATCTCTTCACACTGTTGACTTGTTTTTAAATTGGATTATTTGTTCTTATCCATTAGTTGTGGGAATTTTGAAAATTTTGAATGCAAATTCTTTGTCAGATATGTGCATAGTAATATTTTACTCATCCTGTGGCTTGCCTTTTCATTTTTTAAATGGTGTCTCTCAGTGAATAGAGTTCTTTACTTAGATGAAGTCTATTTTATCAGTATTTTTAATATTAGTGTTTTTATGTACTGCCCAAGAAATCTTTGTCTACTACCATGCCGTGAAGATACTTTCTTCTATTCTCTTCTAGAACCTTCCTAGTGTTCTCTTTTACATGTAAGTCTATGGTCATTTTTATTTTATTTTTTTGTAATAGTGTAAGGTGTGGGAGTCAAGCTTTATTTTCCATATGGTTATCTAGTTGTTACAGTATCATCATTTGGAAAGATTTTAATTTTACTCCACATTGCTTTGTACCTTTGTGGAAAATGGTTTAACCATAAAATTTGGGTCATTTTCTTGATTAAGTTCTTTTCCCTTGATCACTTTGTCTTTTTACCTATATGGTATGGTCTTAGTTCTAGAGTAAGCTTAAAATCAGGTAGTGTAAGTATTCCAATTTTATTCTTTCTTTTCAAAATTTGTTTTGGCTGTTCCAAGTCTTCTGCATTATCACTTAAAATTGAGAGTCAGCAAGTCAGTTTCTGTTTAAAAACACCTTTTGTGATTATGATTTAGGTTGTATAAAATTGAAAAGTACATTGAAAATTTCTATCTATGAATATGGTGTCTTCATTTATTTAAGTCTTTAATTTCTCTCAGCAATGTTGTGTTGTTTCCACCAGAGAAGTCTTGTATGTGTTTTATTACCTTTATTCCCAAGTAGGTACTATTTACAAGTACAATTAAAATTATTCTGAAAAGTGGCTGCTGATATGTACAATTGATTTTTATATGTTGAAATTTGATCTTATATTTTGAATCTTTTATGTCTTGTAAAGTTTCTTAATTCACCTGTTGATTCTGGTAATATATGTAGAAAATCTAAGGCATCTACAATCATCTAATCTATTAATAGAGCTTTACATCTTCCTTTTATTATTTCTGCTCTCTATTTTTCTTGCATTGAGCAAGAGCAAACATCTTACTTTGTTCCAGGTCTTAAGGGGAAAACATTCAATTAAGTACCATCAAGTATGATGCTTGCTGTAAAATTTTTTTTAATGTGCTTTTTATCACTTTAGAGGAGTCCCCCTTTATTTCTGGTTTGCTAAAAGTTTTTATCATTAATTGGTATTGATTTTTGACAAGTGATTTTTCTACATCTTGAAATAACAGTGTGGTTTTTCTTTTCATTCTTTCATTATGATCGTTTAATTTTTGAATGTTGAACAATCTTCTATTTGAGGGTTAGACTAGTTTGGGTCATACCTATTATTCTGCATAAATATAACTGGATTCAATTTGCTAATATGTTGAAAGAATTTTTTTGATTGTCTTCATAATAGATATTGGTCTATAACTTTTTTCTCTTGTAATGTCTTTTTCAGGTTTTGTTGTCAGAGTTCTGCTAGTCTCATAAATAATTGGGAAGTATTCTCTCCTCCTCTATTTTCTGAAAGAGTTTATGTAAGAATGATATTGTTTCTTCCTTAAATGTTTGATAGAATGTATCAGTAAAACAATCTGGACCTAGGTTTTCTTTGTGAAACACAGGGCTTTTAATGACAAAATTTCGTTAATGGTCATAAGACTTCTCAGATTTTCTAGTTCATCTATGTCAGTTTGAAAAGTTGTGCTTTTCAAGTTGTGCTTATGTTTATTTCATTTAAGTTATTGAATTTATGGGCATAGAGTTGTTCATAATATTCTTTAATTGTCCTTTTAACAACTATAGGAGTGGTACTGATACTTTTTCATTCCTAATATTAGTAGTTTGTGTTTTTTCTTATTTTTCTTGATCATTCTTACTAGGGTTTCATCAATTTTATTAAACTCTTTAAGCACTTTATTGACTTTCCATATTATTAGTTTTAGATTGCTGTTCTTTCTTTTTTTTTTTTTTCCTTTTATTTGGGTTTAATTTGCTGTTCTTTTCCTAGACTCTTGAGGTTGAAACTTGGATGATTGATTTTAAGCCTTTCTTTATTTCTAATATAAGCCTTTAAAATTGTAAAATTTCCTCTAAGCACTGGTTTAGCTGTATCCCCAAGGATTGACTGGTTGTCTTTCTGTTGTTAATCAATCTGAAATATTTTCTAATTTTCTGTGTGATTTCTTTCTTGACTTGTGAATTATTTAGAAATGTGTTAATATCCAAGTGTTTAAGACTTTTCTAGACTTCTTATTGTAAGTTCTAATTTAAGTCTCTAGTGGTTAGAGAACATATTTCGTAAGATTTCAATCTTTTGATACTTGTTTTATTGCTTGGCATGTTTCATTGTGATGAGTGTTCCATATGCACTTGCAAAGACTGTGTATTCTGTAATTTTTGATGACAGACATGTTCTATACATGTCAAATCAAGTTGGTTAATAGTGTTGTTCAGAGCTCTTCTGTAGTTTTACTGATATTTTTGTTTATTTCTGCATTTATTGGAGACTGGTATTAAACCATGATTGTGGATTTTTGCCTTTGAATCTGTCAGTTTTTGCTTCATGTATTTTAGGCATATGCACATGTATGATATGGCTTTCTAATGAAATGACCCTTTTATAAAAATTATGAAATATTTGTGTCTTTAATAATACTCTTTTGTTTTAAAATTTATTTTGTTTGATGTTAACATAACCACCTCAATTCCTTTTGCTTACTGTTTGCAAGGTGTTTATAAATCTTTTTACTTTTAATCTACCTGTGCCTTTATATTTAAACTATCTCTTGTAATTAGCATATATTTAGCCTTGCTTTTTATGAAATCTGACAGGCTCTACCTTTTTAGTTGGTGTGTTTGTCTGTTTGTCTTTTATGTAATTTTTGTTATGGTTGTATTTAGGTCTGTCAGTATGCTGTTTTTCACTTGTCATATCTGTTCTTTTGTTCCCTTTTCTGCATTCCTTTGGGTAAATCAAATAATTTTTTAAATATTTAATTTCATCCACTGTATTCTATTTACTATTTGTTGTTACTATAGTGTTTGAAATACTTATCCTTAATTTATCATAGCCTATGTAGAGTTAATATTTTACCACTTTGCATGTGATGTATATTTTTTAGAAATTTTAATAAATAGCTACATGTTATCTCTTCATCTTTTGAGATTAAAACCCTTATTAGAACTAGAGATAATCAAGTACAGTGTTTCAGAAGTGAAAATGAAAATTCAGAACATTAAGTTTATTCTCAGCCAATTTCAAATCCAGGAGCTGAAAGTGTCATATTCCTTTAGTCTTTCTTTTGAGTGTGGAATTTAAAAAAAGATAATTTAAGTATGTTTTACCAAGCATTCATCTCAGTAAGAAAATAAATGATAGAAATTACATTATAAATACTTGTTTTCTATATGCAAGGCTTGAAGCTGCAAAAGATGATTACCGTGTTCACTGCGAAGAACTTGAAAAGCAACTAATTGAATTTCAGCATAGGAATGATGAACTGACTAGTCTTGCTGAAGAAACAAGAGCCCTGAAAGATGAAATAGACGTTCTTAGGTATGGCATATCTAAATATAATTATGTCACTTCTGAGTTATTCCTTAGTCATTTTGGTATTCCATATTCTAATCAGGGATTCTTAGTTATTCCTATCAAGTACTGATCAGTTTTTATCTAGGTTCCTAGTCTTTACTTATTTTATGCTTATTCATAGGAATTGCTACTTAAGGATAATATTCAATTCTTGTGAGCACAATTTTTTTTTTTAAAGAGAAGAAGGATGGGGGAGGGAAGGGGCAGAGGGAGAGAGAGAATTCCAGGCAGATTCCACTCTCAGTGCAGAGCCCAGTGTGGGGTCCAATCCTGCAACCCTGAGATCATGACCTGAGCTGAAATCAAGAGTCAGATGTTCAACCAACTGAGCCACTGAATTGCCCCATGTTAACACAAGTTCATATTAGAATTCATAAACTCAAAGTGATATCTTTTTCTTAAAACTGTGTAAACTGAATTACTTTTAGATACATTTAGCTTGACCTCTTTGTACTCAAGAGTATATCTTGTGAACTTTTTACATAAGGGAAAGCATTCTACAATCCACACTTTGGCATTTGATATAAAATAGGTATAGGTAAAGTACCTTAATACTTATTTCAGGATTATCCCAATGTTTTCTAATTGTCTTTGACAATATATAAAATTTGTATTTGGCTTTTGCCTTTGAAATATTAAGCAAACAGACTATTAATGTGCTATTTATATTTTCTGTTAAATTTTCTCAATTAACCATTTTTATTGCAGTTTTTATGTCCATTTGAAACAATCTTTATACCCATTCATTCGAACCTTATGTGTTAGAAAGTGATTTGGTTTATGTATTTACTTTTGCTCTAGCCCAGTTTGTCAGGTTAGCCCAACTAAAAAGGACAGTGCTTTGTCAGACAAATTATAAGTTTGACAAGTCAACTTTCTAAGTATATCAGATACTTGGAATAAAACCATTCTGAATGTTATACACAAGGCAGAACTGGCCTATAAGCTACAGAGAAGCTTAGGTTTGTTCAGTTGCATTTGCAAAACCATTCTTTTTGTACATTGTGCTGTATGAAATGGTTTGATAATTAGTGTGTCACATTTAAGGCATTTTTATTTTGATGCCTTTACAACAAAAAGGCTCAGTGGTGGATTTGAGTCTTTTTCCAAAGTTCCCACAAAGTTTATTTCTTTTGTCTCTCTCATTTTCTTCCTTCCTTTTGTTTTGTTTGTTTGTTTGGGCCAATTGATCACTTATCTGGCTAATTTTACAGCCAGTATAAAATTGTTATATGCATTTACTAGTTCTTACCCAGTAATGTGCAGTTTGTATTGTCATAGGGCTACCTCTGATAAAGCAAATAAACTAGAGTCAACAGTTGAAATATATCGTCAGAAGCTACAAGATCTGAATGACCTTCGCAAGCAAGTGAAAACTTTACAAGAAACAAACATGATGTATATGCATAATACAGTCAGCTTAGAAGAAGAATTAAAGAAGGCAAATGCAGCCCGTACGCAGTTAGAAACATACAAGAGGCAGGTAAGAAAATATCTTAATTTTTTAAATTAAAATCAAAAGAGCTCAATTTCTTTTGATTCCTTTTGATACTCTAAGAATGATAGAGATGAGAAGAAGCATTGCCTTATAGTTGGCTGTGAACTTATGATAGATTTCTTCTACCTATAATTTTAATTCTGGGGTTGATAATTGAATTTGAGTATCTAGGTCTTTTCCCTTTTTATTATCTTCTGCGTTTATATATATATTTTTGGGTATTTTATTGTTTGTTAGCATTTCTAGTAACCAATAATAATTGCCTAGAGAATGGAGGTATAACTGATAATACCATTTTGCTATTTATCAAGCAACCGAGAGAAACAGTAAAGTGTAAGATTTTTGTTTTTTGGGGTTTTTTTACTAAATTATTATTTGGGTATTTTAAAATTGATGTTAACTTCTATATACATGCTATTTCCACAACTATTTAGGATTACTAGATTATATTATTACTATAAATTTTATTTCCAATCAATTTTTCATTTATTAAAAATTTTTTTTTCATTTATTGAATTACAAAAAAACAATGTTATATGGTCTTACTATCTACTTTTGTTTCTGACCAAAGGTTCAAGATCTTCACAATAAACTTTCCTCTGAATCCAAAAGGGCAGATACACTAGCGTTTGAAATGAAGCGGCTTGAAGAAAAACATGAAGCTTTACTTAAGGAAAAAGAGGTACACATAAATATAGTTGATGAGTAATACGTCTGTCTTCTCTTTTTGTGTTTAATATTGTCCTTGCTCTTCTGAGAATGGAAGTCATGTCAATCAGATCTTCTGTCTTTCTCCAAATTAAAGTGTTGGTGTAAGAAAAGTAGTAGAAATTCCCTTTGCAGTGTTGTTAATTTCCTTCACAAGGGAAGGTGAAGTCACAGGGGCAAGGCTACATGTCTCAGTGTGCATTTTTCCATTCTAGACCATTGGCTCCTTGACAGTAAGGGCCATAGATGTTATTTTTTAATGCATTTATTGAGTTATAATGTATATACCATAAATTTTGCCCACTTGAATGTATAATTCAGTAGGTGTTAGTACATTCACAGTTGTGCAGTCATCACTAGTCAAATTTTAGAGCAGGGCCATCACCCCATTAGTTTGCCTACTGGCATATGCTGTGCATTCTGGTTCCTCTCCCCTCAGCCTTCACAACCCTTATTCTACTTTCCATCTACAGATTTGCCCGGTCTATCCAGAATATGTCATCATACACTTTGTGGGTTTTGTGACTGGATTCCTTCATGTAGCTTAGTGCTTTCAAAGTTCATGCATGTTGTAGCATGAATCAGTGCTTCATTTGTTTTAATGCTAAATAATACTCCATGCTATGGATATATACCACATTTTATTTATCCATCCATCATTTTATGGACATTTAGGCTATTAAATAATGTGGCTATGAACATTTATGTACAAGTTTTTATGTAGACATATGTTCTCATTTCTTGAGTACATATGTAGATATGGTACTGCTGGGTCATCTGGTAACTATGGTCAACCTTTTAAGGAGCTACCAGGCTATTTTCTAAAGTAGGTGAACCATTTTTCATTCTCAGCAATTTGTAAGGGTTTCCAGTTTCTCCATATCCTTGCCAACACTTACCAGACTTTTAATTTTAGCTATCCCTAGTGAGTATAAAGTGGTATTATTGTGGTTTTGATTTGTATTTCCCTAATGACTAATGAAGTTGAGCATCTTTTCATGTGCTTATTGGCCGTTTGTATGTCTTCCTTGGGGAAATAACAGTTCAAATCCCATACTCATGTTTTATTTAGGTTATTTGCATTTTTATTGAGTTGTAAGAGTTATTTATAGATTCTGGATATAAATTCCTTCTCAAATATATGATTTGCAAATATGTTCTTTTTTTTTAAAGATTTATTTATTTACTTATTCATGATAGACAGAGAGAGAGAGAGAGAGAGAGAGAAAGAGAGAGAAGCAGGGACACAGGCAGAGGAAGAAGCAGGCTCCATGCCGGGAGCCTGTTGTGGGACTCGATCCCGGGTCTCCAGGATTACGCCCTGGGCCAAAGGCAGGCACTGAACCGCTGAGCCACCCAGGGATCCCCGATGTTCTTTTATTCTGTGGATTCTTCCCACTTTTTTATGGTGCTATTTGTAGCAAAATAGTTTCTTATATGATGAAACCAGAGTTAACCTATTTTTTTCTTTTGTTGTTTATGCTTTTTTTGGCAGTATTTCAATGAAATCACTGAGTAGTGTGAGGTTATAAAGATTTATGCTTATATTTTCTTTTAATTTTATAGTTTTAGCTCTTAGTCTGTGACAAACTTTGAATTAATTTTTATATATGGTATAAAGGAGGGATCTAATTTCATTCTTTTGTGTGTGAATATTCAGTTGTCCCAGCACTGTTTGTTGGCAAGATTATTCTTTCCTATTGTCTTGATACCATTGTTGAATTGACCATGACATACTCATAAAAGTAAAACAGAAAGAGTAAACCCAAATAACCACTAACTTTACCTGTCCTTACTCAGAACACCTTTGCAAGGGTTTATGTATTCACATTTCCATTTGATGCTGTGGATACTAAAGCCAAAGAGTCAGCTCACCATAGGTGATGTAAGTGAAATATATAATAGTGAAACTGATATTCAAGCCATGATCTATTTGCCTCCAAAGTCCATGCTTTTTTTTTTTTAATTACTCTATGGTTAAAAAAAAATTACTGTTGCATATTTGTACTCCACTGTATAATTACATCAGTTTGTTTCAAAGATTAATTATCTAATGGGGAAATCACAAAATTTATATTGTCAGAGGAAGACATGGACATGGCCAACAAGCACATGAGGAAATGCTCCGCATCACTGGCCATCAGGGAAATACAAATCAAAACCACAATAAGATACCACCTCATACCAGTGAGAATGGGGAAAATGAACAAGACAGGAAACAACAAATGTTGGAGAGGATGTGGAGAAAGGGGAACCCTCTTGCACTGTTGGTGGGAATGTGAACTGGTACAGCCACTGTGGAAAACTAGAGAATGTTTTCATTCTGTGGAGGTTCCTCAAAGAGTTGTGTGGAGGTTCCTCAAAGAGTTGAAAATAGATCTGCCCTACTACCCAGCAATTGCACTGCTGGGGATTTACCCCAAAGATACAGATGCAGTGAAACACCAAGACACCTGCACCCCGATGTTTCTAGCAGCAATGTCCACAATAGCCAAACTGTGGAAGGAGCCTCAGTGTCCATAGAAAGATGAATGAATAAAGAAGATGTGGTATATGTATACAATAGAATATTACTCAGCCATTAGAAATGACAAATACCCACTAATTGCTTCAACGTGGAGGGACTGGAGGGTATTATGCTGAGTGAAGTAAATCAATCAGAAAAGGACAAACATTATATGGTCTCATTCATTTAGGGAATATAAAAATTAGTGAAAGGGAATAAAGGGAAAGGAGAGAATGAGTGAAAATATCAGTGAGGGTTACAAAACCTGAGAGACACCTAACTCTGGGAAATGAACAAGGGGTAGTGGAAGGGGAAGTGGGCGGGGGGTTGGGGTGACTGAGTGATGGGCACTGAGGGGGGCACTTGGTGGGATGAGCGCACTGGGTGTTATGCTATATGTTGGCAAATTGAACTCCAATAAAAAATTTTTTTTAAATTTGTGTTGTCTAAACATTTATGTGATTTACGTAAGAGAAATTATCTCTTAGCATTAAAACTAAAACATTGTCACATAATTAGCTAAGCAATAATTATGAAATTAAGATAAATTATTATAAGCATAAAGTACATTTCTGGTAGGCAGAATTAAATATTTTGCTTATATAAACAATTCTTTTTTAGAGGCTAATAGAACAGCGTGATACTCTGAAAGAAACAAATGAAGAGCTTCGGTGTTCACAAGTACAACAAGATCACCTAAACCAAACAGGTGAATTTTATTGGATTTAGAAGGGTTTTTTTTTTTTTTTAAGGGTTTTTTTTTAATGGTAGAAATTTTGAAATGGTAATCTTTTGTTGTTTAGATGCATCTGCTACAAAAAGTTATGAGAATCTTGCTGCTGAGATTATGCCAGTGGAATATAGGTAATTTTTTTATTAATTGAAAATCTATACTTAATGGTAGAAATGTCTTTTTAAAAACATTATTAGCCTTTAGAGGGTCCCATTTTATGAGTCATGGAGCTCAGAATTACTTTGTCTCATCTGCTTGAACTTCTTAGATTGATACTGCTACTACCACAGTTTTAGACTTTATTCAAAGGTAAAATTTTACCAACTAGCTGAATGAACTATTCTGGTTTTTATAATACGACTTTTATTGTGTTGAACTTCTTTTCCTACCCATAAACTCAATGGAAAACCTTTTTCATACCTGGCAGTCAAATCCACATGGGTGAAACAAATAGGAAAGGAGCTGTCAATAATAGCAGGAGGAAAAAAAAAAAAGGGATCCCTGGGTAGTGCAGTGGTTTGGCGCCTGCCTTTGGCCCAGGGCGCGATCCTGGAGACCTGGGATCGAATCCCACGTCGGGCTCCCGGTGCATGGAGCCTGCTTCTCCCTCTGCCTGTGTCTCTGCCTCTCTCTCTCTCTCTCTGTGGCTATCATAAATAAATAAAAAATAAATAAAAAAAATAGCAGGAGGATTCAGCAGAAGTTAAATAAAATACAAATTTTAGAGGTTCCTCTTAACCAGCTTTTATCCTAGTGTTTTGCTGCTATGTTTACTTCTAGATATTTGACTAATCTAGCAATTGTTTATGGTTTTCCTTTCCTTTTTGTGGTAACAGTTTTATTTATTACTTCATACTCTTTATTTATATAGATTTATTGAGATACAATTCATTCATTTAAACCATATGGTTCAGGGGTGTTTACTGTAGTCATAGCGTTGTGCAGCCATCTAATTTGAGAACATTTCATTCCCCTAAAAACATCCTATACTTTTTAGCAGTCATTCTTGGGTCCTGCTTCCCCTCCAGCTCTAGCACCAAGCCACTGAGAATCAACTCTGTCTCATATAATAGGCCACCTTTTGTGATTGACATCTTTCACTCAGCATATAGTTTGCAAATATATAAATTTTCATTTTGTTCAATTTTTTGTTATTAAGACAGAGCTCTTTACATACTGGACTGGAAAGCAACTTTTTAGTTATTAATATCCAGTGATATTAATGTCATCTTAAAAATAGCCATATGAGAAAAGCTATATGAGCCTGTATTTTAAAGTCATGATGCAGCCATTCAGAAGAACATAAATTGAGATTAATTGAAATTAACCTTTTAAGAAATTGCATTTAGGGAGGCAGCAGGTAGGAGAACATTACTTTTTTTATTTATTTATAAGATTATTTTTAAAAGATCTTATTTATTTATTTATTTATTTATTTATTTATTTATTTATTTATTTATTTATGAGAGAGAGAGAGGGAGGCAGAGACACAGGCAGAGGGAGAAGCAGGCTCCATGCTGGGAGCCCGAAGTGGGACTGGGTCCCGGGACTCCAGGATCACGCCCTGGGCCAAAGGCAGGCACTAAACTGCACAGCCACCCAGAGATCCCCTATTTGTTTATAAGATTTTTAAAATTTATTCATGAGAGACACAGAGAGGCAGAGACATAGGCAGAGGGAGAAGCAGGCTCCCTGTGCAGAGCCTGATGCAGAACTCCATCCCAGGACGCCGGGATCACAACCTTAGCCAAAGGCAGATGCTCAACCATTGAGCCACCCAGGCGTCCCTCCTTTTTTATTTAATATCATTCCTATCATTTGCATTTTAGAAAATGTGTATATGTAAACTCTTAATAAAAATTGTTTTCTGAAAACAAAAAAAATCTAGAGACAGTCATATGACTCTCATTTTGAGTATATTTAAAAAATATTAACCAAACTAATTTCTTAAATCTATTGCTTTTATTTATTTTTTTAATCTATTGCTTTTAATGTTTGTTATCTGAGGATGTGCTATGCCTTCAGTGAACAGCATCTTAAGTTACCCGTAAAATAACTCCTATTTCTTTTGGGATTTGCATACTATTTAATGATATATAATATCTAATACTGGTGCTTTGAAAAATTTATTGCTTGATTTTTGGGATAGTCTTATAATGTATATAGTTTTTTCTTAAAAACTTTCAGAAACATCAGTTACATTTTTAAATGACAGCTATTAAAGGAATTGGAATTTTCTGAAAAGTTAAGAATGAAAAAAATGTTAAATGTACATTTAAGAAATTTAAAAACAAACTTTGCTTTTCCACATCAGGGAAGTATTTATTCGACTTCAACATGAAAATAAGATGCTCCGCTTACAACAAGAAGGCACTGAGAATGAGCGTATTGAGGAACTTCAAGAGCAGCTAGAACAGAAGCACCGCAAGATGAATGAATTAGAAACTGAACAAAGGTGACACACTCTTTTGTAATTGACATTCATAATGATTCCATTGGCTAGCCACAAAACCTGAACTTACAGAAGTTGAAGATGTCTTTGTAGTTAAAATAAGTAGGATTTAAAGAAGTTTTAAAAAAAATAAATAAAGAAGTTTAAATAGTTACTTGGTTTCAGCCTCTCACTCCCAATATTTTAGCATACTTTATTAACCAGGTTGCTTGTTCTTGAATTTCATTTATAAGCCTTCATAATTCACAGAAAATTTAACAATTGGATACATGACAATCTGGCTTTGGACTGCAGTCTATGCATGGATGGAACTTAGACTGGAGTCAAATTTGAGCCCTGCCTCTATTTAAATTTATTAGCTTTCTGCTCTGGGCAACTCACACTTAGTGTCCTCAGTTATGAAAGCAAATGGTGTACTCATCTGACAGCAATGAAGAGCTTAATAATTATATTAAAATATATAAAATTGATACAGTGTTCACGATATGGCAGGTGCTTTTCTAAGCACTTTTTCAGTATTCATTTGTAAAGCTGCACAATAACTGTATGAAGTAAGAATCATAATGATTTCTTTTTTATGGATAAGGAAGCTGGAGTCCTAGCAGGTTAAGTAACTTGTCTAGAGTTCTAAGCTAGTAAATTCTCAATCCCACATTTGAACTTCCTGTCTGTCTGATTCCTGAGTCTGGACTCTTAACCACTATGCTAACTTGCCTCTTATAAATAGCATATTTTGCTATCAAAGTATTTTATTTCATCTGACCAACCTTTATTGATCTTAGAGCCCACTTTAACCTTGCCTCTCAAACTTGTATATATAGTATTACATCAACCGTGGTTAAGAGAAGAATAACATTTTAGCTTTCTGAAGGGACCATCAGATATTACTATCCTATACAGTTCAATATCAGCATTGGAGATGCGAAGGCTCAGCCTTTAAAGGGTTACTGTGGGAAAATAGACATTTGAATAATGATTGTATTATGGGATGCCTGCAACAGTAGAATAATGGAGTGTTTTAAGGGGTAGGTATGTTAGGTCGTATATACATGAAAAGAGACATTCAGATACTTTCTCTTGCTGGTAACCTCAGTGGAGGTAACTCTTAAGGAGGGCTTTAAAGAGTAAGATTTTGTCAAGTTAGAAATCTACTCTAGGGGCAGCCCAGGTGGCTCAGCGGTTTAGAGCCGCCTTCAGCCCAGGGCCTGATCCTGGAGACCCGGGATTCAGTCCCATGTCGGGCTCCCTGCATGGAGCCTGCCTCTCCCTCTGCCTATGTCTCTGCCTCTCTCTCTGTGTCTCTCATGGATAAATAAATAAAATCTTAAAAAAAAAAAAAAAGAAATCTACTCTAGTTGCTAGTGTTAGTCTCTTTAATTTAAATAAAAAATTATGAAAAAATGATTGGGAAATGGTGGCCTTTGTCAATACACCATGAAATCTGAAACAAGAAGAAGAAACCTCATTCCCATTCACTAAAGATACAAATGTAGGAAAATTGAGCTATTTTTCTGATTTTTTTTTCTGATTTTTATACCAGAGAGGATGGTGCAGAATTGATAATACTTTTTGCAAGTGGCACATAAATATCTAAAATTTTTAAATGTGGGAATATATACTTCCTTGATGAAATGTCATCTTTTTAAAAAATATTTTCTTGCAAGTAGCCTGCTATACTTACATTATATATTATACCTAGCTACAGATAATTGTGGGTCATTTGTTATTGCTATTAAATACAGACTTCATGAGTTAAATTGCACAAATGTACCTTTATAGATCCAAACTACTTTGGCTTTCAATACAAATAAATATATATATGATTCATCTTATTAATAGGCTAAGCAAAGAGCGCATCCGAGAATTGCAGCAGCAGATTGAGGACCTCCAGAAATCTTTACAGGAACAAGGCTCCAAGTCTGAAGGAGAAAGTGTAAGTAACTTAAAAATTGTAATGATTCTGCTGTGTGTGGACTCTCTGCCATAAGTTCTGATGCCCAAATTAGTCTTGTATTTGAAAGTGCTACCCTTATCTTTTGAGGGTACCCTCGAATACCGTATATATCTGCATAACAGATGCAGCAGTTTTGCCAATGAGCCTATAAATTAATGGTGTGTACTGGAAGGTGATTTCTGTCTATCCTACTTCAACATCTGCACCTAAATTCATGGTAATACCTGGTTGAGAGTGTGCTGCAGGAGAGGTCTTCACAGCTCTTTTCTCAGATGTGAGAAAAGTACAACTAAGAGTAGTCAGCAGTCAGGATTGGGGAAAACTAAGAGGAGGGAGAAAGTGAGACAATGATTTCTACCAAAGAGCACCGAAAAATTGGATCATACCAATCTCCAAAGGACAGACACCTCAATGCAGTTTTAAAGACATCACTCCAAATATATTTCTTCCCTCTTTCCATGCTGACTCATTTATGGCCTCGCCGTTTCTCATGGGCTTTGATGGCAGACATTGTGAGGCACAGATAAGAGGACTCAGCAGAGATGGAACAGCCCGAATCTGAATATACCTAGCCAGGTGTCTGTAGTTGGATCTCTGTACCCAGAGGGGAAAAGAAGTGACAATGGAGGGAGGAAAGCATTTAATTAAAACAACAAGATAGAGTTTGATGTGTGTTAGACACTTGGGTAGACGGACGATAAGGTGGTTGTGCCTGTGTTGATGGGGGAGAGAGCTATGAAGAGTGAGTAGAGAGATGAAAAAGAAAACTGAAAGGGTTGTATTTCCTCTCTGTCTTTTATATGCTTTATATGATTTTCTCTTTTTTCCCTGGGGGCTTGGAAATAGAAATCGTCTCAGGCATGGCGGCATCTCATATGTGCATATATACGGTATTGTAACCTCTCTAATACAAATATTCTTTTAAGCCACATTAGGGAATACTTTTAAAATGGAACCTATTGGGGGGAGTACGTTTTGGATTACAGTATTTTTTAAAGATTTTATATTTATCTTTTTAAAATCAATTAGTGTCTGAGTTATATTTCAGATTTTATATTTTAAACTCTTCATCTATTTGGTAGATGATCCTGAACCCACTATTGGAATTTAAAACTCCTGCTTTTTAAAGAGGAAGTTTTATGTTTTGAATTTTATTTTTTAACAAAATCCACTGCTTCACTTGATATTAATATTAAAGTGTTTGCATTTGTAATGATAAAGCTTCATTATAAAGGTAATTACTTAAGTCTATTCTTCATTAAAGTCCTAAAATCTTAAAATTTATATTTTAAATAATGATTTTTAAATGTTTGATACTCCTCAATATATCACATTCAGCTTGCATTTACTATTTCTCTTCAAATTTAAATTTTATTTTCATGGTATTCAGAAACATGAAGCATTTTTCTTTTTACTGTTTTGCTCCTCCTTTCATTTCCTAACCTCCTTTCCTTTCCCTTTGAAGTAAAAAATATCTAAAATTTTATGTTTTTACAAGTATGTTATTAGAAATAGAAATTTTTGAAACATTTATAATTTTAAATAACACACTTCAAAAGGAGGTAAAGAGATTTTGATGTCTGGAAAATTTATCTTTGTCACAATAGTTATCTCACAACAACTTTTTTTAATTTTTATAGTCCAGCAAACTAAAGCAGAAGTTGGAAGCTCATATGTAAGTAAAACTGATATTTCATTTCAAATATGAAAGGGGAAGGGTTTTAAAAACTTCTAAAGGTAGTATTCTTTTCTGATTTTGTTTGTAAGAAAAATCCCCCAATGCCAATTGAATGTTCATCACTGCCCCCAAGAAATGAAAAGAAAAAAGTGCTAACATGTTCAGCCTGACTGCCAGTGATCCCAGATCCTACATTTTTCAGTCACTAAATGTCATATGAAGAGTTTACAAAGTAGACAACTGTCACAACTTGACTATGTGAAGACGTGGGATGCTTAACCAAAAAAAATATTCCGTTTGACTTTCTAAGGAAACAGGATGGCAAGGGGAAAAAAATTAACATTTTTAGCATCCATCATATGCCAGGCAATTTACTATCACAGCAGCCCCTATAATATTTGGCAAGTATTATTCCCATTTCACAGGTGAGGAGATTCGAGGAGATTGAGGATCAGAAAGTGATTTGCCCACAGTCCACAAATGTTATGTGGCAGAAATCAGTCTTCATTCCTAGGTCTGTTTGCTTCCAAAACTCCATGCTATTTCCCCTACTTAGGGAAAAACTAACTGAGGTCCAAGAAGAATTACAGAAGAAACAAGAACTCATTGAAGATCTTCAGCCAGATGTAAACCAGAATGGTAGGTATTTGTAAAAACTTGGATCAGACTCTGTCTAAGGACTTGCCCTTTTTAGTTAAACGATTCAAGAACTGTGTATAGGTTTTTGGATGCTCCATAAATACATGTGTTGCAAATAAGAACCATGACAATTTTTTAGTGATTTAAGTAATAAATGATCTAATCTTAAAGCAAAAAAAAATCTAATAAAATGAACTGATTGATATATAGGAGTATCAAACATTGTAAAAACATAATAGAATTAATACTATGAAAATATAAATAAAATAATGTATAATCAAAGTAAAGTAAGTTTTAAATATTGTGCAGAAGGAAAGCTTTATTTTCTTATGATTGTGATAACACTGTAAAGTGTGTTTAGTCATTGAAACATTTGATAGAAAGGAGAAAAATAGCTGGATAAAGCAGATTACAGATATTTTTTAAGAAAAAAATGAAATGAAACGATTGAGGATATATTGGTTGCAGCTCAAAAGTTTTAGATAAGAATTCATTACAGAGAAGAAATAAACATTTCTCTTTTAAGTTCTCTTATCAGTCTTTAGAAAAAAATATTATATAATTTTTATGTGAAGAGGGAGTATTTAAAATTGGTCATGTTTCATTTCATTTTCAATAACAGCACAAAAGATCAGTGAACTTGAAGCTGCTCTTCAGAAGAAAGATGAAGATATGAAAGCAATGGAGGAAAGATATAAAATGTACTTGGAAAAAGCAAGAAATGTAAGTGACTTATTTTTGGGGACCCAAGTCTTCTTCTGACTCAGGTTCTTATCAGGCTGGTTCCACCTGTGGGACTGTTCCTCTTCTATCTGTGTCATGTCACTTTTCTCCCTATATCCAACCTTGGGGATCAGTTCTCATTTTCTCTCCTTGTCACTCATCAGCATCAGGTAAAACAAACACAGGTTTTAAACGGGGACTGTAGTGGCTTCATTTGGGGAAATGACTATTATGAAGTACAGGAACTTTAGTACTTAAAGTGAACGTTTGCCTTTTGTGAAAATTTAGCTCTTCAAACTTGTTTCAAATTATTTTAGCATTCGGTCTAGATTAATAGTTAAGCACTATTCTGTTCACCAAACTAATTTTTCTTTTTCCTTATTTCAAACTTAAATATCTCTAAGTACTATTCTCACAAAATCTTTTATTTCCATGAATACCATATATTTTCCTAATTAATTATAAGTATTCTCTCTTAGAGAATGTTAATCTACTTTTTTCTACTTATTAAATAAGAGGATTATATGATGAAGTTTTAATATGCTGCTAATACATTTAAATTTTTTGTTTATTAAGTTATAAATAGGACCAACAGCAACAGATAAACCTTAAGATCTCAAGACTTAAAAGGTAGAAGTTCTTCTTGATCACAGGAAGCCCATCTTTCAGTGGGGGAGGGGCCCTGCTCCATGCAGTCCTCTAGAGCCCCCAGCTGACAGAGGTTTTGCCTTCTTGAACATAGCATTTCCAAGCTCACTCAACATAGTCCAGCTGGTAGATGAGGGATGCCAGCCTAGACTATACTGGGGAAGATTCATGATGAGGCAGACCTGGGAACTGTGAACCACTTTTCATTCTCATTTCAGTGGGCAGAACTCAGGCATGCAGCTCCACCCACCTTCTAGAGAGCCTTAGTAAACATCTGCAGTTGTCTCTGCCACAGTCCAGTTTCTCTCAACTACGAAAGTAGAAATGCTTTTAGTAGAAACTATAAAACATAAAAAGGTTCCCAGAGATAACTATTAACCTTTTAGTGTATTTTCTTAACAGAGCATTTTTTTCAATGTATATTGTCTCCATGACTGCTGACCACAATACAGACACACACACACACACACACACACAAACAATTTGTATGATCATGGTACACATGATTTTAAAAGTTAAACACATTTTAAAAGTTAAAATAATAATTTCCTCATGTTATAGTATATGTCCTGCCAAAGCGAGCACAATTTCCTCATGTTATGTAAATGTAATTTAACACTTACTGAGCACCTGTTATACTAAGCACTGGGAATATAGCTAAAGAAGACAGACACTTATGGAGCAGCCTTTCAAAATAGAAGAATGGCTGTATAACGTTCAGTTGAGTGGGGTATATCATAATTGACTTAGTCATCATCATACTATTGTTGGAAATGGTTCATTTCCATTTCTTTTTTGTTCTTCTAGAAATAAGACTACAGACAACATATTTATACAGAAAGCTTGTCCCTTATTTTGGTTTATTATCTTAGCCAGGTTCCTAGATTAATAGGTCAAATGGAAGTTGTAGGTCAGAGATGCTTGATATGTATTTCTAAATGTTATTTTAAAAGGATTATAAATCTAAGTAGACAAAGCAATGACAATGAATACCATATTCTTGTCATTATTGAACACTATCATTTAAAAGAACCAATTGCTTGTATAATAAATATGATTTCATTTTTTTTACCTTTACATTACTTGGAGGGAGAGTTAATTATAGGAATGTGATGTCCATGCTAGAAAATTCAGAAAATAGAGAGAAGTCATATTCATACTTATTATCACTTAGAGATAACAAATTATGATTTAAACTCTACTTTTATAATGTGAACTCCATGAGGGCAGGCACCAAGTCTCCTGTATCCCCATGTGCCACTGTCGGTGCCTGCCATATTCGGCACTCAGCAAATTGTTTTGCACTCAGCAAAATGTTTTGAATGTAATGTTTAGCATATTACCTTTAGGCTTTTTCCTTTACCTCTATAAGTATAGGTGAAATCTTCCTAATTCTTTAGATGATTTTATTTTATTTTCTAAGATTTTATTTATTTATTCATTCATGAGATACAGAGAAAGAGAGAGGCAGAGACACAGGCAGAGGGAGAAGCAGGCTCCATGCAGGGAGCCCGATGCGGGACTCGATCCCAGGTCTCCAGGATCATGCTCTGGTCTGAAGGCAGCACTAAACCACTGAGCCACCCAGGCTGCCCTCTTTAGATGATTTTAAATCCTTGTTACTAGATTTGTAATTCCATCATACAGATGACCCTATTATTGGAAACTTGTTTTTGCTCCTGATTTACACCTGATATTTCTGAGTTAATTTCTTATTATACTACTGGCTACATAGTTTGGTTGAGTCTCCAAACAACATTCTGATTGAATATCTTTTACCTACCTTTTAATAATTTCCATAAATGTAATTGAGATATCCTCTGGTTTACAGACAAAATCGCTGATTTCTATTATATTGATCTTATATAGAATTACATTAAGTAGATTTGGTAGTAAAAGAGATTGTTACTATGATTTTTTTTGTTACTTACTTTATACAATTAGTTTCCATATATAATTATCAAATTTGTTTTAATTTGAAATAAATGCTCAAGTCAGATAAATATAGAAAGTGTTATTTCAAGACCTTAGTGCTCAGAGCTTAAGACTAAATTACTATCTGAGTACTGAGCCTTAGAGAAAGGAAATTGTATTTTGGGAGAGGGATCTTCCTATTTTTGTACTGAAGTTTGATACCTTTGTACCTCTATAGAATGCTATTTTTGTTATTCAAATTTAGTTGCCGAATAAAGCCATAGTTAGCACCTGGATCTCTTCCTGGATAATTTTACACTTTATGTACAAATATTTATATATATATTTAAGTTCAATTTAAGTTCAATTTGTATAACTCCCAGTGATTATCACATCATGTGCCCTCCTTAATACCTGTCATCCAGTCACCCTATCCCTCTGCCCACCTCCCCTTCAGCAATGGAGATATTATAGACCATGTTCTTATATTTCAATACTTGGTAAGGTAAAGTAAATGTAAAATATTTTTTTCTTTAAACAGGTAATAAAAACTTTAGATCCCAAATTAAATCCAGCATCAGCTGAAATAATGCTACTTAGAAAGCAGTTGGCAGAGAAAGATAGAAGAATTGAGATCCTGGAGGTAAAATGTTCATATTCATACATTTCCTTTTAATTATTCTGTGTAGCCCTGGTAATTAATTGCTGCCATATATCTGTCATAAATGATCAAGTCTCATAAGAAGTTGAAGTCAGAAGTTAGAGATATCATGTTTTATCACTCTGTGTTTTTTACAAAGAATCTCATTAGCCCACAAGATTGGTCTCTTGAGTGTATGTACTCTGCTGCATTGTGTCTCTCTCTCCCCCAGAGCAGCCAATCAAGTGGGTATTCCTTAGTGTCTAACAGAGTTCTGCTATATTAGCTCCTTTTAAGCTTATGTGGATTAGAGTTCATCCAAACAATATAAATAAAATAAAAAGAAAGAAATCAAATTCACCTTTTTAAAAAGGTACTGTACTCAGCTAACCAGATATTCCTTCTCTTTTCTTCTCTCTGTTCCTCACTTGAAACTAAGTAAACTCCTTAGTTGCAATTCCTGAGGGAATAAAGTGCTCACAGAATCTGTAAGCCCTTGGACTAAAGTGGCAGTCTTGGTTATTAATCATGCACAGCTATATTAGTGATGACTTCTAATTAATTAGCTGAGTCTTTAAGTTTTAAAAGTTATTTTTTGTGCTAACGATAATATCATTTTTACTAGCTGGGTTAAGTATGTCAGTCTGGAGTTGTATATTCATAGATTTTATAATTGGGCATGTTCTAGTTTTCTTTGCAAAGTGTTTTGCAAAACTACTATTTTTAATATGATGTTGAGATGTGATACTGTTCTTGAAGTCCATTTGTACTTTCTCATAATAATGTATGTGTAATTGCAGAGCCATGATGGGTTCTATATACTAGCCTTAAAATTTTCATAATTGATAGTAGGTTTCTTTTTAAATCAACTAGAAATGCTGTATTTTAGAGAGACACATTATATTCATTTACTGTTTTCTTAATATTAGTTCTGAGCCAGTAGATATGGACTGTAGTGGAAACATTTTATTTAAAGACTTAAAGACTTCACATTCAGAATGCACACTAGTCTTTTGTGCACTGGCTAAGTGCTTGTCCAGACCATGGCAAGTGCTATAGAAAGCACTGAATAGAGGTATGTCTCTGAAGAAACACTGTTATTCTACAGGATCCAACTTATATGTCTCTTCCCCCATAAAGCTTTCATATGTGTATTCCTAAGGCAGAGTTGGTTATCTCTCCATAGCCATTCCATGTATTCTGAACTCATAAATTCATCCTACAATAGCATTGTTCTTCTCTTTGGTGTTTGTGAGAATGTTTTGAGAGCAGAGGCTATATCTGATATCTCTGTACTCCCAGCATTAAATATCACAGAAATCAGAGGCCTGGGTTACTGGTTTATTGGTATATTCTCTTAAAGTCATCACCTCCTCTCTCTGATCCTAGATCTTCTAATTGGTAAAATAATGAGACTTGGACTGAAAAATCCCTGAACTTTTAAATTGCATTGGTTATTTACTTCCCAGTGAAAATGTACAAGCATCATTGTTGATGCTTGAAGTACAGCTCCCCACTAAGTAGAATGACAAGTGGCATCTCTGACTATAGGGCTCTGAGGAGAAACTTGACTTACATCACAGCATATGGGCCTTTAGCTTACACATATTTTTCTGTATGTATACCGCAAGAAGCAAAAATGAGAAAAGTGGTGGAAATAGCAGTGAGTATTCTATCTACCATCCCTCTTGGGGAGTCTTTGTTTGGATGTGAGCCAGAAAAAGGTCATCTTGCCTCCCTCATTTTTTGTGTGCTTTTGTATCATGAGCATCTTACTGTAGGAACATTCAAATAGTCTAGTTTATAACTTTTTATGTGTCAGCTGTATTTGGTGCTCAGTGACATATAGCAAATTACAAAATTTGCTATATTTCAGGAATTAAAAAATGGATGTAAGTCTCTAGGGTAGTGAGCAAATATGGCTATAGGCAATCTAGTATACAGATCACCAAGAATAGAGAGACAAAAATTTGTGTTAAGCTTTAGAGGAAATTTTTAAAGGGTTTTCTGGCATATGTTTTACTACATCCTCTTTCTCCTTAGTTTTGACTCCTCCACAGGTGGAGTCTATTTTGTCATTTTTTTAAAAGATTTTATTTATTTATTCATAGACACAGAGAGAGAGGCAGAGACACAGGCAGAGGGAGAGGGAGACGCAGGCTCCATGCAGGGAGCCCGATGTGGGACCCGATCCTGCGTCTCCAGGATCACACCCCAGGCCGCAGGCGACGCCAAACCCCTGCGCCACCGGGGCTGCCCTATTTTATCATTTAAGCCAGTGGTTACTTTCTTCTCTAGATAATGGGGGATAGTAGCATGAGAATCACTAGTTTGTTTGTTGTTGTTTAACTTCTGTTCTTCCAGTAAAATTTCTAAAATAAAGATTTACTAGTCATTATCTTATTCTTTCTTAAAGGCATATACATGCATTCTCCATGATTTCATTAAGATATTTTTTTAAGACTTTGACAGAGAGAGAGCACACACAAGCAGGGGGAGCAGCAGAGGGAGAGGGAGAAGCAGGTTCCCTGCTGAGCAGGGAGCCTGATACGGAGCGCAGTCCCAGAACCCCAGAATCATGGCCTTAGCCGAAGGCAGAGCCACCCAAGCACCCCCAACCCCCGTTCAGAATTTGACTGCTTTATGCCACACAATGCATTTTTTCAAATTCTCTAAATGGGCACAGGGTAAAAATGATCCCATTTTTTTTGGTTGTTTGGGTTTATTTCTGGGATTTTGATAGTCCTTGTATCTTTTTCCAGAGTGAATGTAAAGTAGCAAAATTCCGTGATTACGAAGAAAAACTCATTGTTTCTGCCTGGTACAATAAGGTGAGTTGACATTCAGCCAGTGATTGGATATTGTGTTTATCAAACATTTTGACCATGAACCATAGGAGTATATATATTTTATACCACAAATCAGTACATGTACCCGTTTACATATATAACTGAAGTGAAGTTACCCTGTGTGCATTCCTCTTCTTTTTTCTTAACATTGGTCGTACTTCAAATTGTGTATTTTAGTTTAATGTTTTTGGTTGATTTTCTCCTTCTTAAAATCCCTAAAATTGATTTTGTGACTCATCAACTGTTAGTTGATACACATGAAGCACACATACAGCAGTTCATAAATATTTCAGGAATTGCCTTATTTGAATGAAAATCTTTAATTCATACTTCATAAAGGGTTTCTGAAGTATGAATATCTGCAATGCAAAATTAAATGCTTATAGTACTCAACATTTATTTTAACATTCCATAAAGCCTCTATGTCTGTCTTTCACTGTTTTTTTGTGTTTTCTTTTTTTTTTTTTAATCAGCGGTGCTCTTCAATAATTATCTCAACCAGGAGAGAGTAGTATAAAATTATTTGAAGTATTTTACTTTGTCATCCTACTATTAGCAAGATGTTTTCAAGCATTTCATGATGTATTCTTTTGAGTTCTTTTAATCCAAATAGAGAACAACAAAGCCATTATCTACCTTAGCTGCTGCTTTAGTATGAGAGAATATCAGCACATGGATTCTCCATGTGTGAACGCTATGCTTCACCACATAGAACTGGTGGCTGTTCCTCAAACATGCCTGTTCTTCTGTGTCACCATACTTTTTGTCTGTGCTCTTTCCTTTCCTTCTGTTTGGTAAAATCTGACCTAATTTAGCAAGGCCTTAAAGGAAATTCTATGTAAAGTGTTCCCAGGACCTGCCCTCATGAGTCAGTCATCCTAGTTGAAACTGGGAACTGTGTATTATTATCCCTGTTTCTCTGTAGCATCTTTTTAAATATATATAAAGATTTTATTTATTTATTCATGTGAGGCACAGAGAGAGAGGCAGAGACATAGAGGGAGAAGCAGGTTCCCCACAGGGAGCCTGATGTGGGACTCGATCCTGGGACTCCAGGATAAGATAATGCCCTGAGCCAAAGGCAGATGCTCAACCACTGAGCCATCAAGGCATCCCTTCTCTGTAGCATGTTGATACATGAATCATTAAAGATATTAGAGCCAAATAATGCATTATTATTCATTTTCTACCCATATCTTTTGAGCATTTACTATGTTCTATGTCTTCTACTAGTTACTCATAATTCTAAGCTGAGTAGAAATCTGTTATGTGGTCTATTGAGAAAAAGTAATGACTTCTTTTACTAAGAAACCCAACATCCACAACTAGAGTAATTTGTCTCATATCAGTATATAGATAAATAATTGTGAATTTGAACTATGATGGTTCTCAAACTTTGGCATGCATCAGAAGACCTGTTAAAACAAGTTATTCGACTCATCTGCAGAACTACTGATTTAGTAGGTCTGGGTAGAATCTACAAGGTAGAACTTGCATTTTTAACAAATTCCCACTGGTACAAATGATGATCTGGGGACCACATTTGAGAACCATTGATCTAAGAGCTTTTGTTGTGCTATGTCTGCTCATTGTGGGTAGAGTGAAGGCCCAAACACACAAATTTCTTTGGAGCCTTTTTTGTTATAATTAAGCTTAATTTTAGAATATTATTTTAAGCTACTATTTTTAATGATTTCAAATTCTGTAGGTTAAAATAGAGAAACTGGATTTTATGCCTTTGTTTCTTCTTCCTTGCTAATATTACAATGTACAGAATAATTAGCTTCTGAACCCTTTACTTGTTCTATAAAATGAGGAAAACATCAGCTTTATAGAATTGTATTCAGGATTAAATGACTTTATATATGTGAAAAGCACTTTACAAACTCTAAATAGTTTTGTTATTTGTTTGCTTATTTTTGTTCAGAGTCTAGCATTCCAGAAACTGGGGATGGAATCTAGACTTGTGAGCGGCAGTGGTGCATGCAAAGACACTGGTGCCTGTACTCCTGCACGGTCTTTCTTAGCACAGCAACGGCATATCACCAACACCAGAAGAAATCTCTCTGTTAAAGTTCCTGCTATAACACCTGATTAAACTATAAAAGAAAACATAAACAGAAGTGCCCTTAAAATATTTTGTATCCTTCAGTTAACTGCCAGATTGAAAAAGAAATTTATGATGGTGGATATCAGCTATTTTAAAGTCAACATGCATAAAATTAATTTTGTCAGCTTACTTTGAAAACAAATATAGAATTAGCTATTTCTCTAAGAGAGCACATTTGAGTAATTGGAAGATGTAATTAGGCACACATTTTAAACATTTGTCTTCTGAGAGTATTATAATTTCAAATTGACTTTGTATATTTTAGTTTAATGTTGTCAGTTATACTAGTAACTTAGTTTGCAATGTGTTATCAGTAATAAGTAATTTAAAAATATATCTATATTTGTTTTATTATTTTGGTCCATATAAAAATAGTCTTGAAGTAGGTACATGGAGAACTATATAAGAGTTATATTTTTTGACTTGATATATATAAGGATTTACCTCTATCCTCAAATCTGTTATGAGATGGGCCTATTTTATCATGTAATGAAAGGTAAAACATTTGGAAGATTGGACTATTGCAATAACTTCTGCTGTAGTAAGTGACTAATTGGAGATTTTGCAGATTCAGGAGATTTCATAGTTCTCCTGCATACCTACTATAAACAAGGGCTTCTGTATAGTGTAGTTGAAATGCTAAGGGTATGGAATTGAATGGACTTTATAAAAGGTGATTTTTCTGGTGGGAAGCAGGGCAAAAAATATAATTTGTGTGAAACATCCACACCAGTTTTAATATGATTATAGTTATTGCTTTTAAGCATAAAATTATCAAGGTTTTTGCTAAAAAACATGCTATAATAGTTTTCCCCTACACTGCAAGGAGATGGTGCAGTAAGGGAAACAGTCGGGGATCAGTTTGATTTTGTTTACGAATTAAGGAACCTGTCCAAGACTCTATTCATGGTATTCAGTTTACTTCTGTCCAAAGCTCTTCTTTTATTTATTTTCTAATTTTTTGGGTAATTTTTAAGAGTCACACTTTAGAACTTTGAGTTAAATCTGTGCTGTCCAGTATTGTAGTCAAGCCAGGTATGGTAATTTCAATAAAATTAATTCAGATTGAAAGTTCCTTGGTCACATCAGCCACATTTCAGATGCTCAACAGCCACGTGGCTGCTGGCTACCATATTGGAAAATGCAGATATAAAAGATGTCCATCATTGCAAAAAGTTCTATTGGACAGTGCTGTACTAAACCTTTTTATGGTAACTGGGAAATACTCTTTGATGTTTGACCACAAAAATAAAAAGAAGAAAAATTTTAGGACCGTTTCAGATATGAAAAGGAATTAAGTTATGACATAACTAGCATTCTGTATTCCTTGGAGTTGAATACCTTATGTTGTGATGTTCATTGTTAATCTTTCCAGTGCTGTTCAACAACTGCACACCTATCAGCATATGTCTGACCCCGGGGTCAGCAAACTTTCTGTAAAGAGACAGGCGATGGATATGTTAGTTAATATCATAGGCTTTTTGAGCCATATGATCTGTCCCAACTACTGGACTCTGCTATAAGTGTGAAAGCAGCAACCATAAACAATATTTGTATAAGCAAAATGGACATTGTTGTATTTCAATAAAATTTTATTTACAAAAACTGGCAGTAGGACAGATTTGGCCTGTGGGCTGTGTCTAGATTTTATTTTCAGCCTTTCTTTGCATATATGAGTATTGTTCCATTTACAGTATTATTCATTTATATACTTGGTTTTTAGATTCTTTACCAGTAAATTTTTTACTAATCACTGACAATACAAGAATTTCATATTGCATTTAAGTCTCTTAAGATTGGGGAGCAGCTATCAGGATATGTTGTTTTATCAGGGTTACTTCTGTTGACTACCTCTTAGATTTTGATGTTTTTTATTGGTGCAATTATAATGTTGGTTTGCGTTTTTGTATATTCTTACAGTCTGCTTGCCTGCAACTTATAGTGAAATGAAATAGCCCTTTGAAAATATTTTAGCATGCTAATTAAAATTTTCCAAATATTATGGCATTTTGGTATATTTTGGTCAATATAAGACATCTCCTCCTTTGGTGTTTACTACTTACTTATAATTGAGATTTTACAAGCTCTTCAAGCTCCCTTTTCTTGAAACTTATTGTAAGACATCAATTTCAATAAATTAGTATTTTCACAGTCGTTCATAAATTTTAGTTACTATATTTGGAATTTCTAAGCAATTCATGCAATTTCTGAATAAGGACAGAAGGCTAGTTGTTTTTTTTTTAATAGAGAAGAAACAAATTTTGTGATTTATCACTTTTCTAGTTGATAAGTAGTATTTAAAATGCTTGATATAGAAGTATTTATACAAGACTAATGTAAAGTTCTGTATTATTGTGATTAACTATACGGAAATTCAGGAACTGATCAGAAGTGAGATTCTTTTCCACATCTGGTTAATGTAGTGAGATTGACACCCTGTGGGTGGTATAGCATTATAAATATTCATCACGAACCATGACTTCTACATGTCTGTTTTGTGAGGTTTGAGTGTATATGCCAGGGAAGGGAAATCCAGCATTTATCTGTTTGATAAGGAATTGAATGTCCCAGTGATTAAAGAGTAAAGCCACAGACCAATTTGGAAATGATCTTTAATTCTGAGCATTTGCTCTAAGGTTAATACACTCCTTTCTCTTTTTAAAATAAAAAGTGTGTATACATATGACAATGATCATTTAATGTATTGAGAAATATTTGAAGTTCATTCTATTTTTTCAATGAATAAGGCTGCTAAACTAATGATTTAGTATAGATTAAGAATTAATGTCTTATCTAGAAACATTAAACTGAGTATCCTTCATTAAGATGTCACCACCTCTGATAGCTAGATTGCTAATTTGAATGTTAGATAATGTTTCTACATCTACACCTCTTTCCGTATAGCTGGACATCTGGCTCTGTGGGGTGGCTTTTAGGCCACAGTACTGCATTAGGTTCTCTATATGCATATTTAATGAGAAGCATTCCTATGTAAAAATGTGTGTGTATGGTTGTATGCATACATTCCTATTGTGAACCTGTACATGGCAAAGAAGTAGTTTGGAAACTTGTAAAGCACAACCATTAAAGAAAATAGTGTTCAGTTATTAAACTTGATGTAGCTTAAATATTTAGTTTATAAGAGGTTCTTTCTATTTTCTATGGCAAAGACTTTGACACTTGAAATATAGAAGCAATACTTGATTTATTTTTGTAAGTATTTAGGATATTATTTTAAATAAATGATTGTCTAATAATATATTAGTTGTGAAAGGTTTTAAATAAACTTTCTGATTTCTGTGTCTGACATTTACAGTGGATTTTTTTTTAGCAGGTGTAAGTGCACATTTATTTGCTGTCTTAAATAAAGGATTTAAAATAGTTTTCTTTAAGAACTAATTACATTAACTTAATTCTTCTAATTTTGTTTTTCATTTGAATTTTTTGGTGAATAAGATGTGTAAAGGTGATTTTTCGATGTTCCCTTTTATGTCTCTGGTTTCATCACTATAATCTAAACATTTTGCATTATTGTGAAATCTGGAATATTTCTGGGTCTTTGGCAGAGTTGCTACTTATCACTCAACATCCATTCTCCCCTTCTTCCTTTAGTAATAGAATGCCATATTTTAGTTTGTTATATTTTCCATCCAATAATGGGTGAGGGCAGGAAGAATAACTACTTCCCAGACTCCATTGTAACTAGGTGGGGCCATTTAACTAAATGCTGTCCAAAGAGATGTGAATAAGTAGTGAGGGGCAACCCTCTGGGACAGTGGAACTACAAGGAAGAAGACACTTGGATCTCTGATACAGCCATTGGGTCAACTCAGCTGTCACTTCCAGCCCAAATTTCTCTGAAGCAATTTTTTTGAAGCGATTTCATTTTTTCTAGCATTCTACTTATTTCCCAATCTCTACATGTTTGTAAATGAGTTGTGAAATTTTTAGGAAAATGCAGGTGTTCCATGTTCTTGGAACATGTCTTGGAAAGGTTTAATTCTTTTGCTGTTAAGGGATGCTCAGTAAATACTTGTTTTATTACATGAAGTTCATGTGCCAGATATGCAAAAATGGAAAAAAAAAAAGTGAAGTTCCATCTCACTTTAAATAAATCTCCATGATCCCAAAACAATGTGATTCTATAAATCTCACTTTCTGAACTTAGCAATAAATGCTGGACCCAACATCATCACATAATTTTGTGATTAGTTTCCTAAGAACAACCAAAGGCTCTTGACCTGCACTTGACTTGCACTTGTGGCTGCTAGCCACAATGGATACTTAAGCATAAAATTTAATTAAAGTTTATTCCCTCGTTACAGCCACACATGCCTAGGGGCTACAGTATTGGACAATACAAGTAAGGAATTTTCAGTCATCACAGAAAATTCTAGATGCCTAGGTTGAATGTACACACTCTGCATCTCTGAAATTTCAGGTGATATGTGATCATAAATGTAGTGAAGTAAAACTTTCAGACATCTTCCTGCATGCAGCAACATGCCCAGGGCTAGAGCTGCAGTTGGATTCTTAAGCTGGCTACGGTTGTGTTGGTGAAGCACTCCACTCCCTTGTCCACCTGGGCTGTAGCAACATGCTATCAGTAAGTGGTAAAAGCTGCAGGATAGGTGTCTTGCCTCGAGCTTCATTCAACTCAACTATTTCCCCTTTCCATAAACCCTTCCAAGGTTTCTCAAGTGAGATGAGAGCCATTTTCCAAAGTTTTCTGACTCTGTCTTACTGATCTTAATGTGATCTACTTTTTTTTCCTTCAAATATCTGTCCCAATACACTGTTTCTAGAGATCGTTGGCCATGTCTGATTCATCTCTGTTTCCCTCACAGCACTTGGCCCAGTATCTTCTACACAGTCAGTACGTATATACTAGGTGAACTAGACTTGCTGATGATACACAGGTTTTCTCTAGAAATCCTGTCTCAAGATGCTCTGAAGAGATAAAGGAAGTGAATTAAAGGAGCTTCTGAATAGACAAATTAAGAAATGTTCCATGTGTGGACTCAATGAATAAACTGTCACACATTGATCAATACTTCTGAGAGAAATCCAGAAAAACAGTTGAGATTTGTGCATACCATGTGACTAAGGAAATACCCACACTGAAACAGGTAGAAAAGCTGAAACACACTCTCACCATAAACCCGACTCCCAGCAATGTGCCTTGCAATGTGAAGGAGACCCCCAACAACCAGTTTCTCCCTGGGGAGTGACAGGTTTGAACCATACATCTAACATCCCAACTTCTTTGGCTGCTACCTGAAGAACTAGCTTCTAACTAAGGTGTCTCTGGTAGCTGATGAGCCATGGTGCTCACTACTCTCCTAGGACCTCAGAGAACAAGGATGTGGTTTTAAATGGGTACACAAACACTTCCTGGGATTCTTTCTCTGGCTCACTGCTGAGTAGCAGGCAATAAAGCTCAGCTCCCAGCTTCTCCCTGGAGGGGCTTCACTGTATACCTAGCACTTTTAACTTTTCTGGCTGCTGCCTGAGGATTTGCCTACTAACTAGCCTCCATGTAAAACCTGATGGTGTAGGCAATTACCAGTCCTCTGGGAGCTTGAGCAGGCTTGTGAGCACTTCCTGTAGCTTCTCCCCATTTTACTCCAGTGAAAAAAAACAAGCCTTCGTTTTCTCCCTGGAAGGAGTTGAACTATACATTTACTACTCTGACTTTTCCAGCTGCTGCGTGAGGGTCTAACTTCTTTCTTGTTTCTAGGAGTTGACAAGGCCCAGCCTTCAGTAGTCGCTTTGGGTCCACAGAGAAAGTGACAGTTTTGAATGGCCCTGCAGACTATTCTTAGGACTTCTCAGTTCACTCCACAATAAAACCCATCATCTCTCTGGAAGGGACACTGTATACTACTACCCTAACTTCTCCATTTGCTGCCTGATAGTCTGGCTTCCAACTTGTCTGTTTCTGGGAGCTGACCGCACAGGTAATGATTAATCTTGTGATTTTTTTTGAACACATGTATAGGCACTTCCCAAAGCTCCCAATACCCAGCATGCTGCAGTGGTAAAACCAAGTCCCCAGCTTCTCCCTAGAAGGAGTTCAACTTCACACCTACCCACCCCCATCCTTTTCAGCTGCTACTCAAGGGACTGGCTTCTAACCCAGCTATCTATGAGAGGTAACATGACCCAGCATTTTGCCAGGACCCTGGGGACAACAGATCAACCATTTGAAAGAGTGTGTGGTCTAAATGAGGAAGCAGGAACTGATCACAGCTCCTCTCCCCCTGCTCAGTATAGGGCAAGTGAGTGATAAAGTCCAGCTCCCAGGTTCTCCCTGAGGAGAGAAGGAATTGGAACATCTAGTGCTCCAAACTTTTCCAGCTGCTATTGTGAGGAATTGGCTTTTATCTCGCCTATCTTGAGGCACTGACAGGACTTGGCATATTCTATTCTCTTGGGGGCCACTAAAAACTAAGATGGCAGTTTGGACAAGCACAAAGGTTTGAGAGGCATCCAGAATCTCTGGCCAGGCTGACTTGTGAGGCTCATCTCCTATATGAGGCTAGTCTGTGAAGACTGGGAAAGGTGAGTGTTTTATGTAATGTGCAGAAACCAACATAGATTGTCAAGTACAATGAAGAAAGAGGAAAATCTGTTCCAGAAAAAAGAACAAGGTAAATCTCCAGAAACTGACCCTAATGAAATGAAAATTTGTGATTTACCTAACAGAGAATTAAAAATAATGAAGTCAGGAGAACAATGCGTGAGCTAAGTGAGAATGTCAACAAAGAGAAAATATTAAAAAGTACCAAACAGAAATCATAGAGTTGAAGAATACAGTAACTGAAATGAAAAATTCAAAACAGATTAGATTAAGCAGAAGAAAGGATCAACAAACTAAAAGGTCATTGGAAATCATTTGGTAAAATGAGCAAAAGAAAAAAAGAATGAAAAAGTGAAGATAGTTTATGAGACTTATAGGATACTCATCATGGTCATGGGAGTCCCAGAAGGAAGAACGAGAAATGGATGGAAAGCTTATTCAAAAAAATAATACCTGAAATCTTTCCAAACCTGGGAGAAAAAATAGAAATCCAAATCCACAAGTCCCAAAGGATACCAAGTAAGGTGAAATAGACTCATACCAAGATACGTTATAATCAAATTGTCAAAAGTTAAAGACAGAATTTTGAAACAGCAAGAGAAAAATGACATGTTATACCCAAAGGAACTCTCTTATGACTATGGGCAGATTTTTCAGCAGAAATCTTGTAGTCCAGAAGAGAATGGGACAATATACTCAGAAAGCTGAAAGAAAACAAAAAACCCTGCCAACCAGGAATACTTATTCTGAGAAACCTATCCTTCCAAAATAAAGGGGAAGTAAAGACTATCAGGTAAACAAATGCTGAAGGAATTCATCACAACTAGACCTGCCTAAGAAGAAATACTAAAGGGAGCTCTTCAAGTTGAAATGAAAGAATATTAAACAGCAACACAAGAGCATAAAAGTATGAAAGGTGGGCAGCCCGGGTGGCTCAGCGGTTTAGTGCCGACTTCAGCCTGGGGTATGATCCTGGACGCGGGATCGAGTCCCACTTCGGGCTCCCTGCAGGGAGCCTGCTTCTCCCTCTGCCTGTGTCTCTGCCTCTCTCTCTGTGTCTCTCATGAATAAATAAATAATCTTAAAAAAAAAAAGTATGAAAGGTAAATTGACCAAGGTAAATATAGACAATAAGAGAATACGATATTACTATGACAGTGGTGGGTAAATGACTAAAGTATTAAATATAAATGATCTTATGGACACAATATAAATAAACAAATTGTGACATTGTTAGCATATAATGTTGGGGGGAAGAGAGGTAAAAGTGTAGAGATTTGTTTGTAAGTGAAGTTACCCACTTGGAATGGACTGTTACAATGATAGTTTATGTACACCCAAAAGAAACATACTTACAGAAGTTACATAAAAGAAAATGAGGAAAAAAATAAAAAACACGCAAAGGAAGAGAAGGAGAGAAGAAGAAAAGAACTACACAACAAATCATTTAACAAAACGGTAATCCTCCTTCCATATCAATAGTTATTTTACATTTAGAAAATTTTTTTAAAGATTTATTTATTTATCATAGACAGAGAGAGGCAGAGACACAGGCGGAGCGAGAAGCAGGCTCCATGCCGGGAGAGCCTGACGTGGGACTCGATCCCGGGTCTCCAGGATCGCACCCTGGGCCAAAGGCAGGCGCTAAACCGCTGAGCCACCCAGGGATCCCCTTTACATAAAAATTGATGAAACTTTTCAATCAAAAGATATAGATTGGCTGAATGGATTAAAAAACCCAAGACTATGTGCTATCCATAAGAAAGAAAAAGGCAGGCTAGAAAGTAAAGGGATATTAGAAATGGAAGACAGTCCTTTCCTGTGGCATCCAGAGAAAGAGGAGTGTTTTTCAGCCTTTGAAAAAGAAGGAAACACTGCCATTTGCCTCGCAGGTGAACCTGGAGGACACCATGTTAAGTGAAATAAGACAGTCAAAGACAAATACCGCATGATATCACTTAAATGTGAAATCTAAGACACTGATCTCATAAAAGCAGGGAGTAAAACCCTGGTTGCCCAGGGGCTGGAGGGGTGGTACTCATTAAAGGGTACAAAGGTTTAGTTATGTGGGATGAGTAAATTCTAGAGAGCTAATATACACATCATGGTGACAACAGTTAGCAATACTGCATTTCATACTTGAAATTTCTAAGAGAATAAATCTTAACCTCCCACCATACACACGGGATTAACTATAGAGATGACGGATAAGTTATTTAGCGTGATTGTAGTGATTTTTTTTCACAATGCATACTTACATATAAAAACAAGTTATACACCATAAATATATGCAAAAATGTCTCATATTAAATAAAGTCTTTTAAGTTGAAATAAGTATTAATTAGAATTTATTACTACTTTAAAGTCGTTAAAAATAACTTATCCTGAATTTTTTGTTTCATAAATCCAGTGTCTACATGTCCTCAAGGTGCTTCTGTTGTTTACTTCATATTGTGCATGTTGGCCATAGTTTCCTATTCTTTTACATGGTTCATAATTTATTCGTTAAAAATTTGACATTTTAAATGATACAATGTGGAAACTCTGGAAATCAGGGACCACCAACACCTGTAACTGTTACTGTTGTAGAGTTCGTTACTTCTTGTTTGATGACTTTCTGAGACTAATTCTGTAAAATTTCTATTCTTCATCATGGCAGCTACTGGATGTCCTGCTTTGTTAGTACTGTGTTCAGCTCATGTTTGGACAGAGATCTCCTTAAGGGCCTTGAACCAGTGAGTCTCTCAGGGCTCTACCTATGAGTTGGGTTACATCTTGGACACACTAGCAGTTTACAACTCTGTTTTAGCCTTAATTTCCTGCTCATGCAGAGCCTCAAGGTCAGCCAAGGTGAGAGATTAGGGCCTTTTCTGGTCCTTCCTGGCCATGCACACAGTCCTTGCATGTACCTGGGCTTTTAGAATCCCAGAAATATGTTGGAGCTCCTTGAAGCCCCCATGGACATCTCCTTCCCCAGTTTCCCCTTTAAAAGAAAAAAAAGATTTTATTTGTTTATTTATTCATGAGACACACACACACACACAGAGAGAGAGAGAAAGAGGCAGAGACACAGGCAGAGGGAGAAGTAGGCTCCATGCAGGGAGCCCAACGTAGGACTTGATCCCAGGTCTCCAGGACCATGGCCTGGGCCAAAGGCTGCGCTAAACTGCTGAGCCACCCGGGCTGCCCCCTTTTCCTTTAAATCCTCTTGTTAGCTCCAACTGGTATCACCACCTTGGGTTACTTCAGTGTTGCACAATTGTTACCGATTTTTTTCAACAAATGCCTTACAGTGTGGTTTACACAGATCCAACATTGAGTCAGGTGAAATAAAGACAAGCCCTGAGAATGGGGTTTTTCAGGAAACTGCCAGAAAGGTCAAATAGTGACAGCTCTCTGATCACAGACCTTTGGGATGCTCCAAACCCATCCCACTCCTTCCAGCAGTTACTTGGCGCTTGGTTTTCTCAGCTCCATAGCTGTGAGGCTGCCGTTTTTTAAGGGGACTGCAGAGCTGGGGAGAAGAGAATGGAAATAGGGTAAGTTAAAATGCCACAGAGCTTCCTGTTCTTACTGAGATCCAGCTCTTTTATTGATTTTTTTTTTCACCTTAAACAGATGGTCAGACTGTTGCAAGACCTTGGTTACTTGTCAGAGTTCTGGAAATGTGGATTTTGACAACTTTTGCTAGTTGTCTAGCTGGTTATATGGAGGAGTGGCTTTTCGAAGATTCTTACTTTGCCATTTCAGAAGTTCTCTCCACACGTCAGATTTCTGGAACCAGGGGACCCTGGGTGGCTCAGCGGTTGAGCTGAGATCCTGGAGTTTCAGGATCGAGTCCCACATCAGGCTCCCTGCATGGAGCCTGCTTCTCCCTCTGCCTGTGTCTGCCTGCCTCTCTCTCTCTCTCTCTCTCTCTCTCTCTCTCTCTCTCATAAATAAATAAATAAATAAATAAATAAATAAATAAATAAATAAAATCTTAAAAAAAAAAAAAAGATTTCTGGAGCCAGAAGGGACCTTAGCATACAGTCTTTGAATGGTTAAGTTAAGGCTCACGGAGTTTAGAGGCTTGCTACATAGCAGCAGGAAATGTCTGACACCCTACACCTTTAGCACTCCTGCTCTGCCATAATCACTTGGCTGCATTCCTGCATCCTGCAGATCCAACAGATATTAACCGAGCATCTACTATGCACCAAAACTGTTAGGGACTGAGCCTGTGTGAGCAAGGCACAACTGCCTCCAAAAAGCTCAGTGTAACTGGGAAATTGCATGGATAAAGGAAATTAAAACTTCTGAACAAAATCCTCAGAGAATGAAGGAGGGAGCAACCAACTGGCTGAGAGTCCAGAAAAATGTCTTTGAAGAGTTGACATTTAGTCTGGGTCTGCCATGTGTAATGAGATGCTTCGTGAGGAAAAAAAATAGCTTATATAAAGACGAAGATTACAAAGGACCTAGCCTGTCTCAGGAATTGATAGGAGTTCATAGTTTGGCAGAAACACTAAAAGATGCGATTGATGAGGTGAACAGGTTTCAGATCACAAAAACTATCATAGACCCAGCCAAGGAGCAGGTCCACACATATGGCCTTGCACAGTCCAAACATAGAGGGCACCATTCCCCAAGCTACCAGTGATGGCACCTGGAGTTCCAATGTGGCAGCCCATCAAGGATTTATGATTCTATAGTCAACCGAGAGAGTATACTGTTCTATGAACACAGCGAGGGGTTGTGTAGACAAAAAGGTGTAGAAATAACTAGTTTTTGTCTGAAATAACTATGACAGCATTACAACTACAATTAAATCTATTATATGCCAAGCGCACTGTTACTTTAATATAATAATTACATCATATACAATATATACTATATTTATAATATAAATTTATATGTTTAGTATGTATTAAAGTAATTTTATATATAGTTTATATATTATATGTATATATATATGTTTATATAGAGAGACACACACACATACATTTGGTGTTCACAGTAACTACAAACATAAATATAATATGGTCCTAATGATTAAAATGCTGATGTATCAGACAGTTTAGGATAACTTATGCTGCATGACTAACAGTCCCCAAATCTTAGTGGCTCAAAAAAAAATAGATTTGTCTTATTGCATGTCCATCTTGAATCAACTGTGACTCTGCTTTATGTCTTTGTCACCTGGATATACACTGACAGACCCTTATCTGGGACATTGCTGGTCTCACGGCAGAGAAAAAAGAAACGTTGAACTTGTGGAACTTCTGCTCATTTTATTGAGCAAATAACATGGTCATTCTTGGATGTATCAGGACAATTATACATAATGGTCCCATGGGGAGGAGCACCACAAAGAAAAACCCAGAGAGGGATAATTATGATCAGTCTCATAATTGACCACAGTAGGTATTATTTCATTGTATTTTGCAGATTAAGATATGAGTTCCAGAAAGTAAAGTAGTCTGTTTAATTCACAAGCAAAAGTTAATAAATGGTAAAACCTAGAACAGAATTAAGGCCCGGCCCCCAGGTCATCTAACTCTTCATGCTACAGTCCTCCATACCCCTGAATCTTTTATGTTTTATGAACATCAAAGCCCTCTGATATCTTTGGACCTTTGATATATTTGGACTAAGAGAAGCCTGTGTTCTGACCCTGACTGTTGCAACAGGTATCATCAATGATTCCGTGATAGCCCCTAAAAGTAACCCTTATTTTTGCTTAGTTTGATTTATCTGCTTCAAAAGCAGAAGGAAATGTTCTTAGCTTTTTAGAGAACACATAGCTCATGGTGAATGCACAAAAATACAGTGTGACCCAGATATTGGACAAAATACCCATCCAGGGATATCAGCCTATTCTTGAGCAATAAGCACGGGGAAAAGGAAGAGGTGGCCCCATTTCAGAAAGCCACCTGGGAAATGGAACAGAAACAGTGAGGTAAGAACAAGTCTGCACTCTCCTCCACTGTGTTCCTGAAGGATTATTACAGAAGTTGGCATGAGGACTGAGAAATACGTCATTGAAATGAGGTAACAAGGACAGAGGGGTAGTGGCAGAGATCTGATTTGGAGTGATAGGTCCAATCGAGCACCAGCTCATAATTCTTCTACCTTATTTTATTCATTAATTCATGATTTTTTGAGCCCAGTCATGTTCCAGGGACTGTTCTTGAACAAGACAGGTACTATTTCTGCCCTCAAGGAATGTGTTAGCTAACTATTGTTGTCTAACAACGCACCTGAAAACAGTGGCTTAAAACAATAACCATTTAACTCATAAATCTAAGGTTGGCAGTTTCGGCTGGATTCAGTTGGGCAGTTCTCATCTCAGCTGATCACTCAATGCATCTGGATTCAGCAGCTAGAGATGCTTGGGTCCAGTTCATCTCAGATGGTCTTTGCACAGTTCTGATGGTAGGCCAGCTGTCAGCTAGGGATGCAACAGCGATGACTGGGCCATGTGTTTCTCATCATCCATTAGGGTCACATGGGCTTGTTTAAGTCCAGTTTAGCAAGTGTTTTTGTGTTTGCTTGAATTTGGGGTTGGTGTCAAAAAAAAAAAACTCTGTGGACCATCAATGTTACGTGGCCTTCAATTTTCCGGCCATTGTCTCCCCTCGGCAACTACATGCAGAGGTATTGAGCAGGATCCTGGCATTGCTGGTTCTCTACTATAAAAGACCGTACCAGGGCTCAGTTGAGTTTCAGCTGGTAACACCATTCAAAAGCTGACCATCTATTTGCATGAGAAGTTCACACCCACCCTATAGTTAAACCCAATGTGAACAGCTTAAGAATAATCAGAATGCATGATGGTGGAGTTAAGGCAAAGAAGTACCCTTAGGACAGAAGATAATTCCACATTTTTTCCCAAACCTGTTCCCCAGGTTTAGTTGATAGTGGTCACACTCTGCTTGGTCCTGATTCCAAAGCCACAGTAGTATTTCCTTAGGTAAGTCACAGAAACTGCTTCTTCATAGATACCTGCCTATAAATAGGGAGTAAGAGCTACCCTCCTGACTTCCCAGAGGGCCATTCTGATGCTGGAGCAAGATAAAGCTTGCACAAGTGTCAGAGCATTAGTGGTCAGCCTCTGGCTGCCCCAGGGTCCAGGTTTTTACTCTTAGCAACCGTTTGGCACCACTTTCACCTGAGGTACCTCCACAAGTTAGAAGGAAATCCATTTCTAAAAAAGCAAATGGGAAAGAGGCAGATTTCAGCTATAATTTTTATAAGTGATATGATTTCCCAAACCATTCAAAGTCCATCATTCCCTTTGATTCTGACAGTTCTTCCTTTAGTGGAGGAATCATCATCTGCTTTTCATCTCATAGATGAGGATCATTCACAACATAAAAGATCTGCTCAAAGCTCCGTGAGAGGAGACAGCAAGGCTGGAACTTCGATCATGCTTCCTCTAATTCCTATCCTCATCCCTCAGAGTCACTTTCCATTCCCGTATTCTCAGAGGACACACCAATTCTTCTTGCTCTCCTTACTCCTCTCCCTCCCTCACCCTCTCCTTCAGGACCGAGGGATTGCACGGAGTCGGTGGCTGACTGGGGAGATGGTGAGTCCCGTTCTGAACTTGAGGCTCAGCTTCTCATTGTCTGGGGGCCTGAAGGTAAATCTTTGCACAAGGGAAGTGAAGAAAATAAACAGCTCAGACCTGGCCAACTGTTCTCCAATGCATACCCGCTTTCCTGAAAGACAAAACATAAGACAGGTCATCAGACCCTTCTGATGTAGGGTCCTGCAGGTGTTGACATCTTCCATTTCTTGTAAAACCTTCTTCTGGAAGGGACTGGTAGGCCCCAGAGCTTTATATACAGAGGCTCATTTAATCTGACAACCACCGGGGCCAAAGTATAAGTCTGGACTCCAAAAATCCAGTGCTTCCAAGGGCGAAGGTGCAGTGTACAGGGCCTTTGCTGGATCGCTTGGCTCACAGTTGGCATCATCCTAGCCACATCCCACTCCTTGTTATGTGAGGGAGGAACTAGAAGCAGAAGAGAGATCCAATTCAACTCCTCTCACTTTCTAGCCATATGATTTGGACATCAGGGGAAGTATGTGTGTATATGTGTGTGTGTGTGTGTGTGTGTATTTAAAATGGGAACCTTATTGGGATCCCTGGGTGGCTTAGCGGTTTAGCACCTGCCTTTGGCCCAGGGCGTGATCCTGGAGTCCCAGGATCAAATCCCATATCGGGCTCCTTGCATGGAGCCTGCTTCTCCCTTTGCTTGTGTCTCTGCTTCTCTCCCTCTCTCTGTCTCTCATGAATAAACAAACAAAAATCTTTTTAAATAAATAAATAAATAAAATGGGAACCTTATTCTAGGGGTTCCAGGGTGGGTCAGTCAGCTAAGTGTCTACTCCTAATTTCGGCTCAGGTCATAATCTCAGGGTGATAAGATTGAGGTTGGCATTGGGCTCTGTGCTGGGCATGGAGCCTACTTCAGATTCTCTCTCTCCCTCTGTCCCTTACTCCTCAAAAAAAATTTAAAAATGGGAACCTTATTTTATATATTATGTGGGCTATATACTGAATCCAAAGAAACCAAAGAATAACATATAGCAAAACAAAGTATTTGAACACATCACCTGGATAATAGTAAACATTTTAGCTGTAAAATACCATTAACTTCATCTGGTTAATTCTCAAAAAATGGGAGAATACAATTTAAAAGACTACCTTTACGTAAAACTTTTTGGGTGGCAGCATTATAAAATAGGTTCCTGTATAATTCTTTTATTATTTTTTAAAGATTTTATTTATTCATGAGAGAGAGAGAGAGGCAGAGACACAGGCAGAGGGAGAAGCAGGCTCCATGCAGGGCGCCCAACATGGAACTCGATCCCAGGATCCTGGGATCAAGCCCCAAGCCGAAGGCAGATACTCAACCACTGAGCCACCCAGGTGTCCCTGAAACACTTTTAAAGTACAGAAAACTTGCAAGAATAATACAAAGAACTTGTTTCTGAGTTATTTATTTCAAAGTACATTGTCTACATTACTTATGGAATCTTTAGTATGTATTTCCTAAAAACAAGGACATTCTCTAATATAACTCAATATAACCATCAATTCAGGAAAACATTGATGCATTATCACCAATTCTGCCCCCTGCCCCCCGCCCCGGAGATGCCCAATCAGGTTTTGCCAGTTGTCCCTATAATGCCCTTTATTGTAAAAGGACCAGTTGAGTATCAACTGTTACATTTATGTGTCATACCAGTGACTTCTCAACTTCCAAGATTGGTTTTGTTTTTGTTTTTGTTTTTGTTTTACTGAGCTTTTCATTTTAATTCCATAGTGTTCTACTAGTTTCAGATGTACCATATAGTGATTCAACAATTCTATACACACTACTCAGTGCTCATCACACAAGAGCACTTCTTAATCCCCATCACCTATTTCACCCATCCCCACCACCTCCCCTCTGGTAACCATCAGTTTGTTCTCTATAGTTAAGAGTCTGTTTATTGGTTTGTCTCCTTTTTTCCCCCTTGCTCACTTATTTTGTTTCTTAAATTTCATATATGAGTGAAATCATGTGGTATTTGTCTTTCTCTGACACTTAGCAAATACTCTCCAACTCCATCCATGTTATTGCAAATGGCAAGATCCATTTTTCTATGGGTGAATTCCCATGTGTGTGTGTGTACACAAGAGGTCTATATGACTGGCTTTTTTGAAGGTGACAAATTAATTCATAAGTGCAATGAATGAATTTTCTTATGAAAATGATTAGATTAAGGTTGCGAGGTCATGCATTTCTGATAGAAATAACACCAAAGTGAGGCTGTGTTTTCATTTCATCCTATTGGGTGGTACACATTTTTGATTTGTTCCATTATTGGGATGTTAACTTTGATCACTTGATTAAGGTGGTGTCTACGAAATTCTACCCTGTAAAATGATTTTTCTCTTCATAACTAATAAATACTTTCTGTTAATAAACCATTCCTCATTAACCTTTCATCCACTAGTTTCCATTGCCATTTCTTGGCTAAATTATTTATTACTCTGATGGTTGTCAAATGATGATTTTTAAAAATCCATCATTCCTTCCACATCTATTAGAATTCTACTAAAAGAAATGCTTGCTCTCATCCCCATTTTTCTCTCACCCCCATTTATTTATATCAGTATGAGTTCAGAGATTTTTACTTTTATTCAAAGGGTTATAATTTATCGTTATTTGTTTTAATGCTCAAAATATTCCAGTTTGGCCATTACATGCCTCTTCAAGCTGGTATTTCCTTAGCTTTTGGGCACAGCAGTGTGTTTCAGGCTCATCTTATCCTTTCCCTTCCCCACCCCTGGAATCAGCCATCTTTCTAGAAGTCCAAGTTCCTTTTAGTGAGTAACGATATCTATAAACCAAGATCTGGGCAAAACCAAGATCTGGGCAATAGACATGCTTGTTGATATCAGGGTAGTGTTGTTCTCATGCACATCAGTGGCTAGAGCTGGGGGATCTATGTATGTATATAATGTGAGTATATATTTAAATATATGTATATGCATCCATGTTTACATCTATATTTATATCTACCTACCTACTTACCTATCAAAAATCTTGAGTTCATACCAATAGCCTCTGATTCCAATTCAGTGCCACAGAGCTCATTCTGTCTTTTCTCTTTCCCTATTTGTAATTTCCTCCCATTATTGTCAGTAGGTTTACTAATTGGGTCAGTATCCCTTGCACATAACTTACCTCCCATCACTGCCACAGTCACCCTGTGCAGGCCTCACCTCATTTCACACCTGCTCTAGGCTTCTGCTGTCTTCTCCGTTGCAACAACCTCCCACAGTTTCACTACCACTATCTCTTGTGCACGTGTTTGCGATAACTTACTTTCTCTATACATAATACGTATTTACCACAGACATTTTTAAAAAATGCGTGAAAAAGAAAAGTGTAAAGAAGCCAATGAAAGATGTAAAAGATGGTTGTAATCCCATAATCCAGACAAGAGTCCTTGCTAACATTTTGGCATATTTCCTCATTGTTCCTGGTGGGGATTCCCCTGGACACCATAACTGGTATAATTCTCTGTAGTTAATTCTGTGTGCTGCATATGCTACTTTGTATTTTCCCATGTAATTACATACTCTTGAAAAGGCATTCACGTATGCATGCCTCCATTGTGTCCTTTGCCTGTAAGGGGCTGTTGAGGAAATAAAATTAGGTAACACCAGCAGAAGTGTTCAGTAAATGTGCTGCACAATTATGCTGTTATTACATTACTTCATCTCTCTTCCCACCATCTTTATCTCTTTACTCATCACACATAGTACTCTGAGGAAATTCGTTAAAATGCTACCCAGTCGGCTGTCCTGTAAATACTAAGATTCTTCCAGAAGAATCCATTGATGATGACAAAACTGGACCCAAAGAGTCAGGAACCAGGGAACCAGCTGTGAGTTTTGGGCACATTCATATCTCAGAGCTAAATTTTACCCACCTGTCAAATCCATGAATTTGATCTCTCTTTGAATTTGATCATGTGGATGGTTGGGCAATGATAGCAAAACAAAGGCAAGTAGGAATTTGGTTTTCAAAGCATGAAAATGAGGACTACTTGCCTTCAGAACTTCAGCCTGGGTCACAGGAAACTGGTATCTGCTTGGTGCTCCCACCAACTGGCTATCACCAACTAACAAGGTCAATTACTTCATTAGTAAAATGAGAGAAATGACCTAGGTGTTTTGGGAAAAGTTCTTCCTAACCTCATCTCCTATGATCAAATGATTTTAGTTGAAAAATGGGGAAGGGAACTCTTGCCTTTCGTGAAGCTGCCTGCTGCCATGTCAGAACAACCTGAAAGGACTTCAGTGAGGAAAAGAAAATAGGAATTTGCAATAATAGCTTCACATTCTGTGCTGATTATGCAGAGGTAGTAATTTCACACGTGGTCATCTTTTCCCAAGAAAAGAGAAGGAGCTATCCATATTTTGTTCTTTCAGGGAGGCTGTCTGTAGAAAGTGCTAGACTAAGAACAAGGAGAAGCAAAAGATGGGAGTGCAGTGGGGGGAAAAAAAAGAGTGTGTTGACAGTTTCTTAACTCATTTGATTTTTCAGATTTCTATTTCTGCTGTTTAACCCCCATTCTGTCACAACTCCTGTGGGAATCCCCAAACTGTCTGCCTTCTTTGAATTCCATTCTTCTCCATTATGAAGAGAGATAGGACTAACTGCAAAAAATGGCTCCAATTCTCCTCTTCTCCGTGTATCTACATCATTTGCAATGTGACTTCAGACCCTTTCCCACCAAAAATTATAGTATTTTCCCCTCTCTTTATTGGGACTGATCTGATGACTTGCACTGACCAATAGAATGCAGTAGAAGTGGCAGGGTGCCAGTTCCCAGTCTGGGCCATAAGAGACACTGTGTGCTTCCAGTCTCCCTCTTGGGATCTTATCACCAACATGGAAACAAACCAAGCTAGCTTGCTAGAGAATGAGATAACATGGCAAGCCTGTTTGCTCCAGCTGAGATCATCCTAGATCAGCCTTTCAGCCAGCTGACCTCCCAAACACATAAACAAGTGCAGCTAAAACCAGCAGAGCTACTTAGTTGAACTATAGACTTGCAAGCAATAATATTGTGTAATGAGTTATTGTTTTAAGCCACTGAGTTTGTGGACTGTTTGTTATGCATACATATACTACCCCATACCTATGGAATGAACTCAGAACCAAAGTAGAAGGGCCTTTAGTGAGAAGATGAGTTACAGCCTAGCTGTGGTAAAGAGAGCAGTACTCGAGAAATACAAAATCTGGAGTCTTAGGTCCTTTCCACCAATTCCTTGGGCACAGGACCTTAGATAAGAAACAACTCTCTCTTATTCTCTGTTTCCTTAGATTAAGAAAGGAAATACTGATCACTTTTCTGTCTGATTATTAATAACAGGGTTGCTGCAAAGATTAAATGAGATAATGTGCTTGCAAATGAAGTCTGTAATTAAGAGGGTGTGATAAAATTCTCAGCAGCAAAGCACCAGTGAGGCAAGAATAATTATAAGCCTTGGAATCTACAGCTGGGACTCGGTACTGAAATACAAAACTTGAAGCTACTGTAGACAGAAGACTGGAAAGTACTTCTACGTCTCACAGCAGCTTTCCTATTAGGAAAGGACTTGTCCAATGTGAGCAAAGATGACACAGAATCAGGTGAAGTAAGGCAAAGATCTAATCCGAATCAGCCCAGGTGCATGCAGGGCGGTGCTGCATCCTCAGCTTCAGGTCATACCACGTGGGTTCAAATTCAGTCCCTCCCCTTCTGAGCCTTAATATCATCAGCAGCAAAATGATACTGGATCAGAAAACCAATCTATTTTTTTTTAAAGTTAGTGATAAGCAGACTAGCATGCATTTCACAGTGTGGGCTCTGCGGAAACAGTTACTAGATATAGATAGATGACATAGATATAGATTAGGTATAGATATATAGATATAGGTACAAATGACATCAAGAGGGAGTCACGCTGAGCAGGGCTATCTGGAGATATTTGAAAAGCCAAGGATGCCAGGGAAAAGAGTAGGGTGAGGGCTAAGAAAGGGCTTCTAGATTTTGACACACCTATTTGTTACAACTCACCTATTGAGAAAGGCATAAAGGCTTCCCTTTTCTTAAACTGTCCATTCTCCAGAAAATGCTCCGGGTTGAACGTGTCAGGGGTGGCCCATTCTGCAGGGTCTCTGTGCAGTGCAGTCAGGTTGGTCACGATCACGGTCCCCTAGAGAAGACAGCAAAGACTCAGGCAAGGCTTGACCCATGCTCACACCTACTCAGAAGGGCAGAAGTCCCCTGACTCCTACACGGGGGCCTGACCACATCCCATGCCCCAGACTCCATCACCCTCCCCAACTCACTGTCTTCTGAGCCCACTTCCCCACACACCCACTGACTCAGGACCCTGCTCTTTGTGATGGGACAGCTTAAAATGACAGGTTTGCAGGGAAATTTACCAGGGAAGCATAGCTTCTATTGACTGCAGAATGGATCTTTCTACAGGGACATATAGGGCAACTAGGGCAGCTCTATCCAGGTAAAAGATGTCTCATTCAGCTCTGCTTCTCCCACTCTCTTTCCTCCAGCTTCTGGCACACTCCACAGGAGGTTTAATATAATAGTTAGGTCCTCTAGTGAAAGGAAACATTATCCATCCAGGTACATAGCAAGAAACCCAGGTGTCCTCCATATTGCCTCCCTTTCCCTCTTTCTGCCTCCATCTAGTCTAGTCCTTCAGTGACGCTGCTCAATTTTTACCTCTTGATTCCATCACTTTCATTCTACGTCCACCCCTGCCTCCTAGTCCAGGCTACCAACTGGCTTGCCTACACTCCTGTAACAGCTGCCCAGCTAGGCTCATCGCCTCTTTTCCCTTTCAGTCTGCTCCACACTCTGAAAGCAGAATGAACTTTGAACCAGATTTAATGGTGCCACACCCAGCCACCCACCTTGAATACCTTTCAATATCTTCCCACCACCCTTAGGTAAGAGACCCATCTCCTGACCCTTGTCTGGACCATTCTCCTTCTCTGCCTGCACTCACACCACAGAGGCCTTATTTCAGCTTCTCAAAAATGCTGTGTTCCCACTCATTTTCCAGACTTTTTACAAGCTGTTCACCTGGCCTAGAATGCCCTTCTTCTCTTCTGTGTCACTGAGCTAAATCCCAATCACCCTTTACTCCTCAGCTCAAACAATACTTCCCTTTGGAAGCCCTCTCCGACCTCTCCTCCTTTCCAGTCCAGCAGCCCTGTATCTTAATGGAAACCAGGGAGTTCTCCCAGCTGGGCATTATCATGGTTTGTAAGTATATACCTGTATAATTTTTACTCAGCGTTGTTTTCCCAGATGGGAGCATTTTAGATACTTAATGGACATTTGTTAAACTAATAAAGAAAGAACTGCTATTTTTTAAAAAGATTTTATTTATTTATTTATTCATGAGAGAGGCAGAGACATAGGCAGAAGGAGAAACAAGCTCCCTGCAGGGGATGTGGGACTCAATCCCAGGACCCTAGGATCATGACCCAAACCGAAGGCAGATGCTCAACCACTGAGCCACCCAGACGTCTCAATAACTGCTATCTTGAGCACTGTCTCTACTAAACACTACATGCATGACCTCCACCTGTGAAGTAGTTTTGAATGTATCTTACAGGTAAATAAAGCAAAGCTCTGAGAAGTTAAGTGATGTGCCCAGAGTCACTCAGTGGGAGGAGCTAGAACCGTGATTTGTACAAGGTCTAGTTCATGTTAAAGCCATGGCTCCTGGCCTCTACAAGATAAAGTCAATTAGGTCTCTCAGTTCCCAGGATTTTAATGAAAGCTGGTGTTAAAAATCAGTGGTAGGATGAGGCTGTTGAGCCAAATGAATTGCTAGAAAAATGTAAACAAACAGCACCTGTAAAATAAGTTAGGCCTCAGCCTTTACCCACAAGATGTCAATCAGTAAGAAAACAGTGAATGGAAACAGCTGTAGGAATAGGTACAGGAATGGGTAAGCTCTGGTTCTGCCTGTTGGGAGAGACCCCAGGTAAGTCGTACACAGAGGGACCCAGATAAACTGGAATGGATCCTCAGAGGCTGACCAAGGCCTTGAGAAAGCCAAGAACTGTAAATGTGCAGTGTCCAGAGAGGACACGAGGGGGCAGAGGAGAGCTGTCTGCCCAGATCTTAAGCCTGGCAGAGGAGTGAGAACAGAATGTCCTTTGTGAGGACAGGAATTTCCCTGGGACCAACTAAGAACAACTGCAGGGAGACTCTATTCAGGTGCAAGTGAAGCAACTCCTGTGAAGAGCGCATGGTGTAATACAAAAAAGACCAGCCTGGGAAACAAAACAGATCTGCTTCTGGAACTCAACTCTTGTCACTTTGTAGTTGAGGGACCTAACGCAAACGTAATCACTCCTGAGCCTCGACTTCCAAATTTATAAAATGGGAATAACCCTTATTCTGAGGACTATTAAGGCCTTTTGAAAGAAACTTTAGAGTCCATTGGCACACAGTTCGCTTTATAGGCATTGGTTCCCTTCTCTCCTTTTCTAATAATTCATATTGCACGCACCTGCATTGGTTTCTCTTGTGAGACAATCCCACTACAGGCTTGTAAGTAAAAGCTGGAAAAATACTCATGGGGAATATCATGCTAGAAACACCAGCATTAATGAGATATTGGCTCAGGTAGCCTCAAAATGTCCTTTCATATTTTAATGTCTTATAACTGCAGGATTCCTCTAGCAGAATTTTCCAAGTCTGGCGGGTGGTGCTGTAAGAAGCTCCACCACGGCAAAGAAAGGGGTGCCATGGCAAAGTCTGACTGAGAACTGCTGTTTGCTGTACCCTCACAAAGATTCATAAATTCACATTACATGGTAAAAAACAAAACACACACACACACAAAAACAACCTGAGACATCCTATATAGCAAAGAAAGCCAGTTTTGCCTTAACATATTTGCCCTATGAATCCCCCTTCCCCTCCATAATACCTATGACTGCCTAGTTGAATTAATAATATTCCAAAGACCACACATGGGGAAAAAAAGCTAGAATCTCAGAACGTTTCTCTTCCCATTTAAGTGATTCCCTAGGACAAGAGTACGTGTCACCCTCCCAGTTCAGAGTTTACCATTTTAAAAAACCGGCTTGAAGATCTGAGGCTGGGAGTCTCTGGTTACCTTGGGCAGGTAGTATCCAGCCAGGGTGGTGTCACCTGTCACTTCCCTGGGCACATTCAGGGGGACGATGTTTCCCATTCTCTGCACCTCATGGATGAAGGCATTGGTATAGGGCATGGACTCTCGAACAGCTAAACCTGGCAGTTGTGACTGGCCAATCACCCTGTCGATCTCCGCTTGGACTTTTTCTGGAAAAGAAGATTCCATTATTCTGTTTTTCCACGACCTTTCTTAAGCCTGGTTAAGGTAAAGAATGGAATAACCAGGATCAAAATGGCTGAAACTAAAACAAAACCAAACCCCAAACTATAGCTCTATAGACTGATTTTTCAGGAGGTACGTCAGAGTGAAAAGCAGGCCTTGGTTTTAGACATAACTGGTTGTGAACTCTCACCCTACAACATTACTGCTGCAAGTTACTTAAACTCTCTGAGCTTTAGTTTTCTTATTAGTGAGATTAATCTACCTTCTTCTGAAGGATGTCTTGAACTTTACATGAACTGATTCGAGTAGCACCCAACAAATCAAAGAAACTTCTAATGGTGCCCCAATATACCTGTTTTCCTCTTTTTTTTTTTTTAATAGAGATTTTAGCTGGACACCTGGTTGCCCAGTTACAGACTGCATTTCCCAAATTCCCTTGTGACTAAGTGTGATCATGTGACTAAGTTATGGTCAATGGAATATATGGGATATATAAGGATGTTTAATACTTAAAACATGTCCTTAAAGGAAGGATGTGTGTTTCCTCCTTCTTCCCATCCTACCCATGGAAAGGCAGCCCTTGAGGTAAGTCTTTGAGAGTGCAAACAAGGTCATCATTCTAGATACAACAAAGGAACATGTTAGGAGAAGCTTAGAACCAAAATAGCTCTGCAGAGACCAGCTTGCGTTTTTGGGGTTTTGTTTTGTTTTGTTTTTACTTTAGCGAGAAATAAGAATTTGTTTTACTGGCCAGTTAAATGTTTTGAAAATTGTAGTAAAACATATGTGACATAAAATTTACTATGCGAACCATATTTGGGCATACAGTTTAGTGATGTTATATATATTCACATCGCATAACCAATCTGCAGAACTTTTTATCTTGAAAAACTAAAACTAGATATCCATTGAACAAACAGTAAGTTCTCATTTTCTCCTGCCTCAAGCCCATGGAAACCACCATTCTACTTACTGTTTCTCTGAATTTGACTACTCTAGAAACCTCATGTAAATGGAATTATACAATATGTCTTTTTGTGATTGTATTATTTAACTTAGCATAATGTCCTCAAGGTTCATCCACATTATAGCACGTGTCAGAATTTCCTTCCTGTTTAAGGGTGAATAATACTCCACTGTGTTCTACATTTTGTTTATCCATTCTTCCATTGTTGGACACTGGGCTGCTTCAATCTTTGAGCTATTGTGAATAAAGTTGCTATGAAGATGGGTATAAATGTCTGTTATTTCAAGCTATTGTTATTTTAGAGACCTTATTACAGAAGCCTAATCTATGTCCTAGCAGGGTAGCTTTTCACCTTTTTAGGAAAATGTACTTCATAGGCCCAAATTCATTTTACATTATGACTCAAGACACATAAGCATAAATATAGACACATAAAAAACATGCTTTTATGTAGGATTATGGAAAGTTTTATGAACAAACGTAATCTTAGTACATGTGAAATACTCTGATCTTTTCTATTCTACTTTTATTTTAGGAAAAAATGTTGGTCTTGATCCACTAAATTGATTTTATGTCCTATTAATAAACTGTTACTTACATTTTGAAAAACAGTATCCTAACACCCCATCTCTCATGTGCTCAAACTGTTCTGGGTCCTGGGTGGGGGGGTGCAAATATTTTAAGTCACTGCCTTTAAATGGACAAAAGTCTTTGGGGGAAGATATATGAATAATGTGCAATCAGCACAGTAGTAGAGGGGCATTAGGTCATCTCTAAAGGAAGAAAATAATCCTAATAATAATAAAGTCATCTCTAGAGGAAGTAATTTCCTGTAAGCATGGGGGAATATCTTAGAGAAGGTTGTATTTGAGCAGATTCTTCAAGCACAGCTGGTGACTTACCATGTAGAGAAATTGGGGAGCTACACAAGTGGTAGGGGAAAGAGCAGACATGATGGCAGAGGTATAAATAAGGTTGGTGCAAAGAACAACATGGAATTTTGTGAGGCCACCATGCAGGGTGAGTGGAGCCGAAAGGCTGGGCAGACAGATGGAGGCACCTCAGAGGGCATGATATGCTACACTAAGGAGTTTGAACATCATCCACAGGGCAATGGAAGGCATTACTTAAAAGGACAGTAGGCTGTAACCAGATTTCATCTAAGAATGTCTTTTCCTGGAACTCATCAGAGTGTCAATTGACTTTACCGTCTTCCCCTCTAGACTCTGAGTTTCCTGGGGCCAGGGACTGTTATATTGGGATTATGTGAACCCATCACAACCCTGACAGGAAAACTGAAGAAGGTACTATTCTCAAGTCCACATCACCTCGTGACTGTCCTACCTTTTCATTTTAGCATGCTATCTTCTGGCCTCAACATGGGGGGCAGTACCCTCCAGGAGGCACCACTCCATCTGGCTCAGGCACACTCACTGACATGCTCACCTTGGATTTCTGGGTTGAGGGCCAAGTAAAGCAGACCCCAGCGCAGGGTTGTAGATGTTGTCTCAGTTCCAGCAAAGAAGAGGTCCAGGGTGCTGTAGATGAGGTTTTCTTCATGGAAACTTGAAGTAGCATTGCCCCTATTCTAGAAAGTACAAGGTTTATTGGTTTATTCAGTTGGTTCTTGGTTGTTACAAAACACAGGGGCTTCAGCCTAGGGAGAGAAGGTGGAAGAAAAGCTCCCCAGGAAAAATATCTTTCCCTTTGGCCATCTCAAGAGCTAGAGGTTTATAACAACAACATCACTAGCATCCTCCTGCCCCAAGTGCTAGAAGCTTTTGTTAGCTTTGGTGGATGAAAATCAAGACAACTCTTTTATTTTATGCCTATAATTTGGGAGAATCTATTAGTGTAATGGGAAGAGGAGCGGTTTAGTAGAAAGACAGGCCTGGACTCCAATACTAGCAACATTGCATGACCTAGGGCAAGTTACTTAATCTCTCTGCACTTCAGTTTCCCATTTCAGGAAATAGAAATGAGATACACACACCCTTTAAGACAGCATTATGAATTACATGAGATGTTAAGAGCATATAACAAATACTCAACACATTTGTACTGATACCAGGAAGAATAAACAATTCCTCTTATATAAAACAATTCTCATATCTCCCTGTTATCTCTTCCTTTTGAGGTGAAACCACTCTGATTCCATCAACCATTCCTCATGGCACTCCATCAGCTTTACCACCTTCGGCTGGAAGTTTCAATTTGTCAACAATCCTCTCAATGTGTGGCCGCATACCTGCACAACATTTAGCAGGTGAAGTCTCCTCCTCTGTGGAGAGGTCAATGCTTCTACTAATGCTATCCAATAAGGTGAGATAAAAGAGAGGATCGATAGAAATCTACCATTCTGTCAACTGCAAGAGGAGGCACAACTAATCTGATGACTTAGAGATTATGACACTGACGCTGATGCATGGATGCATATTGACCACAGCAGTTACTGTGTTAAAGGCTATATACATCCAATTTGGCTTTTCCATGCTTTTTTCCTATAATGTTGGAAAGTGGATGAAAGGAAGATCAGGGAGGAAGGGAAAAGTCCCACTCAGGCTCTGAGGCTGAACTCTGGCATCCAATTCAGCTTTTCCCGTTTTGCGCTGGCAGCTGAGGGAAGAAACAGGCAACTGGGCACAGATCCAGCTAAAAGTGAAAGAGTCCTTTAAAGCTCAATTGTTTGTTTTCCTTTTGTATAAAGCTCCTTCAAAATATGGGTAGAGGACAGAGAACAGAAGATGAACAGGAAGTATTTGGGCATCCCCAAGGCCTCAAGCCAAACACCATTCAACCCCTACCTTTATTTCTACTTGCCTTGTCAATCCTGAGTTAATGCTGCTCCCACACTCTATGAAATACTGCCTCTATTTTGACTCCCCCGTGGTAAACTAAGTAATGGCCCACAGAGATGGCCATATCCTTATTTCCGAAACCTGTGGATGTTACCTTATACGGCAAAAGGGACTTTGTAAATATGATTGTTAAAAATCTTGATGTGGGGAGATTATTCTGGATTATTCAAAGTAATTACAAGAGTCTTTATAAGAAGGGTCAGAAGGAGGGGAGGGTTGTAAAGAGAAGATGTAAGGATGGTAGCAGAGAAGACTACATACTGGATTTGAAGATGGAAAAAAGGGGCCATAAGCCAAGGTAGCCTCTAAAAGCTGGAAAAGTCAAGGAAACAGATTCTGTCCTAGAGCCTTCAGAAGGAACCAGCCCTGCCAGTACCTTGATTTCAGCCCAGTGAAACTAATTTCAAATTTCTAACCTCCAGAACTGTAAGAGAATAAATCTGTGTTGTTTGGAGCCCCCAGGTTTGTGGTAACTTACTACACAGCAAGTTACAATAAGAAACTAGTATACCCACATTTGCTCTTTAAGAACAAACAAGAAAAAACTTTGGTTTCCTCACCTTTTCCATTTCCTTGAGGTAAGCGTCAATAAAATCTCTTGGTTCAGCAGGATTCCAGTCTCTCCTGTGGTTTTCAGTCATATGAGCAATGAACAATTTCAGTTTCTCCCAGTCGTTAAAGAGTTTTTGATGGGGTCCAGGGAGAAATTTAAAAATCCATGGAAAGATATTGTAGAGCTAATTGAGAAAAACAAAACACTCAGAGACAATCTGGTGCCCATTTTTCACTTTCTAAGACAAAACCATTGATACTCTTTTTCCATTTCTCTCATTTACTTGCTCTTAAAACTTGGGTTGTCTTGACTCTTCTCTCTCACCCTCTTCTCACCTGCTAGCAAAGCATTTCAGCATTCCATCCAAAATGTATCCAGTTTCAGACCACATCTCACCACCCTAGCCACGTTGTCCCTACTACAAATCCCGTTTCTTACCTGGGTGCTGTGATAACCTCCATCCGCTTCACTGATGCCATCCTTAACCCACTCCCAGTTTGTTTTCCACAGAGCCACCAGTGGCATCACTCAATAGTTTAATCAGATCATTTCACCCCTTGGATCTCAATCCTCCAATGACTTTCCATGATTCTCAGACAAAGCTCTACCTCATTCCCCTGGCATATAAACTCTGCATGTACCAGCCCCTACACACACCTGTCACCTCCTTTGCTATCGCTCCCTGCCATCTTACTCTCTCTTATTCACTCCAGTGCAGCACCATTGGCCTCTCTGATGACATCAAACATGTTCTTGTTTGGGCCTTTGCATTTGCTATTCCTTCCACCTAGAATACTCTTCCTTTGAAATCTATAGAACCCCAGCCCCTCATTTCATTAAGGTGCTACTCAAATGAAACCTTGGAAAGGTCTTAACCTGATGAGCCTATAAGCACCACTGCCACCCTCTCTCCATTCCCTTACCCTATTTTATTTTCTTTCATGGTAGCTATCACAAATAAATGTGTTATGTCTGCCCCACTATGATGTAATATCCATGTAAGTAAGACATATTTTACTGAAATAAAGTATTTAAAAAATATTTTCTCTAATAATATCTGGTAGAAAGAAGCATGACATAATGGAAAGTTACCTATGCTTAAAATGAGACAGATACAGGTCTATTAGCACGACTGCTTTCTAGGTATAATATTTTGGTAATAATGATGATGATACAATTTGTTGCTCCTTTGTTTAACTAGCTGCGAATGGGCCCTGAGGTAATTCTGGTGACTGTATGACATAAGATCCATACAGCACCTAGCACAGAGCCAGTGGAACACTATCTGGATTTGCTTACCCACTTCGATATACACCCCATGATGCTTCATTTTTAAAGGGTTTCTGTAAAATTTAACTGAGATAAAGTTGTATATTTGTCCATCGAGACCAAGAAGCTGAGCAGAGTTTCTGACAGACTCATAGACCTAGAGGGACAAAATGGAGCACAGGGTCCACCAAAGAAAGAGTGAAGTTTGAGTCCCAAAGGTCTATACCCTATGAAATTGACAATATCAAGTGTTGATGGGCATGTAAGTAGCATAACTGCTTTTGAAAGCTTTAGGCATCTTTTATGTCCAGGTATAAATTCAAGAGAAATGAGTGGGCACGTCCACATGAACAACTGTACAAGAATGTTCATGGCAGCTATTCATAACATCCTCAAACTGGAAACAACCCAAATATTCATCAATAGAGAACTGAGCAACAAACAGTGGCATATTCATACAATGAAATACTATTCAGAATTTTAAAAAGAAAAGAGCAGCTTACAGATGAATCTGCAATCTGCTGACAGAAGAACAGGCTTTCCGGTGAAGAGTACTTTAGGGTGGCAGAGTGGCTGAGTTAGGGAGGGACACAGAGGGGCGAGACTCAAAAGCAATGGCAACATCGTACTTATAAATAAAACAACATGGATGCATAAATATATATCTATATATCATGTAAAGTTTTATACTCTACATGAATGTTAGAAATGTTCTTTATAGGTAGCAAATATCCAATAATATTATCAAAAAACACTAAAGTCAACAGATTGACTTCAAATAAGTTTGAGTTAAAGTCCACCGTATTTTTCTCAATTTTATTCATTTATTCATGAGAGACACACAGAGAAAGAGACAGAGACACAGGCAGAGGGAGAAGCAGGCTCCACGCAGGGAGCCCCATGTGGGACTGGATCCCGGGTCTCCAGGATTACACTCTGGGCCGAAGGCAGGCTAAACCGCTGAGCCACCCAGGCTGCCAATTCCATTGTAAAAGGTGGTATTTTAGCTTAAACAAAAAAGTAAGAACCCACCTGTGTCTGACATCAACTCCTCCAATATTCTTACCCAAGATATGGAAAGAGAACCTCTTACCTGGCACCTCATTGATGTCTCCAGACATGTGACCTCATCCAGCAACCTCAGCAATTCCTGAAACTGTTCATCCTGGTACTCAAAGCGCTTTCCAAAGGTGATAGAGCAAATGATATTGGAAACTGCATTGTTGATCTTGAAGTGAGGGTTGAAAGGCTGTCCTGGGGGTGGAGGAAGAGATGGATCCTTCAGATGGGTTTGTTCTATGTTCCACTGAGAGTCTGCTCTACATGACATGAAATACTGAATATTGAATTGCCTATGAGGCTCTGGTCACAGCCCCCTACACAGGGTCTGACATACAGCAAGTACTCGATTAATACCTGGGAAGTCTGACGACCAGGGTTTAACATCAGTAATGTTTTAATACCAGTCTTCTTGTGCTTAATCCTAGAGCTCCATGAAGGCAGCGTCATGGTTAGTTGTTCACTGTAATACTTTCAGTGCTTGGCACAGTGCTGGGCACCAAGTAGGTACTTAGGGACTTAATAAGTATCTTTTCAGTGAACGAATGAGTCACAATCTCCTGCACCTGTCCTAGGAGACAACTCACCATTCTCCTCTTCTATCGCCTGGATGAGATGATGAGCTTCTTCCTGAATGCGTTCCTCTATGCTCTTCCTTCCTAGACCAAAGTTCTTTAGTGTTGCCAGGGTGAACCTTCTCTGTTCCTTCCATGTTTGGCCACTAGACATGATCAATCCTGGAAAAAAAGAAAGCCAACATTATGGTTTCTTATTCTATAATGTAAATGTCTGGCAAATTGGTATGGAAATAAGTATTGGCAGGAAGGAGAGGGCATTAAGGCACGTGAAAACTCTTCAGGGAAATAATCCCAAAGCAGTGGATATAGTGGCTAGCATTACTGATTGCTTGCAATGCAAGAACTTGAATGTTTTTACTGTGTTTTGTAAGTTAGCACTTAACAGAAACTCTATGAGACAGTTGTAAACATTACTCCCCCTCTCTCACTTTGCTGATGAGAAAACTGAGGCACAAAAGATCAACTTCACAGGGTGACAGTAAGTACCTGAAGAGGCATTCAAATTCAGATCTGCTGGATTCCAAAGCCCACACTTTGATTACTAGTCACATAAGTATATTGAAGTATTTGCTTTATGCTACATGCTAAGAATGCACTCATGGATAAGATAAAATCCGTACTCTTAAGGAGGCGAGGCTTTCCAGTAGAGTCTTATCTTGAAAGATGAAGGTGATGAAGGAGCAGAAGGCAAGCTGAGGACAAAGCACAAACTGATACCCCACCCCCAACTACTGGATGGAATTTGTGTGACATTCCTCCAGGAAGCTCCTGTCCTAATGTTAATGCTTTGCTAGAGAGAGAAACAACCTTAACTTGACATTGGCAAGGCCTCTAGAATCCTCTGAGTCTTCTTTAACATAGGAAAATCCTTTTGAAACCTCCCTTTTCCTTACTTCCTCCAACTCCCAAGTGTATAATCAGTCACCCCTCAGAACCCCAACTCCAGGGCAGCAGCTCTTCCTGCCCACAGGTCCTGTACCCCTGCTTTAATAAAATCACATTTCACACCAAAGACATCTCAAGAATTCTTCCTTGGTCATCAGCTCTGGACCTCACCCCTCACCAAACCTCACCTACATTCCAAAACATCATATGACACCGAACATGGGGTTTTGAGTCTTTTCATCTGGACTGTGAGCTTTGGTGTAAACTTGGTGAACACTTTCTCTCCTCTTCCTTTACTCTCATTGCAGGGACTTTTCAAGGGGTGCGGTCGTATTGGAACATTTTCTGATCGATTGTTCAGGCTCCAACTCTCTAGTCCGTGACTACTCTACGAAGAGGAGAAAGTCTGTCTTTTGGCTGGAAGTTAGTACTCTGGCCAAAATGGTAATAAGACCCAGAAACTTGATGCCCTCTCTTTAGTCCTGTCCTTATACAAAGTTGTCTGTCTTGGGCACAAGACAGCCATCTAAGTCACCAGGAGAGCTGCCAATCTTAAGATTCCCACGTGAGGCTTCCTCCTGATTGATCTAATGTGATCCCTTTCACATCCCTGGTCTACTCACTTCTGGCTGCAGTACCTCCACTGGGAGCTGGCGAAACCAGTACTCAATGTAATTAAAACCTAACCGGGGACCATTTCCTAGGGAAGTTGGCTATAAGGACTGAAGGGGTTGGAATGTCGCTTAGATAGTGGTGGATTTCTACCCTTGCCGTTTTCTTTTTTCTTTTTTTTAAATATTTTATTTATTTATTCATAGAGATGCAGAGAGAGAGAGAGAGAAGCAGAGACACAGGCAGAGGGAGAAGCAGGCTCCATGCAGAGAGCCCGACGCGGACTCGACCCAGGGTCTCCAGATCACGCCCTGGGCTGCAGGCGGCGCTAAACCGCTGTGCCACCGGGGCTGCCCCTACCCTTGCCGTTTTCCATCGATGTCCTCTACTAACTACTTAAGCTACAAAACTGGGTAATTTCCCCTTGTAAACTTCTAGCATTTACCATGGGTTTAAAATGACAGGGAGGGACACCTGGGTGCCTTCAGCTCAGGTCGTGATCCCCGGGGTCCTGGGATCAAGTCCTGCATCCGGCTCCCTGTATGGAGCCTGCTTCTCCCTCTGCCTGTGTCTCTCCCCCTCTCTCTGTGTGTCTCTCATGAATAAATAAACAAAATATTTTTAAAAAATAAAAAAATAAAATGACAGGGAAATTATGCAACCTTCAGGGCATAGGAAGTAAGGTATGCCCCTCACAGCAGGTGATAAAGCGGGCTTCAAGGCATAGGATGGCAGGGCACAGTATTTCAGTCCATTCACCAGGCACCTGTCTGTAGCCTAGGATGCGATGGGGAAGGGGAGGGATGTTGGCCTCCCTCTAACAGGACCTTTTTACTGCAGGAATGCCTTCGTGGTAAAGCAGGATGGTGATCAATGGTGATTCTTCCTTTGAGCGATGCTTCTGATCGCTTTTGACACATGGAACCTCTGATATACCCTGCATGGGACACCACCCAGGAGTCAGGGGGATTTGGTAATGAAGCTTCTCTACTTTTCCAGGAGCATGGCCTCAGTAGGCTTCTTCAGTCCCCAAGAACTCTCCCTTGGGATGCCTTTTAACCCACTGGAAACAATTTGGGTTGCAAAATTTAGACTGAGCTCCTGTAACACTGCATGGCTTTAGTGGGATCTGTCAGTTAAATCTCTGCTGTAGGCAACAGGGCAAATGGACCTCGGGTACCTTCATTGCTCATACCTAATGATGTAGGAAAGACATTAGAGTTTGAAGCCAACAGCCAAGAAAGAATTCTTGAGACATTTTGGTGCAAAAGGTCACTTTATTAAAGCATGGGTACAGGACCCAAGGGCAGAAAGAGCTACACCAGAATCATGAGGAATGGCCCATTATAGACCTTCAAGTTGGGTGGGGGTCAGGGATAGCTGAAGTGTCTAAGGAATTTTGGAAGCAAGGTTTCCAGGACCCTAAGGGGGCTAGCTATTGTTAGGAAAGGTCATTTATTACCATCTAATAAAACCTTAGTCATGAGACCCTTCAAATACATACATATCAGTGGGCTGTATGCTTGGAGAGTAATTGCCAATATGTGTCTTATGGGGTACAGATTAAGGAAGTTTCCAAAATAATTGTTAGATGTTAAAGTAGACTTACAGGATCTGGGGAGTTAAGCTAAGATTACCTGTTACCCCTAGCTAAGTATTACACTGAGGCAGCTGAGTCCCTAGAGGAAGGCTACTCTGCCTGTTTCAAGGACTTATCAATGGGCTGCAGATAGTAAGGAAATGTAATGACTTTTATTCTGCCTTTGTTTCCCAATCATTCTCCCCTGAACAGTTTTGACCCTAAGTCTTTAAGGCTGCTGAGGGTGGAAGGTCTCATATTCTGTAACTTCTTCCTGCTGAATAGGGCTATAGAGATGTCCCTACCTATGGGTCAACACTGGTCAGCTGGGGCTTATATACATATAGGAGTTATGAAAGCAGAGGAAGCTGAATCCAAGGGAGACTGCATGTGTGGATCTTCCTGAGTGGAAAGGATTGCCTGTCACCTTGAAGTAGTTATGGCAGTGAAGGAGTCTCAGCACCAACTGAAGACACGTGAGAGAAAACAGCAAAACATGATTAGTCTAACAAAAAGAAAAAGAAGACCAAATAAGAGTCCTTTGATAGTTGACAAAAATCCTCTTCCAGTCTAGGAGTTTAACCAATCATTAAAGGAAAGAGAAAGATCGTTTAAAGCGCCAATTTGATTATTCATGACAGAAACCCAGAAATATTTTGTGATTATCTGGAACATACATAAAGCATTCTGTTTTTATGTAAGCGCAAGTTCCACCTTGTGTAGCAGTTAAAACATCTAATGCCATTCTGTTTTGTAGAGTCTCACGTAGGGCTTTGACCATGTCCTTATTAAGAGCTTCCATGTGCCAAACAACATTGTCCAGTCCCAAAGAGGGAACAAAGGTGGATGCTAGGTGGCCATACCAACGAGACACAGAACGTGTCCACCATTGTTGAATTTGGAAGGTTGCCTGGGTCGGTAATGGTTTTAATAATGCATCTGTGCATCCAGGCAAAACCCAGAGTACAGTGGCCTATCCAGCCTTGGGGAAGCCATGGATTCAAGTTGGAGCCACGTAGCCACTGGGTCCTGTTAGGAGACAGTCATCTAGTTCTGGGTCTCCTTTAACTGCAGTCAAGATATCAAGGGCTATTCAGTTTTAGAGGACCAACTTTTGAATTTGTGTAATAAAAGTCTGCTGTCACTTTGCAGGAACCAAGGGAGTCCAAATCTAGGGACAATTTCTCTAAGCAAAGTTTTCTGTAACCTCTGTGGTCTTTTTACCCAAATGAGTAGCCCCTGTTGTAAACCCTGTATTACCTTCCATTGGTTATTTTTGGGTATAAAGATTTTTCCTCATTAGTAACAAGCCAGTCTTGTGCCTTTCTTGGTCTGAATAGACTGTTCTTATGGACTTTATTTTTAAGATTGGTAAAAAGACTTAATATTTGCTTATTTTGTGCTGCCTGCTTGGCTACACAATCTGCCAAATTGTTTCCTTTAGATTCTAAGGTCACATCCTTTGATGTCCTTTGAGGTGAGTTACAGCCACCTCCTCAGGCAGGTGTACACCCTCAAGAAGAGTAATGATTTCAGGCCTATATTTGATTGGGGAATTATAGTTTTATAACAATCCCTTTTCTTCCAAATTGGTCCATGGGCATGTAGGACTAGGAAACCATATTTGGAGTCAGTACAAATAATAATTTTTAAGGATTTGGTAAGTTCAATGCATGAGTGAGCGCTATAGCACACTTGAGCTTTTCTTATTCCCTTTTCTATGACACTATTGTCATCAGGACACAAGAAGAAGAGTAATGATTTCAGGCCTATATTTGATTGGGGAATTATAGTTTTATAATAATCCCTTTTCTTCCAAATTGGTCCATGGGCATGTAGGACTAGGAAACCATATTTGGAGTCAGTACAAATAATAATTTTTAAGGATTTGGTAAGTTCAATGCATGAGTGAGCGCTATAGCACAACTGAGCTTTTCTTATTCCCTTTTCTATGACACTATTGTCATCAGGACAGCAACTGTTATCTGTATTTTTTTTTTTTTAATTTATGATAGTCACAGATTGAGAGAGAGGCAGAGACACAGGCAGAGGGAGAAGCAGGCTCCATGCACCGGGAGCCTGA